GCCCTATTGGCGCGAACCATTGGCAGGGCAAGCGTCTCTCCTCCAAAACCACAGACAGTTGCGACCTTGGGCGACTCATGAACAAAATTCTCACCTCTGATTCTTCTCCAGTTCACTCACCTCTTGTTCGACATTAATTCTTTTGCATAGCTTTTTCTTGTGTTATACGACCCTGATACCCTGACCCAATTTCTTGACTCTCACTGACAGGCACCATTCTGACTTGCGCAATCTCCTCTGATCTATCTTTTTGGTTCTCTTTGTGTATATATATCACTGTTACTCATTTCTGCATACACTTAGTAGGAATCTCCTTATGTTATTAGTCTGGGTTGGCATTCAACGTCCGCGGATTCCTTTTATGCATTCATAATACAATGTACAAGGCAAAGACGGCGACTATGGTATATAAAGATTGAATTGAATTACGAAATAATAATTTATTCCGAGCTGAAATATGCAACTTCAAGTCCTAGGGCTTTTATTGGCTTTGCCCGGCTCGAGAGATCGGAAACAACACCTAGGCTAACGAGCATATTCTTTAGCCGTCCTTCCCACATGAGAGAGACGTCCTTGCAGAGTGTCTTCAGAAGGGAAAGCAGAAAAGCATGCGATGACTTACATTGTTCGTAGATGCCCTAGCCTTTACGACGCCGTTGACAGCAGTCTGTTGGGTGTTTGGAGGCTGGTTTTGGAGTACTGGTGTTTCTGAATCGCTTTCTAATGAGGATCCTGTGGGCCGTCGCAGCCACCATTCCGCGCCCATCGTCCACTCGCTTTCAAAGCTGTAGACGTTGAAATCGAATCGTGAAGAAAGAGCGAGGTCCTGCGAGACCCGCGCCGTGTATGCACCCGAGATGTGCCCTAGCATCGGATTGAAAAGTGCAGTTATCGTTGTTGGTGGTTGCGAGGGCGTGCTTCGCGGTTGGAGAGGAGAGGAAGAAGGGACAGGTACTTGGAAGGAAGGTGGCGTCGCGTCTGGGAGTGTTGTGAAGCGGATTCCAGTTGAAACTGAAAAGATGCAATGGAAATCAGTGGTGTTCCAGGCTTCCACGGCTATACTTACCACCAGCACTCCTTTCTTTCGCACTGAAATAGAGTTCTGCACCAACAGACACGCGTCCTTTCAGACCACCTTCCACCGCATCTTCTTCGTCGACGCGTTTGAGGCCTCTCCGCCTCGAGGACGTCGAATCGTCTACAACTTCACTGGACAACCCGAGCTTGCCAAAATTATGCAACATCCGCACACCCCACATCTGATCTTCCGCGCTCCAGGTGTATTCCGTACACCATTTGCCTACATCGTGCTGAATATTGACCATGACATTGCTCAAGTCCTGCTTCCGGCCGCGTATGTCTGGGGACACGGCTGACGGTGGGTCGGATATGGCTGCTACCATCATCTGCAAGGTGGGAGAGACCCTCGTCGAGTACAGCGCGTCGAGACGGCCTGTAGGGAGATAAAACCGTCCATAAAGTAGATAGTCTACAACATTATTAGCAAGTGTACTGAAGCAGTTCTCTGAGGTAAACACACCTCTAGTATCCGTCCTCTCGCCGGCTAACCATTCTTCCTCCTTTGCTTCAGGTCTCCGAGGTTGATCGTACACCTTAAACCGCTCTATCATGTCCTTGAAGGGAACATTTCCTGACGATTTGACGTTCAGGTCACACGACGTGAATATGTACCCCACCGATCCACTCAGCGAGGGCATTGCCGTCATGGAATAAGTTGTCCTGAAGATGGAGTTCGGAGATTTAGAGACGGAAAAGTGAAGCCCACGGGGCACAGTGAAGTCGAGGATTGCTATAGATATTGTCAGGACGTTGGGAGTAGACGGAGGCTCGAGTCGGACACACCATTCGAAGAACGCGTTAAGTTTGCATATAAGTTGTCTTCATTCCATCCTGTAGCTTTATAGTAGCTGCGAAGAACATAAGAGGCGAACGGGTGCATCAAGAAATGCAGAGGCGTCCGTCCACGACCGTCCTCTGCTCTCAGTTGTGTTCAAGGTTGTGGGGAAGTGTGATCGGCTTGTGAAACGTGTCGGCATCAAATTGTACCAGTAAACGGTGTATACAGTACATTCTCGGGATCACTGAGTACACGGGCATAAAATCTCAATCCGATAAAATATATACTAAGTCACAGAAATCAGTCTACAGGCCATCTAAAGTGCGTCTCCTCTGCTTTGCTATTCAAAGACGAAGAGCGCAGCTCTTGCCAACTGCATTCCTGCTCAGAAACAGATTCCCTCGCTGGATGGTACAGTCGTAGCTGTTTGCGAGAACCTTCGTCTTCTAGTTCTTCTCCTTGAGAAGACGGTATACATGACAAATCTTCGCAGGAAGCTCGTTGTCAGTTGTGCAAATGATAGAAGTAAGTATATTTTCCTGACCTTCCTCGAAAATACCAACCCATTCAAAATATTTCTCGACCAGCGGTAAAACTGGTGTTTGGCGAGAATCGTGATGGTGAGACTCATGGTCGGATTCTTCGTGGTGTGTCGGAGGATGTTCAGAAGATATAGGCAGTTTGGCATCGCTTAGTTGGGCGTCAAAGAGAACGAACTTCGCGGGTTTGCTAGAAAAAAATGTCCGGTCATTGAATCAGATCTTCCTTCGAGAAGATAGAACGAACGAAGCCGAAGATTTTCGAAGGGTCGAAATACAAGCCAGGACCCGATTCACCAAATTCAGATACGAGGACATATTTACGTTATTTCTGCGCAGAAATAAGCCTTTTAAACGGGTTGAACGCCACTTATCGAGGGTTATACGCACGGATTGACGAGAACTCCAGATATATCGGATGGTGTGAAATACAAGGAAGGCTCTACGAGGATTAGAAGAGTGGGTACCTGTCCGTGAAGGCTCCCTAGTATCAGTGGCGTTTGTCCGATTGCTGCATCGTCTGATCCAGCACAGATAACAGAGAGGAGCATACACAAATGAGCTGGAGTCGGAGGGTAGCTGTTTCAACAATCCTGCCCATGAGCACAGAGAAAAACAAACAGGACGAGGGTATTACAAGATCGTGTCGTTCAGAGTGAGCTCAGTCATCTTTCCATGGCCAGAGCGCGACGCAAGCCAGGCATCATTGAATTGCTGCAGGTTTCCTTTCAGCGCCGACCTTGAAGGAGCGAGAATGATCGCACGGCTCTCTGGTGTGGCAGCCTTTGAAGACAGGGTTAGGTGGATGGGTGCGGATGGGTGATATGGGCCGGTGATGAGCAGAGTCGAGAATCGAGGAAGAGGCGACTGTTTGTCCGGAAACAGTGAAGGACCGTTTGATGCACTCATTCCGAGGCACTAGAAGGTGGTGGTGGTGGTGTAAAGGAGAGTCACGCTTGTCGCGTTTGGAGGCGTCGACCTTGACTTCCAGTGTCTGACCGTCACTGCCGTCACCTCTGCCCTCCGAAAGGCTGTACAACCCACAACGCCCGCACTGCATAGGTATCTCACCTGTCAGATTATCTGCCTCATGGCCTTCTTCAACTATGTTTGCGAACCTATAAAGGACCATCGATCCGGTATACTTCCACCCCACTCCTCTGCCCATGCTCTCCCCTGCTGTTCACGTATGTCTCTCTCTCGGGAAGACCCTGGCTCAGATTACTGCGGAGCTGGCTCCCATACCCGCCCTCCTCCCCCTGGTCGAAGTTCTCTGCGGCATCATAGAGTGTTGTGAAAATATTACCCAGAACAAGTTCGCTATTTTAACGACTTCATACCTCCAACTCATTTTGCCCTATCGCAGGAATGCCGCTAGACAGCTTCGCGATCGTTGCCATACGCTGGTGCTAACACTGCGGGACTACGAGGGAAAGAATGTCGGCAAGAATATCGTTCATGCCAGGAACGCAGTCAATGAGTTTGTTTCGGGGCGTTTGTATTTCTGGCGTCAGCTCATCAATGGCACTACTTGTACAGTCGGTTGATTGATATACAGACCAGAATGTCCGGATGGGCGAATCTGGGCAAGCTCAGGAGCTTTGTGGACCAGGACAAAATTGCGAGAGATATCGAACAATGTCATGCCGAGATCAGCGATACTATGGCCACTTTTCAAGTGAGCTCTTCCCGGCTTGGTTCATGCAAATCTCTCATTATGCCAATTTGCACACAGCTTGCATCTCATTTCGAGATCCATGAGTGGATGGAGGATTTCAATACAAACCGACGCCTTGATCACGCTCAGCTGGTAGAAAGCCTCAGCCAAGTTCAAGAAACCCAGGCCCTTATCAAGGAAAAGACCAGCGAGAACAATGACCTCATCCGTCAAATGATGACCCTCTTGCAGAATGTATGCCTCCCAAAAATTTCTTTTTGTCCAGTCTAACATCTCTCTAAAGTCTATGGGAGAAAACAAACAGGAGGCTGAACGCGTGCACCAAGGGCTATCCGCGAACCTTTATCAATACCAGTCGCAGTTCAAGACCCTTTTGCCAGAGCTATACTTGAACTGTGGGGAAGTCAAGAAGATCAGCGAGTATCCCATACGAGGGACAGCGTCAATGGATATATACGAAGGGCTCTACCTCGAACGAGAGAAGGTTGCCATCAAGGCAATACGATCGATGAGGTTCGACGAGCAGAGCAAACGCGTTAGTACCTCCCACCGGATCTGTCTTCCGTGGCTGAATATTGCATCAGCGCTTCAAACGGGAAGCGGAGATCTGGAGCGACGTTTGGAAACGGGATCAGGGAATGCACATCGTCCCATTCTACGGATATTGTCAGTTGGACGGACCCTTTCCGTAAGTCCCACTGAGCTGACACCCAGCCCTAAGTAGTTCTTACTCCTACTCCAGATGCATGGTCAGCCCATGGCTGAAGAATGGTGATGCTCTGGGATATGCCAAAGCAAACGACAAGGACCTTGACTATAGACAGTTCGTGAGTGTCCAGGATTGCCGTGCTGCCACGAAAACTGACATCGCTGTTTAGATCATGCACCTTGCTCATGGAGTTGAAGTGCTGCATAGCATGGGACTAGTCCATGGTGATATTCGAGCAGTAGGTGGCAGGATCTGTCAAATCTCTACAGCTTCTAACTATCCCCTCGCAAAGAATAATGTCCTCGTCAGCGACACAGGTCTCCCTCTACTGTCAGATTTCCGTCTGTCCAAGGTTTGTAGCAATGCTCTTCTGAAAGAAATGCCGACTGGCCTAATGGTACTACCCACAGATAATCCAGAGTGCCTCTGGTGCCGCTCCCCTTACCCAAAGCACAATGATGGCGGACTCTTGTCGATACTTCGCACCAGAGACCTTTGGAGATGAGGGCGGTCTTTCGACTGCTACGGATATCTACGCACTGGCGATGACCGTTCTTGAAGTATTCCTTCTCCCTTGACCTTTTTGCTGCCTTTCTGATTCTCTGCTAGATAACGACTCATTGTCAGCCATACAAGAATGTCAAGCATCACTTCGAAGCAGGGAGGAGAGCTTCTGAAGGTATACATCCCGACAGACCCACTGATGCTGACGCAGGGCGACGAGGTTTGGAAGACGGTCTCTGGGAGTTGATGGTGTCATGCTGGGCGTTGGACCCTACCAAACGACCGTCCATCCAAGCATTTATTTCGAGTTTATCTGCCAGATAGTAATTCACGCAGCACTTAATATTCCCAAATACAATTCTCCAGATTAGATCTTCAGCGGAAGACCGACTTCTCTCGCGACCTTTTGATTATTACTATTTCTCATAAGACCCCCAGTACTAAGGTAGGAAAACCTTCGGTGGTTCGTTTGCCGTTCGTTCTCGTGAATCTATCGGGATACCGGGCCGGTTGCTTTATCAGCAACAATTGCTTAACGAAAACTCATTTCCTTTTCTGAAGACACCAGCAACGACGTCCAGTTCAAGTATACGAGTACTCTGAAGAAAATATTGAACATCAATGTCGACCCTACCACCCGACGTCACCGGCAGGTCCAATGAATCATTTTTCGCGAACATCCTAACACCTGGTTCTTCACTTCACCCAACCTTCCTACTCATCGTTGATGGCGCTTTCGTCATGCTCTTCCTCATATTTTTTGCGCTGGCGTTTATGACGTCAGGCAGCATCCATGTCTTCGCCCTCATGGCAATTGAACTGTGTCTTTGGGCCAGCGTCAAGTGGTGAGTTTGACACCCTTACAACTTTCGGATAGTAAATTGATATTTGTGATACAACAGGTTCGTTAGCGAGCTGAAGAAAGTGCCAGTTCAGGTGGAAGCAGAGCAAGATGAAGGAAAGCTGAAGGAAGAGTAAAAACCAAACACGCAATTCAAGGAACCAAGCGAGGGACATGGGGTACTGGGAGAGGTGTGGTGTGGCCTCAATGCCTAGTGCGACCATTGTCTTCATACCAAAGTTTGGTTCGTTTCGCGCTCTCCTGAGCTAGCGAGAAGACTTGGAGCTGAAATGAGAGGTGGCAACATATGGAAGGATGGAATGGCTTACGTTCCCGCTCTTTCGAATCCAACCCCTCGCGAAATGTCTGCGCAGTGTCACCAGATGATCCTCCTGCGCCAGCCTGTCCCAAGGCAGCGAAGTGTTGGGCCTGGTCGATGACTTCTGGTAGACGATCCTTGAAAGCCTGGAGTGGAGAATCAGCGGCCAGTGTGGTGTTTTCGTTGAAGGGCGAAGGGAGTATGTACCTTACTCAACATCTCCGACATCTCATTCGCTTGTTCATCGCTGAGACTTCAAAACACGAGTTGGATTGATAAAGAAGAGAGTGGGCGGGAACGCACATGTCCATGATAGTCTTTCCGAATCCATACCACAAGCCTCCAGCTCCGACGAGATTAGCGAGCCTCACGCTCCTTGCTTCTGCTTTGAGGGCGTTGCGTACTTTAGAGCCAAAAGGAGCGGGGATGTTGAACTCCGCCCAATCACTGTTGCATCGATAAGCGTTTGGTCGACGAGTTGCACAGGTGAAACGAACGAGTAGATAATGGTGTATGCCAGCCATATTGGGAGCTGCAGCTTGCTGAGCACTGCGATCTGCGCGGTTGTTCGTCAAACCTCGAGGACGATAGTGAAGAAGCGCGTACGTCGCGTTCTGAGCCTCCGCCGAGGTGGCCCATGTTTGGTATTTCATGTTTGAAGGTGCATTGTATTTTCTAGATGCCATGTAAGAGAGAATGATGGTGCATCGGACGCGAGGGCTTGCCTGATTCTCTGCGAGGATTGCCTCGATGGAAAAGTAGTCGAAGTCCATTGGAGGCGTGACTGTGACCCGACGCGTTTCTTAGGTCAGCACGAAGTCACTGCTCCGAACTGCCTCCAGCCGATAGTCTGCTCCCTCGCCCATGATGTTCGCTGTAGCACTGAGGACGCTCCCGTGGAGTGTTCCCCGCTCTTTCCGTTTCATATCTTCCACTGTTCCTCGTTGTGCGTCGGTCCCTCCAGGCGTCGACCATAATACACTCGTTGCTTTCAAAGCCTCCCCCACTTTCCAGAAGCTCCAAAGCAGCCCAGGTGCTCTGGAAGCCCTTATGAACATGGCTGAGGTCCTGAAGAAGAATGGTATACCCTTGCATGACACTTCTATGTGAATCCACTTATCCAAAGGATCCCAGACATCGATGCGTCGAAAGGATTTTCTCCGTCGCTTATGTGGAAGGTGGCGGGTAACAAAGAAATCCGTGAAGCTACGACGAAGCTACTGGAGGAATTCAAAAAGGCGGGCGTGGATTTGTCGTCAAAGGTGCGGGGTTTTTTTACACGAGGTCAGTGCACCAGTGACCACGTAGTGGGCTCGTAGGATGTCATGCAAGAGCTGACCGCATTGAGCCAAAAGCTGCCAAAGAGCGACGACTCGAAGAGCTGAACAGTTGTTACTTCCATATGTAGTCACTTATTAGATTAGATAAGATGCAAATGCAACTTGTACATTAACCATCATGGACTTGGACCTGGACGCGACCAACGAACCCTCACCCATTCCTCGTGCTCCGGAAAGGCCATTACCCCCAGTTGTATTCTATTCTGTCGAGTATCCAGGTTATGTCAAGCCCACCTCCGTTCAGTTGGCTGTCAGCAATCTCGGAGGTCAAGACAAACTTGACCAAGTTTTCAAGCGAACTACCCAGAGGGCAGATGCCCTTGTCGAAGTCTCTTTACGGCCAGGAAATCCTTTTGCTCACCCCATCCCAGGAGACGTGGTGAACGCGAACAATCTTCTCTTGAAAGTGGTAAAGAGAAAACGGAAGGCCCCATCTGGTGCACCACCTTCCGATGGCGCAGCTGGAGAATATACTGCTAAACTGGTCGGTGTTCTCTCCAAAACTGTCCGATTCAGAAGTGCGTGCGCTATTTCATTGTTCATTTAGCTTTACGTGCTGAATTACAGACAATTTGAGGCATGGCGGACTACCAATACTTCCCAGACATGAACGATCCAGTGTCGAAATTGAGATTGGCGATGGATGAGATGGACGGTACGTGCATTCGTCTCTTCGTTCTGTACACCAACCCCACCGTATGTACAGCTAACTTCTTGGGATCGTATCAAATACCACATGAGCCTTCCGAAGCGACCCCTTCGCCAGCACCACAGACCGTTGACAACGACATCGACATGAATCTTGACCCGGAACTATTAGGCATGTCGGAGAGTGCAAAGGACGGGGCAGGGCCTTCGAGAAGCACCCTTCGTCTGTTCCCGCCACCATTATTTAGCAGGCAAACCATTCCTCAGAATTACAAGTTCGTGCATGTCTCTTTTCTCAAATATCGCCCAGTTCAATGCCATTTCAGCTTCAAGGCAAACAGCGCGTCCATGATATCCACAACAATAGATGAGGAAACCGGAGAAGAACGAAAACGAATCATAAATAAAATGAGGTGGAAGGGGTATGGACCTGCCTCAATTATGTTCGACGATCCCCGCGTTAGTTCATCATTCTTGGATTGCGGTTAAAACTGACATCCCTTTATCAGGTTCCAGATAAGCCTCCTCAGGCGGTCGAAGAAGGCAGAGGGCAGATTGACCAGGCACTACTCAAGAAACTCGAGAGTGTAAGCTATCCAATCACTCATCCGCTGTTCGTTCATACTGAAGCTTGTTCAAAGCTTTTCCAACAGCGGCCAGTCTGGACTCGAATGTCCTTGTTCAACCAGTGCTCCACAGCGGAAAATAGAGAGATTCTAAAGCAAGTCCCTTGAACTCACGAAACGCCCATTCTGACCATTTCTCGGCTACAGCTCAAAATTGCTACTCCCTCTGTGTTGCTACGTCTTTCAAGATGGTCCATGGCGCGACACTCTTGTGAGATTTTCGTATGACCCTCGCAAGGATCCTGATTCGCGATTGTATGCATCGTCTTGGTTCATCTTTTGGGGTCATCTGACGGCATTCAAGTTATCAGCGCCTATACTTCCGAAATGCGAATCATCCAATATCGCGTCCATCGGTCACCACACGTCGACATGATCGCTACGGCGAGCTGCGACTGGACAGGGACGCCGAGAGGAAGTGAGCAGCAAGTACGATTCTCATACGCCGTTCAAGCTAACGATTTGATAGAACTTCCCATATTTTCGACGGCACAACGCTGACAAAAGAAACTGCCGCTTTTCAACTGTGCGATATTGTCGACCCAATGCTGAAGAGCATGATTGAGCGCCCTGACGCCCTGCGAGAGACTTGCCATGTAAGCCACCGTCGGATACCTTCCCCTTGTAGTATTTCTGAATACAAACAATCAGGAAAGAGATGGATGGTTTTTAAGCCATGCATTTGAACAAATCAAGACGGTTCTGCGTCATAAATTCTTCTCTCTATTGGAGGGGCATCCTGCCACGGACGAGGAGTGTCGTGCTCTGCTTGTCGCGAGCGAAGGTGCGGCTGCGAAAGCGTCCTTAGCCCATCGAAGCTCCAAGTTGAGGGCGGGTAGGCACAACATGGCGAAAGGAGCCATGTCTCAAGAAGAAGCTGCTGTAAGCGTCAAAGATTATCGTGGCAGGCGAAGACTAATGAGAATGGTTCAGGCATTGCGTCTAAGGGCAACGCTTGATCGCAACATGAAATCCTTTCAGTCGCAGCGCTAACGTGTCGTCCATACTGTTCTTTGTACATTATTACAAACGACCTTGGTCGTCTTATTGTGCTTGTGGCTGATGAGGGGAAAGCATGGTGATAGCATAAGGGTTTTGATTGAAAGCCATCGCGACTGAGAAAAGGCGACCATAAGAGCTCCAAGGAAGTTATGGAACGAGAGAAATCATGATGCAGCAGCGGCCTTCGCCGCCAACCGTGCCTTGTTCTAGGGATATTAGGTTAAAAGATCCTAGAAATAAGTAATGTGGGACGTACCGAGCCGGCGAGAGCAAACCGAGCGTTGCGACGGAACTGACACCCTGATTAACACCAAATACGACATCTATCCGCAGAAGCAGGCTAACCTTGGGGTCGACCTATTGAGGAACGCTATAAGAAACACAAAGACGGATAAAGATTGGAGGTAATGCTACGTACACCCTTCAGAGACCGTGTGCGGTTGGTCTGAGGTTTGCGGATGCCATTTCTATGGGCCTTCTTGTTTTGGTTGTGATTTGTGTGGCTAAGGTGTGGGTGAGAACGAGAATACGTAGCAGGAGATGGGAATCTACTTCTTCGATTTGGCCATGGTGTCGTCGTCGTCTACGGTGATGAGCGCTACGTCTGGCTGCGTATCAGGGGGTGTGCCGGGTGCACAGGCACAGTGGCTGTATAACTGTACAGCTGCTTCCCACGAGGACCAGACCGAAAACGGAAAGTAGATTTACATACGGCGGTAAGGAGTGCTAGTACATGCACTCGCTAGCACCTGTTATGTGGTATAAGGGCTTGAGTGTATGTTCATGGCATTCATTAAGTATAGAGAAGAATGCAGATTACGTTCGCTTCTTATTCTACAATACATTATACAATCTGGATAACAAGACGACATGCAAGGCAGGAACTTGAATGAAGAAGTCTAGAAATTGATTACTGCGTCGTGATGCGTGCTAGAGATGGGTGGCATAATGGTGAAGAGAGACATTACTGACATGGTGATAAGCAAACAGTGAAGACGATATCCTACAAGAAAAATACAGTGATATAAGAACAAGGCCAAAAACATTTAGCATAGCGCATAGAAATAACACAGAAAATACTACCCAAGCAAGTCAACAATTTCAAATTTCTGAGAGGAGACTCAGCCGTCAACTCCAGCGTCGAGCCGATCCCAGTCTCTTTCGAGCGCAACACGCATCGAATCAACAGCGGCTAGATGGAACGGCAAATCTTGCCCTCCAGTCTCCTTCCCCGACTTTAGCCTTGCCCGTCCAAGGACGCCTAGCTCGTAGAAATTACGTGTGACATCCACCATGAGCTGCTCATCACTAGGTGCCTGGGCAGAAGGTGATGACGCCTGAATGGGATGGTTGTAAGACGACGAGTGTACTGTGCATAGCAGATGCGTAGAAATCTGGGTGATCACAGTTGAAAAGAGCGAGGATAGTGAGGAGATAGAGGTGGACGACGTTTTGGAGGGTATGCGAATAAGATGGGAGGTATGAAGAGGGAGGAAGGATAACGGATGCGGGTGACAAGTAGAGACGGAGGATGGAGTTGGGACGAAATCAGCTGCGGGTGTTGGTGCACTAGCTAAAGGTGTTGGGATGGAGGTATGGGGCTGTGGCGATGGCGTTGAAGAGAGCGAAGCAGATTCGGGCACAAAGGACTGTTCTAGCCCAAGGTCGATCTGGGACGGAGGAAGAGAGATCGGCATCCGGTTAAGGGGATGGATGGCGTATGTGGTAGACGATGTGTCTGTGAAGACTGTATGTGGTTTCGAGGAGGAAGGCGACCGTCCTGGGGGAGACGGCCGTGTGTTTGAGGTACTCGGAGGCGGGGTTGTTACCTTTGGGATACGAGAAGGTACAATGGAGAACGGCGCGTTTGGGACAACACACATAAGGCTGTGGTGTAACGGCGGTCTGTCGAAGGATGGGGCGACGACGCTGTTCAGTTGATTCGTCCAAGCTGCGAATTGATAGATCAGTCTCAGTTAAGGAGGAGGACAAAATGTCCATACCGTTCATTTCTTTCTTGTTCAACACCCCAAGCCTTGCAAAGATAACTCTCCACTCGACATTGGTCTTCCGAGAAAATTGCATTGCGAAGTCCCAAACCTTCTTCACCGCATACTCCTCGTCCGAAACTACCGCTGTCGCCTCACCTTCTGCACTCTCATGCTCTGGTCCACCATTCGTCGGAGACTGCGTCAACCACACGCCCAGGTCATACATCTCTGCCCTTTGGTCGACACAGCATGCGATGATCCACTTTCCACATGATGACAGGTGGTACCCGACGTGCAGGAGAGTGTATCTATCCATGACATCTAACGAGGTGTGTGCGGAGCGGACATACGAGACTTTGTTGTACACCGGTCTCGCGAGTGTGAAGGACGGCGCCATGAGATACGACGTGCTGTCAACATCGAAAGGTGGTATCCGGCGCGCTCTTGACCGTTCGATAGGCACAAGGATGCGATTGTATACAGAGGACGTAAGCACATCAAGCGCAGGGTCGTAAGCTGTTGAGCGTTCGAGCACACTGAGAATAGCTTGCTCTGGAACGAATTCAAAGGCTATTTTGCAAGGTAGAGAGTTTGCAAGCATCTTCTTGGACACAGAGAGGATTTGGCGCAGAGTAGGGGAAGACAAAGTCATCATTGACGCAGGTACTATCATGAAGATCATTGTTGTGGGTTGAGAGGCGGGAAGACGAGAGAAAAACGTCGCTGCAAGCAGAGGATTAGCTTTTGCCATGGCTGAACAACAGAAATATCTTACATAGATTCTTGCGGAAGGATGCATCGAATCTCAACGGAACAAGGCCGTCAACAGGTGAAGTTGACTTTCCAGGAGTCATGAGACCATAATGTCTGGCCTGGAATTAAGTTAGCACTTGCACTCACTTTATCGGCAGGTGACATACCTGGTACGTATTCATGACAGCAGACAACCAGCTTTGCATTAATGGTGTCTTGTCACCATCGTCTTCAAAGAGAACGAAGACAGAGAGGTCTTTCCGCCCGCCCTTTGGCTTCAAGCCAAGCTTCTCCCAGAACCGAAGGGCCGAAGGTAGCACTTCCATGATCGCGTCGCCTTTACCAATTACGCTGCTTTTGCCAATCGAGACCATAGGAGCTTCGAGGGGCCGGAGGGTCTTATCGGTGGCTGACACGTCTGTTTGGAAGGGCAAAACTATGAGCGAGTTCTCCTGAAGGGTGAAAACCGGGAACAAAACGTACGCAACCCGAAAAGGTCCTCTATCGTAAAACAGCCCTCCTCGTTTTTGCAGCCTAATGCAATACCCATAAGCTTCGAAACAGCCCGGACATCCGTCGCCCACACCGCAGCGGCCGGTTTCGCACCCACGGCATTCGCATGCCACGTCTCTGCCCACAAGGGGTTCTCAACCACTTCCGCCGCCACAGCAAACGCAGCTGCTTCGAAAGAACGGGACTTCTCTGAAGCTGCCCCCATCGTGGCCGCTGGTGATACAGGAGTAGGGACAGAGGGCGGAGGATTTATTGTGATCGGATGAGGGTTGGGGTGGTGACTGGACGTTGAGGTAGCCGAAACAAGGGCGATGGGCGACAAGTCGTCCAAAGCCGAGCCTGGAGGTCGGACAGGCTGTGCTAGTGGCAGGAGATGCATATGCGAAAATTGAGTCGCTAGTAGACTAGGGCCAAGTGGGAGGTAGGATGGCGGAGGTGTGGCCGGACGCGAGAGCATGGGAGTGTCAATGTCCTCCGCTTCTTCTTCCTCTTCCACCTCTGAGTCTTCTGACGAGGCCTCCGACTCTACGTCAGATTTTGCATCATCCTCTTTGGAGGAAGAATGAGGTTTCTCCCATTCTTCTTGGCTTAACCACGAACAACTCCGAGGTGCGTTTCGCGCGGCATGCGCGAATGGCGTCTTGCGCTTGACACCAATAAGCTTCTTGACCACTCCAATTCTTGGATCCGTGGCAGCATTATACTGATTCCTCCATCCATTTGGCGACGACGGCAGTGAAACGAAACCTGCGACAGTTTCGTCGCCATCTGCTGGCGGAGTCGGCAGAGAGAACGAGAACTTGCCCGCGAAGTACTTCCCATCTGCTTGCCGGTGGTAAGGCGCAAATGGAATGGGTTCAAACAGTTTCCCGCCGTAATGGTTGCTATTTGAGCTGCTGCCGGCCGCAGAACCACCGAACTCCAGGTGGACGTTGGGCGTCGCAGGTGCCGAGTGACTCTCAGGGGTTTGACCAGGAGACGAGGGTAAGAGCTCAGGTGGTACAGAGTCTGGGTGGTCAAGAGAACGAGGGGTAAACCCATCCATGAACCCACCTGGGGTCCACATTTGCTGGTTATGTGTCGTTCCACTGGGCCCAGCATGATGGAGGCTGGCATTAAAAGGAGCAGGCGGTCCGGGGCCTCCGGATTGGTGTACATCACCGAAATTGGGTGGCGAGTTCACTGGCAGGGCGCTTGCAGCCAGCAGCCCAGATCCACTGGCGTCGCGGCTATGGCTCATCACTGGTGCAACATTTGCAGGGACAGGTGGATGTGCTGGTGCAGGAGGGATGGGAACAGCCCTTTGAGGCCTGTCGAAAAAGCTGAAGTCATCATCAGTGAAGGCATCCTCAAACTCCATGTTCCCGCCAGTTACCGAACCCAAGCTGACATTGCGACGGTCGCCAAACGAGGTCGCGCCAGACGACAAACCGGATATACTCATACCCATGCCCATGCTGTCCAATCCGGAACTGTTCGTGCCTCCAGACATGGACCCAATGTTGAGTCCGAAATCCATCATGTCGTCCATTTCAAAGTCCATATTCATGTCCATAGCAAGATATGAGTCGCCTGGTTGTGAAGACCAGGTAGTATCCATTGGGTAGGGATCATAGGCGGTAGAATTACTGCTGGCGGATGCGCTCGGAGTAGGAAGGACAGTCGCGGGGATTGGGGGATTCAGTGATTCAGAAGGTACGTCAGCAGCAGTGGGAGTAGACTCGGGTAGTGGATAGGAAGGCGACGCCTCGATGGTTGGTGATGTCTTGGCTTCTGTCGACGTATTGGTTGCAGAGGGTGCGGTCTGAGGAGGAGATGGGTAGAAGTGTTGGATATTTAGAGACGGTTGCAATTGAGGACCAGATGCAGGAGGAGGCGCTTGTTGCAACTGACTTGGTCCTCCAGGCAGCGGAGGAGGAGAAAACGAAGTCGTAGACAATGACAGATCGACAGTCGTCGGCGTCGGCACTGCGGCGGGTGTCGTAGCAGCCGTACGTATCAGTTTCGGGGAACAATTGGTGCCGGTTTCGCGCTCTCTCTTCAGCCTCTCGCGCTCTCGTTCTCGTTCGCGTGCGACGGCGTCGACATATCCCCCGACTTCCGTAGCAATGCTACGCAGATCCTTGGCTTTTGACAGGGTCAGCGCTCGGAATGAATATAAGGACTCGGTAGTTGGTGTGGTAAATATGGGGGGTCGTTTAGGATGTGATGTGATTGGTGTTGAAGCAGGCCGGACTGGGTCTAAGGGTGAAAAGTTTCCTGGAGGGATAGCAGGGGCAGCCTGGGGTGAAGGTTGGAGCGGCGCGGGTAGTTCAGGGATATGTTCCAATGGTGGTCGGGAAGAAGAATATGGTGCATAAGAGAGACACAGTCTACTCGGATAGATGATGGTTAGGCCCTTGTCTTCACCTTGCTTATTCTCGACCTTTATCCAGCCAATAATGAAAGGGGGCGTCTGATCAGTGGACGATTTGGGAACGCTTTCCCAGTCACCTGCACCCAGGCCCTGGAGAGATGTTTGGAACTGCTTGATTAGACCGGCAGTAGGCCCGGAATAGCTGGCGAGAAAATAGGCCGGAGTTCCGAATGGGAGCAACGTTATTGGCGTTCCTGCTGGGAGTGGCAAAGCGCGGGAGATATCCAAGAAAGGCGTTGGAACGAGGGTGGGATGGACAACAAGGTGGGAAGGAGAGCCTCCCGGAGAGTACGAGAAGTGTACTTGAAGCTGGCAAAATATCAAGGGCCTGGGACAGTCAGTTAGGAAATAGGATGACCGAGATAAGGAATACCTTGTGATGGCACCGTATTCCCAGTCGGAGGAGGAGGATGAGATCTGACTCATCAAGAAGCCGTCCTTGAAGCGTCTGACTAGCCTCCGTATGGAAGAAGCCTGTGGTTTAGAGGAGGCGCGAACAATGTCATCAATTATCCGCAGACGGACGGCTTGGTAGAAATGTGCGGTGACATTTCGGACGTCGGGGTTAGGTAGTAGGCTATGATGGACGTCAGCGACGAGGATTTACGCAGTTGTGAGGGTAGATACTCACGAGGAGGAGCTCGGGGGAGCAAAGGAGGAGACTTGGTGAACTGTATAGAGGATGTGAATGATGGCCATTTATGGTAAGCGGAAGCAATCTCCGGGCGGACGACGGGGAAGACTGGGGGATTTACACACCTGTGAGCCCATCAAAGACGAGCGTGCGCAAGTAGCCCGTTGTGCTGTCCGCTGCAGTGGCCTCGGTGAGCTTGAAGATGCAAACGAAGGGGTCCGATGACGATATGTGAACACTTGGGAGGAGGGAGTCGAGGAGCGATTTCGATGCATTGCGTGATAGAATGGATCTCCGTGCAGCCTCTAGGGCATCCTGGGGGTTGTTGGTGGCATGGGTGGGCGTAAAGCGAGCGTAGACGATGCAGGGGTTGCTCGGGAGGTCGAGGGCAGAAGCGAGGAGGGCATCGGAGGCGGCGAGGGGCTGGTGTGAGTAGGACGGTGCTGGCGGGGGACGGTCGAGGGTGATGCCCGGGCGGGCAGCCATCTGTTGGAGTGCTGTGGGGAAGGGTGAGGAGGAGAGAGTGAGTGTCGGCAGTTGCCGAGTTTGTATTTTTCGAGTTGACCTCCTACCAACATGTCCCGCCCAGCTTCCACCCAGAGACCGCCCGTTTCTCCCCTCCCAAGACAGGTCAATACGCAGACAAAGGTCCTTGACTCAGCCCACGGTCGCATTCTATGCATTGCCGACATTCGCGGCCGCCTCTCTGCGCTCAATGACCTTGCACGAGACGCCAACGCAAAGGCAATCATCCATACTGGCGACTTTGGCTTCTTCGGTATGTTTTTCTCAAAGAAAATACGCGTATCTCACCGTTTTCTCGCAGAGGCAAACAGTCTAGACAGAATAAATGACCGGACGCTGCGACACCTCACCATGTACTCGCCCCTCATTCCTTCAGCACAGCGCACACACCTTCTCGCTCCCGAAAACCCCCCATCAGTGATTCGTTCTACAGTAAACATCGAACTCCTGTCCGAATTCCCCCTTCTCCTTTCAGGTCAGATCAAGCTCCAAATCCCAGTCTTCACGGTGTGGGGTGCGTGCGAGGATGTCCTTGTGCTCGAGAAATTCAGGTCAGGCGCTTATTCCATAGAGAACCTTCACGTCCTCGACGAAGCCACCACTCGTTGTCTCGACCTTGGAGGCGTCAAGCTACGTCTTCTTGGCCTCGGCGGTGCCCTCGTCCCCCACAAGCTCTTTGACAATGGCGACGGCAACGCCACCATCGCCGGCGGTCAAGGCACGATGTGGACCACCATCCTCCAAATCGGCGAGCTTGTCGACACAGCTCAAAGGGTCTTTGACCCCTCGGAAACGCGTCTACTCGTCACCCATGCCAGTCCTGGTCGGGAGGGAATTATGGCCCAGCTGGCGCTCGTCCTCAAGGCTGATTTGACGGTATCTGCGGGCCTTCATTTCCGTTACGCCACGTCCTACAACGAGTTCAGCGTCCAAGGTGACTTTGAGGGTTTCCGTCATAAGCTGGTTCTGGGCAAAGACGGCTTCGACAAGGTCTGGGAGAGCGTAAAAACCCAAGTTGATGCTGTCATTGATGAGCACCAACGCGTCTTCCTCGACAAAGCCCTCAGTGTTGTTGAGCGATTGCCACCTGTACAACCATCTTCGGGCCCTGGAGCAGCGGCTACAGGAGAAGAGCCCGCTTGGAAGAATTGTTGGAACTGGAACTTGTGCGATGCTGCCTACGGCTCCTTGGTTCTCGATGTGAAAGAGGGTCGCGTTAGCGCCGAGCTCAAGAGTCAAGGCACGTTGTCAAAACCGTGTCACATTGAATTATTTTCTCATTATTGTTGTTTAGGTTTCAACTACGCGTACCGCCGTTCTGCCACTGTGTCAGCGACTCCTAACTCTGCAACCTCTGCCCTCCCCGCCCTCAACAACTCGAACACCGTCTCAAATACCCAACCACCCACGAAAGGTCCTACACCAGTGCCAGCTGAAAGACCCACTCCCCCGCATTTGAACAACAAATCTAATGCCCCGACGCCCCCACCACAAGCCGCCCCTGTCGCTCGACCACAATCGACAGGCAACGAGAGCCTCGTACCCAAGGTCAACGGAAATGGGGTAGCGGACAAGTCGGAGAAGGAGAAGACGAAGAAAGAGAAGAAAAAGGACAAGAAGGACAGGGCTGACGGGAAAAGCACGCCCGAAGTGCCGGCTTCTTCCTCAACGCTCCTTCCTGGCGCTGAACCGTCGTCTTCGACACCGGACTTGGGTGGGAAGGACCTTGACGAGGTGAACAAGTCGCCTGTGACGAGCCAACCAGGCGACGCGGGCAGCACGGGCGCGCGGACACCGAAAACGGGCAAGCCGCCCCGCAACCCTTGGACAATCTTTATGAGGATGGCACCCCACACACAAGTCGTCGAATCGGAAATCAGAGAGTTCTTCGGAGAGGCTAAGGATGGCGTATGTCCCTTTTATTTATTCTCTTGCCTTTTCCGCTTTTTGCGCTCTGAGAGTGTGTCAAATTGATGATGGTGGTGCTGACGCGTTCTTGTGATTCGCCATCCAGATCACAAAGGTGAATATGCCTCATCCCTTCGCGGGCAAGGCGAGACTGGCGTACGTCGAGTTTGGAGACGAAGAGGCGATGAAGGCAGGCCTCGAGAAGCACGCTGAGGTGCGTTGTTCTAATACCTTTTTGTTGCTCATTCCTCACCACTGTAATTCCAGACATTCAAAGACCAGACACCTGACGTCAAACAAGCGACAGACCGTGAATCCCGCGGCGAGTCGCCGTTTGGAGGTCGCGGTGGGTTCGGGGGTCGTGGTCGCGGTCGTGGAGGTGCCGGTGGAGGTTTCGCGATGAGGGGTTTGAGTGCAGCTGGGTTGACAAGAGGTCCGGGCCCACGGAACTCTAACGCGAACGGGGACGCTGGGCAGGCTTGAGAGGTTCTCTAACTGGATGAGACATAGGGCTGGGGCTTGAAGCCCGCCAGTGATTGACGCGACACGTCCCGTTCTTGACGGAAAGGTGGTTCAAAATTCGATTTTCATGTCGGAACTGTGCATTTTTTTTTCTTTTACCACCACTCCCTGCTCGAGTTCGCGCCCTCTTACTCGCTTTCACCAGTACCCACGATCAGTAAATACCCTTTGCTTTCTTCTGTCACCTTTGACACGGGATTTTTTTTCTTTCTTGCTTCTGTAACGCCCCATGGAATGCTTGCAAGTTTATCCTGCGTATTCTTTTGCTGGTGCCTCCGTCACGTTGCTTGCTGTCTTGATCTCATTATCTTAGACTTGAGAGGTGGACACGCCTGAAGGTCGCATATGCTCTCATGCTCTCATCTTACATTCTCATCCCTCATGGCTTCGACTTGGGCATTTCCTCCATGTTCCTTCATTGCTCTACATATGGATATAGGCCCGTACCTAGTGGCTAATTTGACACATAGCTTTATCTTCATGGTACATTCATGACAGTTGAGACAGCCAGGATTGAAGAAAGCGTAGTTAATGGTGCTGGGGTGATATGTTGGGATGGTAGGACAATAATGTTGCACGATTCAGGCGCCGACCTCTTCTCGGGGTGGAGGAGCACTCGCTACTGGGATGTGAGTGTTCGCAGAAGGTGGTGGTGGCGGATTGATCTTGTTCAACACGTCGAGCATGCGGCAGAAAGCTTCTGTCTGAGGGTTGGTGTATGCCCGTGCTAAAATACCGGATACTTGTCAGTCACTTCCAAGACAAACTCACGAGAATCAATCGTGGACCGTACGTTGTCGGTTTTTCTCAGGGCCCTCACTTCCTGGGCCAGGGGCAGTCATGACAAATGTCTGGTGATCAAACACTGGGATCTCGCCATGCTCGTCGCGCCGAACGTTCAGTTCAATCCAAGCAAGTTCGCGAGCGACCATTGCACGCGCTTCAGATTCTTCGGGAAAGGGTGCTTGCTTGCGTAGAGTTGACAGCCAAGGGTGAAAAGCACGCGCGATTGCAAGCCATTCGGGATCAAAGGAGAGACGAGGAGGATGGTAGTCTTCCCCAGATGAAGGCGATTGAAGTGGTACTGTTATGTCAACGACCTGAAATAAAAATCCCAGGTCAGACGCGCGATAAAGAGTTATGTGAAAGACCCGCCTCGAGAAACTGGCGCTTCGGTAAACATTTATCCAACGCCAGGAATTTGGTTGTCTTTTTAGGTGGCGGAGGCTGCGGTGGTGCTTCGACTGTCTCCTCTTCATCATCGAGGGTGATTTCGTCTGGATTTTTTGCTGAGCTCGCAGTGGGTGCAGCTGGCGCTGAGCTCGAGACATCGTCGTCATCGTCAATCTTAATCTCTTCCGGATTTTGTTGGGAGACAGGAGCTGGGGCGTTCTGTGAACTTTCTCCATGAACAACTGTGGCTTCGTATCGTGTATGAAGATGAGCCGCAAACCACCACTCTGGTTGTAGTGTTCGAAGGAGTCCCATGAGAGGCGGAGATCCTAGAACACCCTTGTCGATGTCACCTCGGAGGAAGCTTTTTCGACTGAGTAGACCTTGCAGGTCGCCGTAATGCTCGATGGATTGGGGCCAGTCGTGTGAGAGGAAGATATCAGCCCCAGAAAGCTGTGCAAATTTCAATATGACAGGGGAGGTGATGTTGTAGAATAAGACATACAAGTGATAATCTTCGCACATTGTATTCGCGGATGTGATAAATACTTCTCATGGAACTGTTGTCGTATGGTAGCCTCTCGTAATGGCCTACGAAGGGAGAAGCTGAGCATGCAAACGTAGAGAAGTGTGAAATCACATACCTGATCGAAAGTCGAAGGGCTTAAAGATGCCCGATGATCCTGCAATCTTTAAACCATTGAGTCTAACAGCTCCAGCATGGCCCAAGAAATAGATGTTAGGCGCCAGCCATCCTCCATGATAACTGTGTCTCAGTCAGGAGACTAGCGCCGAAGCAGAGGATTGCAGGCTCACAGCTCCCACATGTAGTTCGATGCTTCGTGATTCCCACCAATGACGAGGGTTAGGATTGGCGCCGTTTTCTCTCCCGTGTAATATCTACATTAGACGACCTGGTCAAAGATGGGCAAATGGCACAGGCGCTCAAAATCATACCTACTTGTAGAAGTGCTGCAGCTGCTTGTATTTGTTCGGAACGGCCATGCATTGCAAGTCTCGGTGGTTGCGCACGGCCTGGAAGTCCCCGCAGATTAAGAGAGCATCGACTTTGTAGTTATTCTTCGCTTCGAGTTGTTGGATGTGCGCGTAGATCGCGTCGAGCTCGCCGTGACAACAGCCTTCTACTGCAATCTGCAGTCAAAGTATATGAGATCGATAGCCTTGTATAAGAGGTCGCAACATACTTTCATCGAGAAAAATGGGTTGACACTGAAGACAAAATCTATGGTTAGAGACAAGCCTGAGATTCTGTCAGGGAACCAAGTCGTAAACGGAAATAGAACATTTGATGCCGCTTCCGCTACGCGTTCCTGCTTCCAACTTGACCACCTTCCTCCACCAGGCCTGAAGGCCTCTCTGCTCTCGACGATGCAGAAACTCATCTTCCAGGCAGTATTCCGGTCAAACCCTACCATCAACGCGTTCAGTTTCTCCCGGAGCTACTTCTCCAGCATCCCAACGCCTGCCGCACGCGGCAGCACACGACCTAACCTCTCGACGGGCTTTTTCTCCACTCATCGCGCCTTTCATTCATCCCTACTGCGACTTTCGCTCATTCAACCACCCGTTCATAAACCAAGGTCGCAAGCGACAAGACTACTCTGGTTCCATCGTTGGTTGTCGACCTCGTCGCGCTCCTCACTTCGGTATCACCCTCCTGATTCACACCCTGGGCAAACCCAACGACGCTTCCTGGGCTTTCTCGATAAGATCCCTCAGAATGTGATATTCTATGGGATTATAGGTCTCAACTCTGCTGTGTTCTTTATGTGGTATATGGCGTCGCAGAAATACGTGAGTAATTCCTTCGAATTTCTTCTACAGTTCAGGTGTGGCTCACTTAACCAGAGACTAGAAGGCGATCCATCAGCCATCTACTGGATGACAAACAACTTTACGGACAGCTGGAGAAATCTTGCATCTGGTAGAATGTATGTTCTTTTTGTCGTGTTTAGCTCAGTTTCTCATGTTCTCCCAGATGGACTCCCTTTACGTGTTGTTTCTCCCATAAAGACTGGTCTCATATCCTCATGAACGGCTTCACATTTTTCTTCATGGCCCGGCCTGTTCTTCAACTGCTTGGAAGCCGTCAATTCATCTTCCTTTACCTAGGAGGTGAGGCTCTACTCACCTCGTTGATGATCTTCTATTTTTTCTCTTATACTCTCTCTCCAGGCGGTTTGATCTCTTCATTCACCAGTCTGGTCTATGCTAAGTTGGCTGGGAAGTACGGCTACTCCTCACATGGCGCTAGTGGTCAGCACCTTCATTCTCCGTTGATGAAACTGCAGTGCTAATATCTCTTGGTTGAAGGCGCAATCTTTTCTATTGTAACTCTCCTCGCATGCGTAGCCCCCACTATGACATTCCAGCTCTATGGAATCATCCCTATTCCAGCGTGGCTCGTGGTGTCTGGACTGTTCTCATACGACGTGTATGCAACCGTCAAGAACACGGTGGGTCAAACCTGGCTGCATGCAAGTTTGAGTCTATGCTCATCATTTCTGATTAGGCTGGCACAACAGATACAATGGGGCATGTTGGCGGAGTTGTAGCTGGTATTGGATACTTCCTTCTCAAGCGATTTAGGGTCTTCTAGTGCGGGCCTTGTATGAAAGTAATCCAATGGATCCAGGAGCCCCCCACTCTCCAAAGGCCTCGGCATGTGCTGTAACTTTCTTTTTTGAGATGCTGATAGCATTTCGAAGGGAATGGCGTTGTGTCGGCCGTGTCTTGTTCGCTGATCATCTTCGGTCAGTCTTCGCTGAAAGTTAGTGGGATAGTGGGAGTAATAAGGAAGCGGCTGGGAAAGAGAATCCGTTGGCTCATGGGTTCAGCAAGAACGTTCTACTATCTGATACCGTTCGAAGAGCACTGGGTGACACATGTTCCGATCATCAGTCAACACCTCTAAAACCTATTCAACGAATACCTCCAATAGCAAAATGCTAGGAAAACGAGAGGAGAGCAAACGTTGAAGAGAATCGCACATGCGCATTCTTTGAATAGTGCTGAGCGCCGAGTTATCGCAAGTCCCGCCGGAACGGGGTGAGGCGCTCGGAGATCGACACACGTTCGAACTCGGCGTGCGCCGCGGTGACTTCCGTTTGGTCTTTCGTCCTGAACGTTCACTGCGCAGCGAGACGTCCTGTCTTACCGCTCCACGAGCGTGCATCCTCGTCAGCCTTCGTGCTCGTCCCTGCCTAGGCTTATGATACGTGAATCGCGATTCCGTTATACACGTTGACCTCAGCGCGAAGTGCCGCCTTAGACCTTCCGGATCTGAGAATCCTCCACTCAAACTGGAACCCAGGTTCGGAGGATTTCAAGTTTTGAACAGTTCCAGACGTAGCGGTCAGGCGATCGTGCGCGATGGATGGACTCGATGGCTCGATGGACTGCCTCACAAGGGAATGATCAATCTGCGCAGCATGGAATCGACGCCGCTCAGACGCGTACTGTCGCCGTACGGGTCATAACCGCGAAATCACGACGCGCATCGCTCTGCTCGTCTGACTCCGGTGGAGGCAGTGAGCGTGTATTCTCATAAATCGGAGCCTGACATAGTACTTCCACCAATCCAGAGGGGCACTGGACAGGAGTTCGGGCGCTCGTGGCTCAGGGAAAGGTCATGTTGTTCCTTCCTGACATTTGGAAATTCAGCTCAACAACGTTGTAGGTAGGATTTGTCGCTGCCTAAGAAGGCAACCGGGCGGGAAGCCGTTGGTTGAACGAATACATAATTTGTGGTTCCAAAGACGTACGCGGATGGAGCTTGTCCTTCGAGAAATTAGCCTTCTGGGAAGGAAGAGAGGATATCCGGGGATGCCAGGAGGCTTACGCGACGCAAACCTGAGCCTGCCAGCAGACAGAAGGCAATTTTTTGACTTTCCCCTCTCCCTTTCAAGTTTCATATCATTCTTTCGACAACGCTATCGAACGCTGCCTCCGTGCACAATGGGGGTATTATCTGTCGAGTTGCGGAGGCTACCCAGTTTGGCACGGAGCTCATGCGAATTGGCGGGTCTGCGGGTTTCCTTTTCTGGGCAGGGAATCCTGAACAAATCGCAGATGCACCCTGTTGTCGGTGTCCGTGCCAGCTTTAAAAGTCGCGTTCCGGACCTGAGCAATCTCTTTCTCACTCCCATCTCCTCCTCCTTTCGCCTCTCTCCTTACCGCACATCCTCTTTCGCTAGGCACACCCTTGCTAGCACCATCCCTATTTCTACCTCCTTTTCCTGTACCCACAGGTCGCTGTATACCATGTCACCAGCAAGCATGTCGAGAGCATTGCCAGGTATGTAGTGCATTCCTGTGTCTGTCGTCGTTGGTTGCTTACACCGCTCTTCAGAGTGCTGGGGTCATCGTGGGGTATGCTTCACATTCACATACCGCTTTAGGAACGCACCCATTGATGATGCGCCTGTGCGCTCCTTTTGACAGGCATCATCGCGCTTCCCCGAGAACACCCTAGCAAGCTTCGAAGCCGCCATTCGGGACGGTGCAGAGGGCATCGAGAGCGGTATTTCATTCTCCTAGGGCGCGTTCCATCCCCCGTAACCCCGAACACAGACGTCCACGTATCCGCGGACAATGTTGTCCTTATGTTCCATGACCCGGGTATGCACCGCTGTCCGCTCTCGCTGCCCTCTTTTGTCACTGACCTGGTCTTTCTACTCTTTTGTTTGTGACCAGCGCTCGGAAGGACGACGGACTCGAAAGGTATGCTCCCTCTTTCGTCTGGTGAGCCAGCACTAATGTTTCGAATGATTGTGCTCGTTTCCAGGACAAATCAAAGAGAGGAATTGGTACGGGGAGAATGGGATGCAGCATGTACGGACCATCAAGGAGCCCAAACAGTCTATACCGACTTTTGCAGAGACAATCGAGCTCCTCATGCGAGTGAGTGGCCACTCCCTCTCTTTCCGATATTGCTCGTTCACCACTTTCATGTGTTTCCAAAGCCCGAGAATCTGCACGCGAAGTTTAACGTCGATGTAAAGGTGCAGAACGACCCCGACAGGCTGTTTGCCCTCATGCACGAGGTCATCTCCGCTCAGCCGAACTGGGAGACGGTTCTTGCTCCAAGGATTCTGCTCGGCCTGTGGCACCCGCGATTCCTCAAGTACGCGAAGGCTAGATTGCCGTACTGCCGTCGCTCCTACATTGGTGTCAGCACCCACACCGCGAGAAAATACTTCTGGAAAGACTGCGATGCGTTCTCGGTGGCGTTTGCTGCTTTGACGACCACTGATGGTCAGAGGTCAGTTTCTCAACATTCTTTGAACGATTTTGTTCTGCGCGGCTTACATTTGCTTTTGGGTGTATAGGTTTAGGCAAGAGTGCAAGGCCGCGGGCAAGAAGTTGTTGGTTTGGACTGTGAACGAGCCTGCGCACATGATGGAGGTGTGTCAAGCTGCTTTGTGTGAACATTACGGCGAGCTGATATCAAGTAGGCGGTTCGATGGGGTGTGGATGCCATCATTACGGATTACACGAAAACATGGCTGGATTTGCGGACATCCCTCCGAAGTGAGTTAAAAATAAATCATCTTGTATGTATTTGATATCTGACCCGATGTCGCTTTTATAGCCGACTATGACAAAATTGGTTCCCAATACGGTCGCTTCTTCCTCTGGACAACTCTCCACTACTACTCGCCAGTACTTCTGGCTTACAGCCGCAAGGCGCAGAGCTACCTCGAGAGTGTTGCTGGACCATTTGACGATTGCCTCGCCGACGTGACCCCCGTGGTGGTCGAGACGAAAGCCTAATTTCTTCTGGACATCTCGCGTTCAGTGATGATAGCTATTCATAGACTCTTGAGTCATTCAAGTTGATGTGTATCAGGACTTGCCCCTCGAGGCTCCAGACATGCCTTTTCCTCATACCTACCTATAGATTTTTATACCTGCTTGGCTGTAGAATAGCTCGACGATTTCCCTTTCCTGGTGTTGGCTGCGTCGCCATTTACATAATGGATTTTTACGTTTGATGTCTAGACTTGTGTTGTTGTGAGACTGAACCGGACCGGTGAAGATATGTATGTCATCAATGACCATGCGGACAGACGCGCACTTGACCGCAATTTACCTTTTCCTCTCCTTCCACTAAGTTTACAGCCCTGACTCTGACTCGAACCTGGACGGGAGCCCAATAGCGCTCCGTCTCACTCTCTTATTAGATCCTAATCATGTCTTCCTCTACTTCATTACCCCGCCGAACACATCGCAAGCGTGTATCCGCACTCAGGCTATCTTCCGATACAACTTTCTCACTACCGGAGTACGACCCCACCGCATATCACAACCCGCACCATCGTCAAGAATCGAGAGTAGGAGGGGCAGGAGCGAGAGAGGAGCCTATTCCACTGGACAACCCGCCAGATTACCCGGACAGTGCGGAAGAAGCAGACGAGGACACAGATCCAGAGAACGACTCCAACGTCGTTTACGTGCCACAACTCCCACCTGCTGCAACCCTTTCGCCTCGGGCGCAAACAGCATCTCCACGACACACTAAACGATTTCTGCCAACCCACAAACGCCGCGTGTCGTCGCAAGTTCCTTCAAGATCCTCTGACCCATTCCTCGATTCCCTGCTAGAGCGAAGTGTATACGCCCTGGAGATGTCCAACACCCTTCTTCAGTCGTCCATGTCCACTCAGACAAGCCTTTCAGCGATTTTGAGGTCGGATTCGCCTGGAGATAGCACGCTGGAGGCGCGTGCTATCGGTTTGTCGTCACGGATAAAGGATACGTGGGATGCAGGACCGTCATGGGCCGCTAACCTCGAGGAGATCAGCAAGGGAGTCGAAGGACTTTTCGGCGAGGATGAGGCAGAGCGTAGTGATTCTGCCGTGGTTGTCGGTGTCGGAAGACTTGGTTCAGGCGTCTCGAACCACAAGGCTGAAGGCAGCTTGAGTTGCAGCCTTCCCACTTCAAGCGTAGAGTCAACAATGCGCAGGAATCGGAGAAGACCCTCTCTGGATTTGCGCCAGTCCTCGGATTCGACTGGATCACGATTACAGTTGGGACGGCAGAGCCGCGCTAACATTGTCTCGCCGCCGCCACGCGCGCTAACGCAGTACGTTGCATCGACCCACGATGCAGACTCGATCATCCTGCCCTCAACCATTGGCCTGCGTTCGCCGTCTTCGGTCCACCATACTCCCGAATGGAAACCTCTATCCGACCTCGCTTCACCCTCGACCACAAGCTTACTCTCTACTGCATCATTCTCTACCCCCTCTCTCCCCCCAAAGCTCACGGATAAGCCGTTGGAGCCTTCAACACCAGCATATAACATGCTTTCTTCATTCGTATACAAACCTTCGTCGTCAGGTTCTGCCACTCCTTCAACATCGTTCACCAGTTCTTTTATCCACAGCAGATTCCGAGACTCCAGGAGTACCAGCACTAGCACAGAGCGGAGTAATGGCAATCCGTCCAAGCGGCGCTCCTCTCCGTCTCCCAAACCACCTGATTCTAGAACAAGTCGCCAGAGTCGTTCGTCGAATTCGGGTTCGCAACATACGACATCCAATCGTGGTGTCTCGCCTTTGGCGCTGATCATTCACCGCCCGATGACGCCTCCAATGGAGGAGTCTTCACATTCTTCATCTTCAGATGGTTGCGTCGCGAAACTTACCGTGCAGAGTCTGCGAAAGATTCTCGACGATCAACCTGCGGCGCAGGACTTGAATGCGTCTAGTTCGAGATCTTCCTCCTGTGGGCGAGGAAGGATGAAGCCTCCGGCATTCATGCCTCGCACGCCTGCACCTGTGCCGCAAGCGAGCACGTCCACTGCTACCGCATCTATCTCGAGGCTGTTCACCAAAGGCACTCACTCGTCGTCGACGCGCGCTCCGTCGCCACCGCGCCTGTCTGCGATGAAGCACTCGAGAAACTCGTCCCTTAACACAACACCCTTACCATCACCTCTATCTCCGCCCTCTCCTCCTGAGCCTCCTCCCGGCTCCGTGTCGGCTTTAGACCCACCGCCAACTCCAAATTCGTTGGACACTTCGACTTCAGCAAATGGAACGAACCCCCCAACACTGACAACAGCTCTCATACCTGACATAGTCTCCAAAGTCCTGCTCAACGGACGAAACAGCACTTCGGCGTCAAGTTCGGGTAGGTCAACTCCCAACAAGCGCATAAGCTTCGCGGAGTTGCCCGAATCCTACGCGAGCACACGGCCTGTTGGACCAGAATACTCCACGTTCAATGAGCGGCGCGACAGCGGGCGTAAGAAACGGCGGAAAGGCTCCAAAGGATTCTTGTCGTCGCCTGACCTCGGAAGTAGGAAGGACGGGCTGTTGGGAAGTGGAGGAGACGGAAGCTGGTGGGGCGGGTGGTTGACTCCCAGCGGGCTAAGCATGAGCCTCGCAAAGCAGGAAGAGCGAATGGAGGATCGGATGACGAGGAGTTGGGGTGGGCGGATGGGTGCTGGGTTTGGTGGTGGCTTAGATGAGTGGGCTGTTTGATATTCGAACCATCGAGTTTGTTGCTGTCTTTCTTTCGCCGTCTTTATTTTCTTTGGTGTCCATTCCTCCTCCCTATGCTCTCCTTGTTCATCTCACTTTCTTCCTGCCCTGCGTACACGCCTATCTTTTGCTGTAGCCTTAAACATTTCTCGGATATTTTTGTTCTTTGGACTTCCACGCTGATCCCGGCATCTGCAGACTCCAAAGATCCCTCTTTAACTTATTCATTCAATTGCTTTTTATCTGCGTTGCTCCTAACGGTCCTACCTGTTACGACCTGTCACGAATATCATGTACTTCTCTACACAAAAGGCTTTTTTTTGGAAGGAAGGCATCCAATTTCACAGACGGACGGAAGGAGAATTCTTTTGATTTCATTTCTGAGTTCAAGGAGAGTGGCATCTACATATATACAGGATGTGATGTTGTACAGCGGAGAAACGACAGGAGGGGTTGCATATACAGGTAAAGACACAAGGAACGTGGTTGCAGGCCCATCGCCTGCAGAAGAGGGGTCAGAGGATGCATACAGGTGTGGATTTGAGCTTGGGTTTGTTCGATAGTATGAGGCATAAATTGAGCTTGTGGGCGGACGGCGGATGAAGTTCGACGGAGTGGTTGGGAACATAGAATGGATAACGGAAGCATAGGGTTGGGAGGGTGAGATAAGTTGTAGGATGATGCGAGGAGGAAAAGAACAAAGAAATCCAATAACGGAAAGAATAAAGTTGGCAGTAAAAGAAAAAGGAGCAAGAAAGAACAAGAGCAGCAATGCATCCAGTGGAATATCCTGCTGAGTAGGGGGAAAAGTCGATGCAAGAAAGAAAAAACGTGAGAGCGTGAATGTTCGGGAAAAAGATACAGGTGACAAATGCAGGCTATTAGGTAGAGCCCGCGTATTTTGGCGATGAAAAGATGAAACTGAGAGAGAACAAAGACGACTTGGAGGGAGGAAATGAAAATGTGAGATATTTGAAGTTGATATCAATATGTTGTGTGTTGTACTTGATTCTATTCTTGAAGTTGAACGTTGCGTTGATGCGTTGCAAGCCTGAGCCCCCAGATCCCAAGTACGCGCAGAGGGAAAACCATGACCAGACCCGCCTGGCGACATTCCAGCAAACACCGACCTCTCGATCCTCGAGTTCGGCGTTCCAGCCGGCCTGGCAAAAGCTTGAGTCCATCTGCACGATACGTGCGTTCGCACGAATCGCTACATATAAAAGTTATACCAGACCAGCAACGCAAAAACGAACACGAAAGCGAGGCCCTTGGTCATCCAATCCCAGAGCCACCTGAACATACGCGCGGTGCCCCAGGAAGTACGACCATCGGCGATGAGGACCATCCCGAACGCGATGTCCTCGGCCTGCGCAATGGTGCAGTTGAATTCTTCGAGGGAGGTGACGAGCCTGGCGGTGACGTGGGTGGGAGCGGAAGTGGAGGGGGTGGCGAAGGGCGGGAGGAATGCAATGACGCGTGTTTGGTACCGTCCGGCAGCGCGGATGATGCCCTCGATGTGCACGGGCAGGCGGGAGAGCGCGGTGCTCACTCGGGAGGTCGTGGTTGGGGTGTCTTGAGCTACGTCTGTAGTAGGTGGATTTGCGTTGTGGTTGGCGTGCCGGTTGCGCGTGCCGCTGGGTCCTGCAGTCGCGTTGCGTTGCTCCTGGCGGTACGCGTTCGCGCGGATGGTCGGTGCAGGGCTCGGGCTCTTGGGAGGTGTGAGGCGGTTTAACCACTGGGTCGCAGTATCCACAATCTCCGTCGGGGTCCACGACGCGTGGCGGCTCAGCGTCCCGGTAGAGTTGGCGTTTTCCTTGTCCGAGTCCTCTTGGTACTCTTCCTCTTCCCCACCGTCCTCGGACACGCCCCTGCCCTTGCCCTTGTTGACGAGCAGGAAGTTATCTTTGAGGTAGGGATTGACGCGCCGAACGTTTCCTCGCGCCGGGACGACCCACTTATCGGGAACGAGCGGGTCGAAGGGGTAGCGCGGGGGCGAGCGCATGAGGGGTTGCGGCTTTCGCGGGGTCTGGGGCGGCTCCTCATGCTCGCACTCCCCTCCATCTCCAGAGGGGGTCGGGCTGGGTGATGGGAGCGGGGTGGTACCGAAGGACGAGAAACGCGAACGGGTGCTTCGCGTGTGGCGGCTGGTGCTGTTGGTCTCGTCGCTGTCCTCTGAGAGGGAGGAGCTTTCGCGTGTCGGAGGATGGCAGAGACCTCTCTTGTGTCCCAGCATTGGCTCGCCGCAGGTACGGCAATGAGGCCGGGCACGAGGTGCTGTGGACAACATTTTGCTGCTTGACTTGATTTTTGAAGTGCTAGAATCGACCTGGGGGGCTTGAGGATTCTAGGTGGGTTAGGTTATGGTTAATTCTGCAATTCGTGGACATAGTCAGCTCACAAATGCGCCGTCGACGCGTCAATCCAGACGCACCTCTTCTTGGAAACACAAGAAAACGGGGTGGATTCGAGTTCGATGGGAAACCGGCCACGAAAGATCTTTCTCCGGGGCTCCTAGGCGTCTTATATACACCATCGCTTGTTGAACGTGAACAAGAGTCCTTCGTGGTTGGCATTGGTTGCAAGGGTAACGAGAATATAAGCGCTGTTGTTGAAGGGAGGGTTGTGGTCGCTTGCGAGAGCGACAGGGGCCTTGTATTTTGTCGAGGAAGCTGGCAGCGGTCAAGAATGTCGAATCCTTGATGAGGTCAACAACACCAAACGGGAATGGAAATTGCGGCGCACCATAGTGACCTTGTTGATGGATCCAACTTCGCGAAAAAAAATACAAGGTCCCCTTCTACGAGGAAAATAATGAGGATAAGCATCTCCAAATTCAGAGTCCATGGTGGTCCTTGTATTCGTGCATGCCATGTTCGGACCACAACTTGCCAATTATTGAGCAAGGTCAACATCGAAACTTGAAGTGGTGCCCTTGGGCCCACCAAAATGTTATTGTGGTTCTACACGAAATGAGTTTGTAAAGAAGATACAAGGGTATTAGAAGAAAATCAACCGAAAGCCTGTCAGCAGTAAGATATACAATAAGTACAAATGGCATGCACGAAGAACGACGAAAGATCCAGATTATGCGAAAGGGTTTGGTAGGATGGGATTCGCAGCGAGGTATCGCTTGGGTTCCTCCCACAGCGCCCTCTTCACTCTCGTGAACAGGCTCGGACGGGTAACACGCGCACGAATCACCAGATCCGAAATAACGCTCTCGTCTCTGCCCATGAGGAACCACTTCTCGCCCTTGTTCCCCATGTCCCAACTAACATGGCCATGACGAACCACCGTGACCGCATCGCCGTCCCGCGGCTGACGGATGCTGTGGCCCTTGAGCCCATACCCGGCCGACGAGATGCCAAAGAACACCACGTCGTTCTGCGGCACGCGGTAGATGACGAGCTCGTCGCCCTTCTGCTTCCCCAGCCGCTCCTTGCTCCAGTCGCCAGTGACGCGGATGCGGACGGGGGACTCGTCGTCGGCACCGGGTGGAATGATGTACTCGGACTCGGCGTCTGCGAAGTAGGCTTCGGTGTGGTAGAAAGAGGTGGTGGTGCGGCGGGGGGTACGGTGGGTGTAGCGGTCTTTGGTGACGGGGTAGAGGCGTTTCTTGGTGTAGGGCTTGGGGCGGGCGGAGTGTGGGGGCTTGGGGGGAGGGGTGGGTGCAGGTGGAGAGGGTGTGCCGTAGGAGAGGAGGTTGAGAGAGTCGAGTGTGTTGTACAGGAACTGGAGGCCTATCGGGCCGGGGACGTTGTACAGCACGAAAGGAACCTCGTCGGTCTCTTCCGTGGATTGGGATGAGGATACAGAATCCAGCAGGAGATGTTTGATGAGGTCTTCATCCTGGAGGTCCTGCTCGTCTGGTGTGGGATCGGCTGGCCGACGGGACGATGTCGAAGACTCGGAGTAGATGGTGTTCTCCCTGGACAGTGGCAGGTCGAAGCGCACGCGCCGGGATTGCGGGGACGAAGGAACTTTGGGCATCGCGTTTAAAGATGATAGAGGGCCAGAGCACGCTTTGGGCACGCGTTAATAAGGGGTGCGGGGAGGACCAAGCGCTGTTTAGAAAGCGGTGCTTGGACGGATAGATATGTGATGGGCTGGCTACACATGTTGCCAGACGACAAGAACGACTGCCCTTCGTGGTACAAGGCCAAAGCGCACAGGCCAAAGCATGTTGTCCAGCCGGCCCTTGTCCGCATTTGGCCACCGGGAATTCACGTGATCGTGGGCACGACGCGTGCACATTCAGACTCCGCCCACCCACAAAACTCCGGCGCGAAAGTTTTCTCTTTCCTCCAAGTGTCCGCATCCAACCCTCTGAAGCGCTCAGCGCAAGCGACAGACGTTAACTCATCTGCATGGCGTTAATACTTTCTGGTTGGTGGAGCGAGGCGCCCTCTCGGGGGCTGCTCACGAGAACAAGCAGCGCCCGTCCCAGCTCGTCTCTTTGCGTCCGAGTCCGCTCCGGCGTCGATTTGGATTGCGGGAGGCTTGAGCTGCCCGGTTCCTGCGTCGTCATATTCCTGTACCTGCCGTATCTCGCTACTATGTGGCCTTGACGGCGTGGTTAAACCATGACGAAGACATTCTTTCACTTTTTGTATGTGTGTATATCTCGCTTGAATGAAATCTGTGTTTCCTTTCGTCTCCTGCCTTACAAAACTGCATTGGAAGCAAATTAACCCTCAATAAGTTACATATTGCACACGACCACCCAAGAACCATAAAGCATTACAAAATCTACTTTGCCTTCGTCGAAGTATGCTTATAGTCCTCGTCGTCACTATCTCCCACATCAAAAATCGGCGCGTCAGCTTGCGTCTCATCTACCCTCTGCCGTTGTTTGCCCTTGCCCTTCTTTGATACGTCGTCTTCGCTATCATCGCCATTTTCTCTCCGGAGTGCCGAGTTCAGCGGTATGCTCTCTTCAGCCTGGGAGAACGGCAGCTGCACACGCTTCTTCCGTAGGCGACACCACACGAAGGTGCCGATGACGACGAACACCAGGACGAGGACGAGTGCGGCTGAGCCTGCGTTGTAGTACGCTGCAAGTATGATGAAGGCCATCAGCCTACCGTTCGTTCGACCACTGTTTCATGAAAACGCACCTTCCCACATAGCCTTATCCTGCTCCGGCGTCTTCGCCGGCGCCACCCCAGACGGCTTCGCCTCATGCTCCTCTACAAAGATCGCCTTCGACTCGCTGCCCACTGCGCTCGGTATCCTCGCCGACCCATCAACAAGCGCCGTGAAGTTGACACCCATGAACCGCAGGATCATGTCGTGCGTTATGTGAGGGACGTCGAACGGCGCCATATGCGAAGCGTTGAAGATCTTCGCATATGTCAGGTTGCGCGAGGTGACCCAGGTGCCCGCTGGTTGCGAGTTGACGGTCCATGGCTGTGTCTGTACGGTCTAAAGAAACAAAGTCGGGTGGTAAATAAGGGCAGGGGAAAGAAAAGGAAAGAAAAGGCGTACACCCAACCCAGTAGCCCCATTCCACGACAACGCCTTGATCATATTCTCCAGTCCAATATAGTTACAAATCAAGTCCTGGTCGCCCGCGAAGATCAACACCGGGATTTTCGACAGCACGCGCGGGAGCACGCTGACAGACGACTCGGACGTGCTCTCGTGGAACGCGCGGTGGACATCGGTGCGGCACTCGATCCAATTGCCCGGGTGTGCCGTTGCATGCAGGGCGCTGACGACTTCGGGGCGCTATATGAGCCGTCAGTATCGGGAAGGGAAGAAAGGGAAAAGGTTGGAAGGACGTACGCCGAGCAACTTGGTAATATGGGGCATTTCTGGAGGCCAGTTCATCCCGCAGGCTGGGGAGGTGTCTTCTAACCGGATGTCGTAAATGTTGATGCACATGTCGACGCCCTGTTTCCTATGCCGACCCATTAGCCCAAACTTTTGCAAGTGAAAGTGGACGTACTTATGTTCTCGTGCCGCCATAACCGACCGAATAATAGTGGAGCAAGCACGGACAGACATCGGGTTGTCCTTCTTTTTCTCCAGCTCAGCCTCGCACTTATCTACTTCCCCTTTTACCACCTTCCACTCCTTTGAAACACGACGCCCATTAGACCGAGAAAACTGGAGCTCACAGCACACCCACCTTTGAGTTATCCTCCACCAGCCCAGTCTTCACCGCAAACTCGAGATACGCGGGGTACTGCGACTTGGAGTCTATCCATCCGTTTCCAATGGCGATGCCTCTCAGCGGGATATTGAGTGTCGAGTTTAGCATAGCATCGGCTAGACCGGGAGGGCATCAGCCATCATTCACTTCAGGGCGTCCCAGTTCTACGGCGACCTACCAAAGTAAGGTATCCATTGGCCGGCGAAACTCTCTCCGCCGATGTATGTCTAGGGGACGAAGGGTAAGAGGACGATGTGTGGACGAAAGCAAAGAGACACGCACATCCATGTTTTTGTACTCTGGGAAGACATCATACCAGTTCTTCAAGAATGTGAGGAGTTGCGCTTGCGCCTGAAAATAGTGGACATCATTAACGCTGGAAGGATTGAAAGGTGTGGAAGAACGCACGACGTCGATAGTATGGACATATTGGTCAGTACTCGTGTAAGAGAAACCTGTGCCGGCAGGTTGGTCGACTGGATGGTGGCGAAGACGGCATGTTCAGCGTCAAAGTACAAATTGAATAGAGACAGGAGGCGCACTGTATACCATGGTGGTGTACTCCTCCCAACCACCGTCTTTGACATAGAAGTCATGATCAGACTTGCCGTCCCACCGCCATGGCCCAACCTCCATCATCGCACCGTCAAACGAGGAGCATCCTGGCCCACCCTATATCTATTCTTTAGCCACGCACTTATCAGAGAAACAGAGTAGAGACGAAAGCGCACGTTAAACCAAAAGACCAGTCTCTCCCTGTCCGCGGTGCGCCGGTTCTTGACCATGAAGAAATATAGGTGCGGAGTTACGTCCTTGGCGGACTTGGTGGCGAGGTCGGGGTCTGACGAGAGGTGACCGCCGTACATGGTGAGTGGGTGCTCGGCATTTTGGTGGATGTGTGGTATGGAGGGGATGTAGAAGGAGGCTGCGGAGGGGACTGTCGCGACGGGCGTCGGCTTCAGTCAGTTACGAGGCAGAAAGAAGGCAGCTCACCGTCTGTGGGTGCGGCGGCGGCGCGTAGGGCGACGAAGAGCAGCGGGAAGAGGTTAGGGAGCCAGCGAGCAAGACATTCGGGATGCATTTGGGGCGGAAGCAAGTGCCAGCGCAAGTGCGTCAATCAAGGTGATTGTGATTGGCGGAAAGCTGGAGATAACACAACGCGAGGCACTCCTCTCCCTTGCAGGACCCGAGTACTGTCCTGCATCATCCTAAGCCATGAAGCTGTCCGCCCTCGCCCTCCTTGCTCTTGCGAGCACCGCACACGCCCAATATTTCTCTGCAGGCTGGACTCCCGGCCAGAAGCCGCACGACACAGAGCCTGCGCCCGACGCCGCTGCTCAAGACTCCTCCCCCTCTTCGCCCCCTCCACCACCAGCGAACGCCGCCCCGTTCAGCTTCTCCAGCCTCTTCGACATCAACAAGCTCCTGACCTCCGAGCCCGCCGTATCGCTCTTCAGCAAGTTCGGCGTCAACATCACCGAGAAGGTACACACCGCCCTCGAGACCAAGCTCTGGGACGACCGCGTCGAGCTCATCACGGACGATAACTTTAAAGAGCTTATTGTGGAGGAGAAGTTGACGCCTGAACAGGAGCAGAAGAGGACGTGGATTATCGTCGTGTGCGTACTTGTTGAAGCTATTGTCAACATTTACGGAGGCTGATGTGTTTGTGGACTGTGTAGCTCTGTCACTTCTGCCAGGCAGGACGGTGTCTCAAAGTACCTCGACCAGGTGTTTGACTCGGCGTTCAACCAGACCCAGTTGGCGGGTGACCTCCCAGATGTGAAATGGGGTCGTATCGACTATCTCAATGTTACTTACATTACCACGAAATGGGGCATTTGGCAGTACGTACGCCGTCTATGCCGTCCTCTTATTTTTTTCTGACAACTGTGCATCATAGGGCACCATATCTCGTCGTTCTGAGGGACCGCGGCCAGAGTCTTCGCTTCTACCGACCTTACCAGATCCGCCTGCGCGAAGACGCTTTGCGTGAATTCCTCAAGAACGATGGCTGGAAGGTTAGCCCTCCTTGGTCGTCCTCTTTTGCCCCAGGCGGAGACAAGTAAGCGTCCCTCTCCCTTTCTCCCTCCACTCTCCTAAACCCTGCATCCCAAGTGAATACATCATGGACTTCCTCGCGACCTGCCTAACCAAGATCTACAACCTCGTGGTCCTCGTTCCGAAGTGGGTCCTGCTGCTCGCCTCGGGAAGTCTGGCGTCTGTGATCATTGGCCTCCTCCACCGCCCATCGCAGAAGAAGGTTGCGAAGAAGCCGAAGGCGAAGCCTGAGCACGTCGCTGTCCCTGCAAGTGGGTCTGGTTCTGGCACTGAGAAAGCTGGACCGTCGTCGGCCTCGGTCTCGAAGAGTGCGACGCCTGCCCCTGCCGTGACGGACAGCGAGCGCGAATCGTCTGCTCCTCCTGGCAAGCGCCAGAGTGCGAGACAGCGTAAGAACAAGAAATAGGCGCGCGAAGGTGCAAGCGGAGAAAGGAGGGATCCTGAAGCCTCCTCGCCTTTTCCAAGTTGGTTATGCCAACATTAGCTCACGGTTATTCGTGGTATCGTGAAGGTGAAGTGCTTGTGTGCGATCTATAGCGAGAAATTATGTAGGATGGAACTTGGCTCCTGGATTCTTGACGGGCGTATTCATTGTTGTATATATCATGTGTTTTTAGTAGTACGCTATGTATGCTATGTAAACGCACCATCTTTCCCTTGCAACATCCATCCATCCAGAGAACCAATAGAGTAGGTGTGCCCCAAAGTCCACACTACGACCCTCAGAGTGCCATTCTCGCCGAAATCTGTCTTATACGTTTGCAAGAGGTGACGGCCGGTCCGCTGGCCTTGGAAAAGAGTTTGTCGACGCTAGGACGACCATCTGTTTTTCGTGGCTGATATATCCGCGGATGAATCCCTTGTATATCATGTTCGCAACGAGACACTCTGCTTCTTCTTCAGGCACTTCGTTCCCTGAGATGGCGAGTGCTGTGTGGAACATAGAGATAGGAATACGCGTCGCTTTCTCTGAGGCAACCCAGCTGAGGAGTGATTGATGGATCATGTCAACACCCAGAAAGCCAGAGTGAATTCAGGGACTCACACTCGGCGGAACAGCCCCCTCAAACAAAGGTCTCGCGCCTTCTCGAGCGAGAACCACAAATTGAGCTCTAGCAATCGCGTCTCCCACTTCTCCAATGCCCTGTCATATCCTGCGAGGTCGCCTTGTCGAATAGCCGTGTTGAAGGGTGCGAAGATCTCGTCGAGGACAGGGAAGCGTTTCATCAGCTCTACTGATGGGAGGTGACCTTTGAGGATCCGGAGTGGGATTAGGTATGCAAGAATTCGCCTGTTGGGATGGGATCCGATGGGTGTTTAGGGCCAAGAAGAGGGGAGGGGGGACAAATCGTACTCTTGATTGCTGTGTGCGCCAATATGGCAGTTGTAAAAAGCAAGGGTTAGCTCTTCCTCAGACTGTCAGCTTTGGTATCAGACAAGCGTCATCGTTCAAAGATCCAGAGAACGTACCTTGGCGAACTCTTCATTCAGAAAACTCAGCATGCCGATGTAATACCTATAAGTGACCTTCCACACACTGTCAGAGCCATAACTCCAACCACAAATACTGCTTTACTTGATGCGACTTGGGGAAAGCGGAAAGCGGAGGAATGTCAGTGTTGGCGTCCAGAGCGCGAAGGATGTTTTTGGATAGGGATATCCGCTTAACCTAGCCAAAACACGCCTAGTGGCAGCATAAGAAATATACAAAAGAGACCAACTTGCCCGAAAGTATGATTTCAACACGAGCCCGACGACGTAGTAGACACCCCATTTTCTTGATTGGTCGGGAGGTGACGTTCTGCAGACGTTGAGAACACAAGATAGGCTTGAAACAGATAGGTAGAAGTACCTGTCCGTCATGCAGTTCCCAAAGGCTTTCGCGATTATCCTCGCTGATTCTTCCATGCAGTCGCTCTTCTGATTGTTGTACTTCGCATGCGAGTCCGCCTGTACAGCCCATCCTTCGGTTCAGACACCGCTGTCAAACGCAACCAGAGACGAGCAACGTACATCGATAGCGAGGTCTCTCAGGTCGCGCAGGATTGAGAACAGCGCAGGCAGCGTCCACCCTCGGTTCTCGGTGAAGAACCGCATGAAGAACCTACAATCCTCTTGAGCACAGGCAAGTCTAGGTAAACGCGCCCAGAATTCGAATTTACATTACGAGCTGTGATTCCTCCTTGAACGCTTCGATGTACCGCTTCTTCGCGACGTGTGTGCACACCAGCACGTACTGGATCGCGATGTCGTCCCAGGGGTTCTGCATGCACCCGTCATACCGGCGCATTGATTCTCGCTAAGTTGTCAGAAAGGATAACGGCCGTGAGCTTGATTCTGGTAGGGGATGCGTGGCACAGGCGTACTGAAGGATTCCTGAATTCCTTTACTAGATCCTTTCCGTGAGGACTCGTCGGGCGGAGAAGGTACGCGAGGTTTGGGCCGTTTTCGGCGATTATGGCGTCGTTTAGCTGAGAGATGAACGTTGAGAATTCCATGGGCATAGTTGCGTTTTAGATCCTGCAGGGTGAGACCTGGCGTGTGCGACGTATAGAGTTGGTTTGAAGTGAAGATGAAAGGTGAGATGATGTTGGTACGTAGATCAAGTCTTCAACGGCCCGCTTAGAGTAGTCAGAATTGATAGCAAGTCCGTAGTGTCTCTCATTCCTTTACAAAACCTACTATACAGTCCTCTAGCATACATGAATCCAATACAGTAACGCTCCTTCTACCGCAGATCCATCAAGGAGCTAGTCAATCGTTCAGCGACCGCTTCTGGCTCCTGCCTGGCCATCTCAACGATGCCCAGCAATTTCTTGATTCCGATTTGCAGTTTGGGTGTCAGATCGTCCCTCCCTCCAAAGCCAGCATCCTCGAGCATCCTGACAGCCCGCCTGCGTTGCTGCTCTGACGGGAAGAGCTCCACTTCTTGCACGACGTACTCCAAAGCGCGAAGTGAGGATATGGGAGGTACGCGTAGTTCCGAGTCGAAGGTTTCTGAGAGCCCGAGGTCAGTAAGGATGGGTCGTAAGGATGAGGTTGCGATAATCAGAAGGCGGCGGCCCTGAAAGTCATCTGAGTCTCTACAATCGCTCTGTCGAGGTGGGATAAATACCTTAGGTGGCCGACGGTTGAATAGCACAAGCAAAGTTTGAAGGACAGCATTGGAGAACCTAGCACCCATAGGCGTCCAATCTAGACTCACCTTCAGTAAATTGTTCAGCACTCTTGTGCATTAGTTTGCTTACCGATCAACCGTTCAATGTTGTCGACCACGACCACGCTCAGCGGACTCTTATAACTATCGGTGAAAACCTTGGTGATAGCTGTGACCTTCTGAGATTCAGAGAAGCCGACCATGTTGTCTGGCGAGATCAGCTTGATGAACGGGTATTCCGACGCTTGGGCGATCGATGCACCAAGGGCTGTCTTCCCTGATCCTGGAGGGCCATGGAGAAGAATGCTAACGAGGGGCGTCCTAGTTGACGTCCGCACTTGGTCTACGAACAGTATCCCAGTTTTGAGGAGTTCCTATGTAAACCAATAAGACGGTGACGAGTAATGTGGTATAAGTGAAGACGAACATCAACAACTGGGTCATAATGAATGATACCATTTTGTATCACTTGCTGTAGTTCCTCCTCCGAGACACCGAATGCCGGATGTACTTCGTCTAGAGCTCTCAGAAAGTCTGCTCGGTTGACCTGGAGGTTTTCCACATCGTCAGAAATGCCCGCCATGGTGCCAACTTTGACGTGTCGATTGAAGGCAAAACTTGTGGCACTCTTGATCAAGCCGCCAATCTCAGCTCCGGAAAAGTTCTTCGTGAGGGAGGCCAACTCTAGCAGGTCGACATCGGGGTGCATAACGCCATTCGTTCGCATCTTCGAGGTGTGGATGCTGAGGATCTGGTGACGACCCTTCTCGTCGGGCAGTGAAATCTCCATGTGCACCTCCAGACGACCAGGACGGAGGAGGGCTTCGTCGATCATGTCGATACGATTGGTCATACCAATAACGAGGATGTTGTTCAACTGATCAACACCGTCCATCTAGTTTGTCGATCAGCTTATCAAGCGTGGAGCATGAAGCAAAAAACGAACTTTTGAGAGAAGCTGGTTAACTACAGTATCGCCAACACCCGTCCCGTTATTTGTGGAACCGCGTTGCTTGAAGATAGCGTCCAACTCGTCGAAAATGATGATATGGAGACCACTCTCATCACCCTTCTCCTTGTACTCCTTCTCTGCATCTGCGAAGAGTTTACGAATGTTCTCTTCAGAAGCACCGACATATTTGCTCAGCACTTCTGGGCCGTTGACGATCTTGGGTTCACGAGCATTCAGCATTTTCCCGATTTGCCTAGCAATGAGTGTTTTGCCAGTTCCAGGAGGTCCATGGAGAATGAGACCTGTGCAGACGTAAAAAGGGGAAATGTGATGCAAAGCAGCTTGTCATACCCTTAACGTGTTGAATACCAAGCTTGTCCACAAGTCCAGGGGGGAATACGCGAGATGCAAAGGCACGTCGGAAGATGTCGCTGAATTCTGTATCAAGACCACCAATTCCCATGTCTTCGAATTTGAAATTGGGCGCAAGGATAGCGTTCGCTGGCGCTCTGACAATATATGAGCATGCAGTAATAGACAAAAACGTTATGCAACAAACTTCTTCGCACTCGACTTAAGCTTGATGAGACTATCAGGGGCCTTCATAAAGGTCACATCCGTCTTTGTTGAGTACAGTATGCCTGCGTCTTTGAAAACAGAAGGCGGCTGTCCAGGAACTTCCAAGATCGAGACGCCCTTCACTGTTGCCTTCAAGTTCTGACCGTGATATTCGAAGACAATGATTTCATTGGTGGACATCAAAATCCCGTCGAATGCCTTGAGAAAATTCTTGGCCATGTCGTCTGCAGAATAGACTTCCGCCAACTCTGCGCCACGGCGAAGGAAACCGACTTCTAAGTCGATACCTTGCAGGAAAGAAGGACACCCTGGACTAGGGGGCATTGGCAGAGGTTCGACCGTCGCCTGATCGCCAGTCAGTGAGAGCCCGATCCACTGCCTTTGTGGCTGTGATGCGCCAATTGTTCCAGGTTGCAACTTGCCTACATTGTCGTGGCTGTCGTCCCGTTAGCGCTGGAAACGTAGACGGAAGCAAATGGTAGACACACCGGACCGTTAGAGGGAATGTACCGTTAACGAGCACGTGTTGTCCTTGAGGAAAGTCGGAAGGGTGGACGATGAGGCAGTTCGTCAAGGCCAACGCATCTGAAGGACAGCCGGCGACAGCGTAACTGCGGGCAGAATGAATTATCTAGCCAAGAGTGAAGACGCCGATTCCATACCTTCCTCCTGAGCGAGGTGGAGGTGGCTTCCTTGAATAAGATGGTTTTTCGAAGAGACCGTTGCTTGGATCGTTGTAGCCATGTGAAGGTAGGTGGTACTGCGCCGATTGGGCTGGCGGTTTCCTCACTGATCTCGATGCGCCGTAGTCACCTCCATCACCAGCGCTGGGAGGAATACGCGAATACGGATTGGAGGGAGGTGGCGGGGTATTGTTACTTCCCGAAGATCGAAAGAAGCTCATGCCGTAGGTCGTAAAAAGGAGATGGAGAGCTGTGGTGGTAGGCGCGTTAATAAGAGGGGTAGAACGCGTGACACTCCGTCGTGACACCTGTACTGAACGGCGTGGCCGCAGCCTGCAGCACCGCCACCGACGCGATGGGGATTCATCCTGGTATGTGTTAGAGACTACGGAAAGCTGCGATTAAGAAGAAAGACCAGTGTCATGCATACGAAGCGGCTGAGCGCGACCGCTGCAAGTAAGTACGTGGAGCAAGCTTGTTCCAGGCTGTGGACCAAACTTGTCAGCCGTGAGGCCGGAGCGCTGAGCCGGCACAGGTGGGACACTGGTGGGACATATGGGCGGTCAGCCATGCTGACGTAAGGGAACAGGAGTTGCACTGTCTCCATGAACTCGACACAGCGCAGCCGCTTTCGTTGACCTCTCCAGTGCCGACAAACGTCGTTCTTTCTATTCACTATTCCATGTTTCATGCTCTCCGAGCCATAGCGCCAGTAGCAGGCGGGGATGCATCCTACCCGGGTGTAGACCCGCCCTCATGCCAGCTACTTGGGCCAACCGCACTTGTACGCGCTCAAAGCCTCTCAAGGAATGATCGTCATACCCACAGTCGCAATTACTTTAGGTTGTGCAAGGCCTCATGGGAATCCTTGTGATTTTATCGCTCGTCTACAAGAGGCACAGGGAAACGCCTAAACGGCCATGGAGAATCTGGTTGGTCATCATTCGATGCTTCCCTCACGTCCTGGTCTATATCGTAAGCCAGGCTATTCGACGTGTCCAAGCAAGTAGTTGGTCAACTATTCGTCCATGGCGCAAATCTCTTGGTCTCTGGTCTAGCCTCCCATCATACATCTAGCAATGCTTGCGTATCTTATTTCCTTAATATCTTAATCGATACCACGTTTGGTGCGTTCTGTGTCCTCTATACGCCAGCTATCCTATTTATGTGCATCTCCAGGTGTTGGATTGATCTATGTGACGCTACATGCCCTCACTCGATTATTCACGGAGAAGTTCCAGCTCAAAGGTTTTGAATCCGGGGTTTATGGCGACCCACCATCCTTCAACTTTTGGCTCCGTCAAGCCGCTCTTTATGTTCTAACTCTCTCGACTATGAAAGTTGTGGTGGTCACGTTCCTCGTTCTATTCCCTGCGATTTATGTGGTGGGCGAGTGGTTACTCAGTTGGACGTGGACGAGCGAGGGCGATGATTTGCAAGTTATATTGTGCGTTGTATGAGACGCTTTGGGATAACTTACTGACTGAAATCACTCCTTCCAGCGTTATGGGGATATTCCCTATCATGATGAACATTCTACAATTCTGGTTAATCGACTCAATCGTCAAGGCCTCTGCCGCCGCCGGAGTCGCGTTGGACGTGGAACGTGATGCACAGCAGGATCGTGAACCTCTATTTCAAGCTGGCTCCGATGATGAAGACGGCGACCATCCATCACGATTGGATAACTCTCGGCGTTCACATCGCTCGTTGGACTCGTTGGACTCTCGAGGGCTCCAATCGCGTGATGACCTTTCCTTTGCCACAGGCATCACTACCCCCGACGAACACAAGTCATCCGGATCACCTCCTAATAATGAAATTGACGGTCATGCCTACCCACCGAGTCTGTCCAGCAGTTTCACCTCTGAATCGTCATCGACTCATGATTCCAAAGCTCCCAGGGTGGCAAAAAACCTCATGAAGAAGGCAAAACGTCGCGATGGCCGTGTTCCTCCCTCTCCTCGACAACCGGAAGGATCGTGTAGCATATCCCAAACTCCTGTCACCCGGCCTGCCGTCCCAGTGCCACCTACAAGGGAAACACCGGAATGGCAGGCTACGTGGGAAGACAACAACGTTTGGGATGCGACGAAGCATCAGAATACACAATCTTCGACGGCCCAAATACCATGAAACACTTAGTCGTCGATACGGGTGGAATCTTGCGTGTTGGCCTTCTAATCCACCACTCTCTCTTAACACGCACTAGTTTTATATTTTGGCTGGGAATTGTGGGGCGTTTGTACAAAACACATCGTGACATGTATATAGAGTACTTCATGCTAGAAGACATTCATAATATGCTATTCTGCACACAGCCTTCAGTGCAACTTTATTGCAAGGTGGTATGCTGGATAGTGGAACTGTGTCATCGCAAGTTGTTTTACTACACCTCCATGGCAGTACGCCATACGGCAAAATTAAAGTTCCCAGGATAATTCTGTGCCTGTGGCCGAAATAAAACTTCGAGCTTCGTCCACGACACCCACGACACTCTCCTCCGGCGTTCTGGGTATGTCCAGCGCACCTACACCACCTGGTCTGGAATCTAGCAACGCTGTTGCGTCGAGTGAGCTTGCCAACGGAGCTTTTTCGCTTGAAAACATCCTCGGTGAAAATCATGATGCCATTGAACATGCTGGGAATGAGACGTCAGTTCCTGCCACGGGATGGGACGAAGAAGATGCAGAGAAGCCGCTCTTGGAGGGCTATTGTGTAGAATGCGAAGGTTTGTCTTTCTCTGTGATATGAACTCATTATCTGAATCAGAAATGGCCAGACCAACCTGCAGAAGCTCTGTGCGAAACCTGCGCGGATCCTTATTGCGAAGTATGCTTTGCAGCGCAACATCGTAAAGGTTCGCGGAAACAACACAAATACAGACCCTTGGCGCACAAGAAGAATAAGTCCGCAAAACCCAGTGGACAGGATTCGGTCGTGAATGGAGGGGTTACAAATGATGCCGGAGAACCGGTAGGTCTACACAATCCCTCAATTAGGCGTTCTCGCCCATGTCTGCCTTTCAGATGACAGTTGATGGTCCAGACAACGAAGACTCACATAATGAAGATTGGGAACGCGTTGTCCCAGGACCTTCTCCTGAGACCACAAGTGCCCACCCAGCTATTGGCGCCCGTGTCGGTGAATGGTTCGCCGACCGTTCAAAGTTCATCCCCTTGCGCTTAACGCTTCCGGAGCGCAAATACCTCCGGCTGCTCGAAGCTGCCTTGACGGTCTCCGAGTACACCGACAAGATCGACACGCTTGGTTTTGGTTTGTCAAAAACCAAGCGCATCGTTCACCAAATTCGCGAACTTTGTGCCATCATGTCCGGGCTGCTTCTGTCGGCCGACTACAAGGCGGGGCAAGAATTGTTTACGGATCGTGACTTCAAAGCCAATGCAGAGTTTTATCAAACCGTGTTCGAGCTAGGAAGGAGGCACAAGATCATGAATCCAGACAAGATGCGTACTACCTACGGAAAGCTTATATACCTGCTACAGGTATGAAACAGATCCATTTGAAGAAGGAAGCCCGGCTCACGTACCTCAGGACAGTCAAATGCCTGCAGTTATGGATCTATTGAATTTCTCATGTGTGAAGCCTATCAAAACCGTATATTCCGTCCTAGAGGAGCATGACGCGTTAGATCTTCTACGCGACGATCTAATTACAGTTGCCACAAAGGAAATCTATTCAGAAGATCGCCTACGTCGTGACGTCCAGAAAGATATTAAGAGCAAGGAACGCGCAATAGAGACCCTATCAGCTCGATACTCACGCAACGGCCTGTCGCAGGAAAACGTTCGGCAATGCCTGTATTCCATCGGCGACAACCACGCATTCCTACGTGCCAACCGCGATCCCTGTGATAAGATGATTGCCTACTTGAAGGAATATTTCCATCCGACACAAGCCAAAGATCCTCATTCAAGTCTCGCCATCCGCAGCGGAAAAGGAGGCGCCCGACTGTCGCATGACCACAGCAAACAGTATTCATATGTTTTGCAGAGTTTGACTCTCTGGCGGGAGATTTTACATGGTGCAGTTTGACTACCCTATCACGTCCAACCATTGGCACTCAGTTGAGATTCCACACAGATATGTTCCACCTGTGGTCATTGGCAGAGCAGGATCTTCTCTCTGAAGATGTCCCTTATCGTCTTCGCGACACAGGCCAGGGTCTCAATCGCGTCCAGGCGGCCCCAAAAACATCACGCATGATGCACTCAATCCTGCACAAAGCTCAAAAGAGTGTCGGTGCCTGGATTGGATCAAGTGTGATCCACATGGGTGACCACAACGTTCCTAACGCACTTCTATTCATCGACAAGTACACCCAGATATATCGAATTCTTTTGCCAATCTGCAATACCCTTTCACAGATCGACACGATCGCCACAAAACCTGCTCTTCGGTCCTACATCGACGATGAATTTGGCTCTGTAGAGAATTGCGTAAAGGAGATCTTGGGTGATTTCTTCAGACATGGTTTCGACGGGTCGGGTGCGGATAACTTCTTCGACGCTGGGAGCTGCATCGATGGCCGTTTGACGAGTGCTTGGAATTGGTGCTCCTCTCTAGAGAAAAAGAAATATTTCCCCGTCTTTTTGCTTGCAGGTGTGTTTTTTTCTCCTGTATATGAGGAGTATGCCATCTCATTGACCTACTCCTTAGGCTTTGTCGGATTCGACGGAGAATGGTAGTGATCCTAGATGACTTCTGCAGACTTCCTCTTCCTTTTTGTAGATTAGACGTACCACCAATTAGACTGGTAGAACATTTGGAGGGGAGGTCATAAATAGATTCGCAAAAGAGTGATGATACATCGAGAACATCAAGCAGCCACCTGACCACCTTGTCTTTTTGCGTTTGCAACAACGTCAAGAATGTTGGCTAGACCGGTCTTCCATGCAAGCAATCTCTTCTCCAAAACCTGCCACTGTTCGCGCTCAAATGTACGAGAAGTGGCCCTAGTAATGTGCAGACTCTGCGTCGTCTGCGAGAGTTTCCCCCACACAAGTCCAGCACGAATGACTTCCCCAAGAAATAAATAAACAAATTTGAAGGATAGCTTGCCTTGAGGACGTACCATCGATGACCCATTTCTCCACCTCAGAAGAGTCGACTTGCAGAGCTTCCGCAATTCTAGAATACGGCAGGCTTTGTCCAACATGCCTGAAGGCCAGAGAGGCGAGGGTCAAAAGTCTGATTTTACGCTCCAATTCAGAAGGCGTGATCTCTGTTCATTTATTTGAATATTCCAACTATTAGGTGAAAGAAGACGAGAGAACTGACGATACTTTTCCAGGGCACCTGGGTGGCTTGATTCCCAAGCCTTAAACTCTGGGAGCCCACTGTTCAAGAAGATGTGGAGCAGAGAAAAAAGTTCATGATCCTTAACGGCGAGCACAGCTTCCAGCTTGAACAGTGGGTCAAAGTTGAACACCGTTGGCAGTCGAAGTGCGGTTGCGATTAATTCCAGAGTAGCGGGTTCGCGGGCAGCTGAGGATGCTGGAAGACTCTGTACGTAGGAAAGGGAATAGTCATAAGATGTCGTTCTGGTGGGGCATGAGATGTTTTACTCTCTTTACAAAATAGATTGAAACTCACGGTTGGTCAGCTTGAGCATAAGCGTCAACAATTGACTTTAAGAAAGCGGATTTTTCTTCAGCGGGGATGTCCCATTCCGATAACCATCTTTCGACGTCAATTTTTTTGAGTTCGAGTACCTCGACGTCGCTAGTGGTTGTCGCGAGCTGGAGAATAGCTTGGTATACAGACAATCGCAATGGCGAAGATCGTGGAATCGTATTGAAAAGGTTCGAAAGGCTGCCAATGGATTAGGAACGCCGCCGGATTGATGCATGCGAACATACATGCGATATCTCGCGGCTACACGATCGGTCGAGGAAGAGATTATGTGTAGGACAGCAGAGATATATCGTTTAGCTTCCGATGAGTCATGAGGGTGGAGGGAGAATATATGGGCGAATACAAGGTTAAAGAATCCTTCAGTCTCTGCAGATGAAGATTGATAAAGCAGTTGTTGGACGAGGACAATCACTCACCCTTGTCCGATCCATCTCCTAGCCCTTTGACCTCGGGCAACAGTTTTGACAAGATGAGCTTCCTCCTGAGCTCATCTTCCTCGATAGGCTTCTTTCCTTCACCAGATCTCAAAGCATTTTGAAAGGGTGCAACAAAAGCAGCGCGTTCTTCATCTGACCTGCCCTTGGCGAGATAGGATAGCAGATCCAATATCTAGTCGAAGGGCTATCAATGTCCGTAATCCCTCGGTGAGGACGTTCGCTAATTACCTGCTCCTCGAAGGTGCCCTCTGCGAATATTGAGACGGAATCTGGAGTGTCTGCCATCTTGTCCTGCCTGTAACATTGCATCCAAAATTTTGGTCGTACAGCGAAGCCTTTGCCTAACATGTGCAAACTCATTGAGTTTGAATTAAGTCATGGCGGCATAGAGGTTAGTATCGTTCGCCATCTTCTACACTGCTTCACCACCTTTGCGCCCGAAATTCTTGCTTCGTATCCAGTACCAACGTTTTATCCTCAGTGCTCTACAACTGTCTCCGATACAAAGCTGCAGGCCCTGCCGTTAACTTTCTGCCCCCATGGCTATGTAAATTGTCAATCGACGACGCCTTGTTCTGGTCGAAAATAAAGTGGGATCTGAAAACGAAGGAGATACGTGCGCCACGTACACCTCGTTCCAGACCTCCATGGATTCATGATGGCCGTTCTTGTAAGCGCCAACAGATGATTTCCTATGGAAAGATCTATGCGACGGAGTATAGACGGACAGGTCAGGGATTCTATGCGTAAGTAGCGTCTTCCCTTCTATGTACATAACTCCGAGATGAATGCATACCCTATACATTCCAGTGTCACTTTCCAGGCGCCCGGCGCGGCTGAATGTCTCCGTCCATGACCACTTCAATCTCAGAAAGCTATCGCATCAGTGTTCCGACTCACCATTCGCCGTCATATGCTGCAAACAGCGCCGTTTCAGCTTTCATCAAATGCACTGCCGAGACCCACCAAACTGCTTGGTCAATTTACAAGTGTACCCTTACTTTCCTTCACCTTGTAACGCGAGGATTTTTGTCAATTCGGCATTGCGAGTAATGCGGAATTAATCTTTCGCCACAATGGAAGCCTTCTTCCCACGGTATGTTTTTACTTATGTCCCAAATTATCCCGACATCAAGCTCTCGATTGACTGAATGGCACTAGATGTCTTTTGCCATGCGATTAATCTAAAAATAGGTCAAAGAAGTTCACTCGTGAGAGGAGAGTTGCATGCAACCAGATGCTCCCATCTGCATCAATGTGCACCCCTGCTATATGTCCATCTAAACGGGTTTCGTAAGAATATACATAAGGCCCCCTGCCAGTTGATGTTCGAACATCCAACTCCTGAAGTGTTCAGTCATGCATCTCTTCAAACTGGTTGCATTGCTTCCCCTCATTGCGCCTCTCGCGCTTGCGGCTTCCTCCAAGGACTGCGCATATAAGACCAAAGAGGAGGTACATGCGCCCCATGGTTGGATTAAACACAGCAAGCCCTCTCCAGACCACAAGATATCTCTTCGTATTGGCCTTCCCCAACCCAACTTTGGCGTTCTGGAACAACACCTTTACGAAGTGAGCGACCCTGACCACGAACGATACGGTCAGCACTTGTCCAAAGAGGAGGTAGAGGAGCTCGTCGCTCCCCACCAGGAAAGTTTGGACTCAGTCGGCGAATGGCTTTCCACGTTCGGGTTCAAGGAGAAAGACGTCACCCGTTCTCCTGCAAAGGACTGGATCGCAATCACTGTGCCCGTCAGTCTCGCTGAGAAGATGCTCGACACGGTACGCAGCACGGCATCATACATGTGTTTGCATGCACTCACCGCTGAACGACGTGTCGGCGAAATAGACTTATCACGTCTGGAAGCACGTCGGCAGTGGCGAAGTCTTGGTCCGCACAACGAACTACCGCCTGCCGAGTAATCTCCACGAGCACGTCGATGTTGTTCAACCGACGACCTCGTTCGGAAGATTCCAACCATTCAAGTCTACCATCGTCCCCTTCGACGAGGTGCCCGAGCCTCTTGTTAACTCCTTGGTTGAAGCCGAATCTTTTGGATCAGCTGTTACCGTGGACCCATCGTGCAACAGGACTATCACCATTTCCTGCTTGCAACAGCTGTACAATGCTGTGGGGTATGTCCCATCCAACAACACAAAGAACTCGATAGGCATCACGGGCTACCTCGTACGTCACTCTTCTATGCCGATTTTCATCCGTATGACATTAACAATAACTCGAATCTATTGTAGGAACAATTCGCGAACATCCAGGACCTGCAGACATTTTATGCGGAGCAGCGACCTGATGCTGTCAATTCGACATTCGAGTTCTTCTCAATTGATGGTAAGCCTGAACGATTCGACGTTGTACATCAGTTGCCAATCGTGTCGATGCTAGGTGGCCTGAACAACCAAACTCTCTCGGAAGCCGGCATTGAGGCTAATTTGGATGTGCAGTTCGCATTCGGCCTCTCGCATCCCATTCCCGTTAGTCATCGGGATTGTCTGTTCGGCTCGCTGAATGCTGACACTGCGTGACAGGCAATATTCTATTCTACAGGTGGCCGTCCTCCCTTCAACCCGGATCAGACGACCCCAACAAACACCAACGAGTCGGTGCATATCTCTCAAATTTTATCGTGGTTTATGAATGCATTTTCTAGGCCCTACCAAGCCTGGCTTGATTTCGTTCTTACGCAAAAGAACCCCCCTTTGGTGGTGTCCACTAGCTATGGTGAACCCGAGCAAACAGGTAAAATTGCCAAGTTCTGAGTTGATACGTTGACTAAAGCCCTATTCTCAGTTCCTGAAAGCTACGCGAGGCGTGTCTGTGCTTCAATTGCTCAGCTTGGAGCTCGCGGCGTCTCTGTCATCTTCTCTTCTGGGGATGGTGGAGTCGGCGACGGCAATCCGAATCCTGCCACTCAGCAGTGCATCACGAACGATGGACGTAATGCTACCAGGTTCCTACCCACCTTCCCAGCATCGTAAGCTCTTTGCTTCTATTTATGCAATAGCTTTCATTGACTTCCTTTTACTTCCTTTTTCCAGTTGCCCCTTGTGAGCCATCAGTCGTTCATGACGTTTGTATAGCAGCTCATCGCAAGATAGTGCCACCTCCGTTGGTGGAACAGAGCATATTGACCCGGAAGTTGCAGTTTCACGTTTCTTCTCCGGCGGTGGCTTCAGCGACTACGTACGTGTGGCCCCATCGCTTGACCTTCAAGTACTTGACATGTAGCAACAGTTCCCCAGACCCGCATATCAGCAAGCTGCCACTCGTAAATTCCTTTCAACTCTTCCCGAAGGACTCTACAAGGACCTCTACAACCCGTAAGCCCTGTTTTCCAATCAACCGACAGAGTCTGAACTATGACTCAATGTAACTAGAGCGGGACGGGTAAGACATCTGCACGCGTGCTGAGGATCTCTAACCAAGCTGTTCGCAATAGGGCTTCCCTGATGTTTCGGCACAAGGCGACCGTTACCGAATCTGGTACCAAAATCGTCCTATTCTCATTGGGGGCACTTCTGCGTCGTCTCCAGCATTCGCCGGACTCGTGGCCTTGCTCAACGATGCCCGCTTCGAAGCCAAGAGGGGCCCTCTTGGCTTCTTGAACCCCCTCCTGTACTCGAAAGGGGCCTCAACTTTCAATGATGTCACTGGTGGTGGAAACCCTGGATGCGGCACTTTAGGATTCAATGTGAGTGTTTCGCCACAATTATTCTAGGAAATAGTTACTTATATAGGGTTTGTCAGGCCACAGAGGGATGGGACCCTGGTAAGCTGTTTTGGTTCGATGACCGTCATCTGCTTTCTGACCCGCTGTCAATAGTGACTGGACTGGGAACACCCAACTTTGGTAAACTGAAGGATATTGTCACGTCTCGCTTTGCCCTGTAGTCGGTCATAGGAAACGCAGGTTGAAAGCCCTCTAAGACAACAGAGCATGATCTACCTTTGTATCGACTAATTGAATTGTCATGCAGCTTATAAGTATCGTGACTGAAGTGTACCAAGAATAGCAGTCTACATGTAAGTGGCGAGAGAATATTTCGGCATTTCGACAATTCATCGCAGACGGTGATTCTCTCTGTCACGGCGTTTACGGAGCGCCAGGCCCATGAAAATTTCATCATGAAGCATCGATAATGGCGCGGGATGACCAGACTTCCTGACGGTATATTTTTAGAAGCTATTTTTAACTTCAGCCTTCCTCAAGATGCTGACTAGCACAGCGAATAAGTAGTACCGGCTTCCATCCACGACCTGCGTCCGAGGATACGCCCCATTTAATCCCCTCCCAATTACACGAATCCGTGTGATAAAGAGATTATTTTTGGTGGCGATTCTAGTATAAAGGCGCATGCGCATCTGGGAACACTCCGTAGGACCAACCATGCGCTCCCACCTTTCGTTCCTCGTCCTTACGGTGGCACTATCGCTCGTCTCGCCAGCAAGAGCTGTTCCTGCTAAAGAATGCGTTTACAGGGTCAAGGAGCAAGTTGACCCTCCTCGAGGATCGGTCAACCACGGTCAACCACCCCCTGATCACACGATAACTCTACGTGTCGGTCTCCCGCAACCCAATTTCCATGAGTTGGAGAGACACCTCTATGAAGTCAGCGATCCGGACCATCCTCGTTACGGCCAGCATCTATCCAAGGCAGAGGTTGATACCTTCGTTGCTCCTCATCAAGAGAGTATCGACGCTGTCGACGAATGGCTTGCAATATTCGACATCACCGACGAAGGAATAGTTCGCTCTCCCGCCAAGGATTGGGTGACACTCAAAATTCCGGTCAGCCGGGCCGAGAAAATGCTGGATATGGTGAAGCCTTGACTTTTTATTCCGTCCTCCAAGACTGAACAGTCTCCCTAGAAACATCACATCTGGAAGCACATTTCAAGCGGGGAGTATCTTGTCCGGGCCACGAGCTACTCCCCGCCAATCTCCATGACCATATCGATGTCATTCAGCCAACGACCATGTTCGGAAGGTTCAAGCAACACAAGTCCATGGTCAGCTTTCCCGACCCAGACATCGAAATCATAGAGTTTACCCCGGATATGAAGCCAGTGGTTGATGCAGTAACTAATGTTTCTGTGGACGCCAGTTGCAATCGTACGGTCACCATTACATGCCTTCAACAACTTTATAATGCAGTCGGATACACCCCATTGGCCAACGCCTCGAATTCCATCGCAATTACTGGTTATCTTGTACACAGTCATCTTCACCACCATTTTCCGCTTGATTTATCCCTTTTCCAGGAACAATTTGCAAACAATCAAGATCTTCAATCCTTCTATGCCGACCAAAGACCCGATGCCTTAAATTCCAGATTTACATTCCTTTCAGTTGCTGGTAGGATCGCAAGAATTAGACAATGACCCTCTGTTCATTATTTCCCCTTCAGGTGGCGAAAACAATCAGACTCTCTCCGAGGCAGGAGCTGAGGCAAATCTCGATGTCCAATTTGCCTTCGGGCTTTCCCATCCAATCGAGGTAAATCCAGTTTCGTTGTGAAGTCATTTTGACTTAATTGAAATGCAGCCTACGTTCTTCTCCACCGCTGGAAGACCGCCATTTATTCCAGACACTGGAACTCCTACTGATACCAATGAGTGAGTCTAGAGCTATGAGGTCGACCTGTGTTTTTACAATGTTTCTAGGCCCTATACCGAATGGCTTGACTTCGTCCTCTCACACCCCGATCCTCCCAAGGCCATCTCAACCAGTTACGGAGATGACGAGCAAACAGGTATGTGGGTGCTTGATATTCTGAAGAATCAGGATGGCCATGGCGCATATAGTCCCGAAGAGCTTTGCGATACGAGCGTGCAGGGGTTTCGCTCAACTTGGTTGGTGCTTTCTTCCCTTTGAGTCAGCACTTAAATCGGCTCACGTACTACCACAAGGCGTTCGAGGAGTTTCCTTGATGTTCTCTTCCGGAGATGGAGGAGTCGGAGATGGCGACCCTAATCCTGCAACGCAGGAATGTCTCACGAACGATGGGACGAATACCACAAAATTCATCCCAGGTTTCCCAGCTTCGTGTGTCCTTTCTCCCGTCCAAGTGTTCAATTTCTCACCAAGAAATATCTGCGCCACAGTTGCCCTTTGTAGGTGTTCCAAAGTCTTGGCTGACACAAACCAGGCTGATTTCGAAATGTTCTTGGCGCAGCGTGACCGCCGTTGGAGGTACGACCGGCATTGCGCCTGAAATAGCCGTCGACCGCTTCTTCTCTGGTGGAGGGTTCAGTAATTATGTGCGCCTGCTCTCGCCTTTCTGGGAACAGAAAACCTGACAGCATTTTTCTGACATTAGTTCTCCCGACCAAAATATCAAGACAAAGCAGTGACAGCCTTCTTGGAAACTCTCCCTAATGGCACCTACACAGGGCTCTTCAATCCGTTCGTCGCGTTATTCGCTAGACCCATCTGGATGTTGGGAGACTAACTTCATTCTGTTTAAAAGGGCCGGGAGGGTAAAGAGTCTTGGTTTGCTATCACCGAGAAAGAAAGCTGATGTTGGATCAGGGAATACCTGATGTCGCAGCACAGGGCGATTTCTTCAAGATTTTCCTGTCTGGCCGCGCTGTTCTTATTGGCGGGACGTCTGCATCGTCGCCTACCTTCACAGGCTTCGTAGCTCTCCTGAATGACGCGCGCCTGAGAGCCGGACTGCCATCCCTTGGTTTTCTTAACCCGTTCATGTATTCGAGAGGATTCCGGGGCCTGAAGGACATCACCATCGGTAGCAACCCAGGCTGCGGAACTCCAGGCTTTAACGTGAGTCACACCAGGTGCACCTATTAGTCGTTACTGACATTAGCTCACAGGCGACAGTAGGATGGGATCCAGGTATGAATGGTCTTTCCATCAGTATGCGCCAGCTGATCGCCTCTGTCGAAGTCACTGGCTTCGGCACTCCGAACTTTAGGAAGCTGAAGAAGCTCGTTACTTGACTTGAATCCCTTGACGGAAGAGCAGACTTTGAACCAACGCATTGTAAATATTAACGTACTGGGCCGGCCAATGGAATGTATGGGAGGAAAAAGATTACTTCCGCATTCGTTTCTTGAAGCGTTCCATGACCTACCGTACAATGGATCAGACATGCTACGTGGGCGGCAGAAGAAAAGAAAACGCACTAATTCGTCCGTAGCAGCTTGGACCTTGTCTTGACTGGACTTCCGAGGAACATCATCCTGTGGCGGGAGGCCCATAGCCTCTAATTTAGCATCCCTAAGAATGTCAGCATCTGACTTCGGCCGTAGGTTGGGCCGATAAACTTGAGAGAAACAATTGAGATGGCGACATAGGAAGATGCGATGAGAAAGACACACATCGTGTAGCCACCAAGTGTTCCTCGTCGTTTTTAGGCTTCTTCCTGTCGTGTCGCTCTTCCGCCACCACTCTTTTGGCCTTTTCTGTCTCTTCGATGTTCTTCAGCCTTGTACTGCGCAAGTCCGCAAGGTTAAAAAGAAAGAAGACGGAGAAGCAAATGAGTGTACGAACTCCATTCCCAGGTCGACTTCCGGAATAGCGGTTAGCATCGACATGCTGTTCGTCACACTCCCAACATCCGTAGTCGGTTTCTGTTTCTCCACTTTCCACCGGTCGGCGATATTATACAGGGCTTCCTGCGGGTCTACGGCAGCTTCTTCCTCGTCAGATTCTTCCCGTGGTCTGCTCCGAACTTTCAGATTCTCCTCGATGTACGCCATCCTGTAAACGAGAGGTAAGTCAGACACAGGGCGGAAGCAGTCGACGAGATGGCCTGTATGAACTGACATGTGTTTGTCTACGTCGAGCGCGTTTGTTTGCTGCGTGAAGTTGTTTGACCGGATGACTCTCCTAGTCTTAGCATCTTTGTCTTCCTCTTCACTATCCGGAGGGGTATCAGTGCGAGGGATAAGAAATTTGAGTGGAGCAGACACACTCGTCCTCGTCGTGGGCAGCAACACCCTTCCTCAGACCACCCTGATCTTTTTCCTCTCGAGGTCTTTTCTTCTTCTTGTTATCCCCTTTGTTCAGTTTATTGACATCGATTCCTTCTCGAGACCGTTTCAGCTTGCGAAGCTCGAGCAGGTCTGCAAGTCTAAAGTAGATTGTTCAGGTCAGCGGTAAATGCATATTGAAGAATCAACGCGTGCACACGGTAGTTTGGCCTCTCCTTCATCTAAAGGGTCGGAATCAGCTTCCCTTTCTATTGCTATCTCCCTCGCCTGGGTTCGGGGGCGGCCTCGCTTCTTGATTGTCGGCACAGTTTCAGAGGACATGATTGCAGGTTGCAGTATACATTGCTCATTTGCTGTGATAAGTATTGCTACTGTCACATGACCCCTAACGGGTCACCAGCAGTAACGAGTCACCCGCAGGTTTGCGGAAGATCGAGGAAGCCTTGGGACATAAAAATTTGTACAACCATAGATATATGTCTTATGAGATACTATGCAAATAATTGTGTGCTCACGTTGAGTTTAAACATGAGAATTGCTCAATGACTGCAGGCCAGTCGAGCGAGATTGCCAAATTTGGCCCAAACTCTAAGCTCAAGAGATCTGAGCGGGCTCTCCCTCCTCAGAAAGAGGTCATGAGGTCGCAAAAATTTCTATACAGATTGTTTATAACCCTCTTCTTCAGTGTTTTATTTTTTCTCTTTAAGGGTTTGCTCAAAACTGCAGCAAACGAGGCGCATCTGGGTTAGTTAGATCTTAGATCATTCTCACATCAATACCCTTCATCATAGTCGCATACACTGTACATGGTACTCGCTTCTGGTCTAATACATGTATCGCAATTTGGAGTAAAAATATTATTTGTTTTCATTTTTTCTTTATTTTCTCGACCAAGAGGAAGGTCTACTAACGGTACATCTTCTCTGAGCATGGAAAAAGGGTAGAATTCCTGTTATCTAATCATGAGTTCCAAGTTTGATGGTTATTAACAAATAAAATAGAAAGATAGAGGTAGGTCCTACGAGTAAAATGCAGCTTGAATTTCAGAGATAGAGGAAGAACTCGTCCAGCTATGGAGGTTGCGAGTCTGGAGGCAGACGACCGATTTTGGACCAATCAGTGTGCGATCTAGATCTATTACATCATTCGGTAACAGCCGAGCTCTTGTTCTAGCGTGACTCGTTTCCCAGTCGTTTCCCATGGTTTCGGTCATAATTTCTGACTCTCCTTCGTAGAAAATTCGTAGGACCCTCTATATGCCTTCTAAAATCACGAAACAGGCTGCTATACACAAAGAATATGATTTTTCACCTCTGTGCCAGTTTATATACAGGTAGAGTCCTTCTGTCCTCCACAATTTACAATTTACGCTTAAGTGACCCGTTACTGGTCCGTGAAGGTGGCTATGCAAAAGCGGCCTGTCACCTGCTGCTGCTGCATTCCTCAAAGCATTGAAAGCAATTTTATCCAACTGCTACATAAATACAAAGAAAAAGTACAGTGTGCAAATCATATTGGAATAGCGATCTCATACGAATGCAACCAACGCTTTCATTCAAAGAGTCCAAATAGCTGGCGAAAATGCATAGTACTAAGCAAAGCTTTCGTTTTCTGTCGAGCCCGGAGTTGGGTAGGCAGCGGGCTCTTCGCTTGCTGGAACAACAGGAATAGTTTCGGGATTTAGCTGTGGGGGTGGGGTGGGGGGAGCGTTTTCAGGAACAACAGGCGAGGCATGCCGAGATAGCATAGACTCTGGTGCTCGAACGCCACCACGACGAAGTCGAGGTGCCCTAATAATGAGCGTATCGTTGTCATCTCGGCCTTCGCTGTCAGGAGAAGTGGTTAAAGGTTCAGGAGGATACCGCGCATCCGAGTCCAACCACGGTGGCGTGAAGAGCGGCCCATCGTCCGCATCGTTGACCAGGGCCCAATGAGCAGTCGCAGATGCTTCGCTACGGCGAGGACGAGGGAAGGGGAAGAAGCGTCGGCCAGGCTGAGACGAAGGCCGGGGCTCTGTCACTGTTTCCGCTGGTTCTGGGTGAGACGTCAAGGGATCTCGCAGATTCGAGCGGCGTGCGCGTGAGTACTCGTTGAAATCGACTCTAGATCGTGCTGCACGGCGGATCGAAGCCTGACGACTCAACAAGGATGGGTTGGAGATGGAGGTTGAGCCGAGCGTCGACCAAGGGCGAGTGGCAGAGGTCGGCGAACGAAGAGGAGGGGGATGCCACTCATCTGAGACTGGTGACGGACTCGCGGTGACCCTACGGGTGGTCGGGGGCGGCCACGAAGGGAGTGGGTTGGAGGCGAAGGCATCGTACAGGTCATTGCTGACTCTAGCGCCTTCTACCCCGTTACCATTGTCCATCAACGAATCAAACTCATCGTCCTCTTCATCCATCTCGTGGAAATCAGACGGTGGTGCAGTGAGGTAGTCTGACAAGCCACCGGTTCTTCGAGCATGGGAGCGACTGGCGGAGGGACGGGCGGGGAGCATGCGAGCACTACTGGCCAAGAGCCGCAAACTCTTGATTGTGCGGTCTGCTATCAGTCGCCGCTCAGTAGCAGGGCGCGCGCGTCTATCTGACACTTCCTAATCCCACAGAAGACATGCTCAGCGTAGTCACGACGCTTGCTCGAGGGATGATCTCACTTTTACGAGGATGTCGATGAGCGATGTGGTGAACGCATCTCCCGTTTCCAGATCGCTGACGAAGTTCTCGTATGTCATTGACGTAGTTTCTCTTTCGACAGCCGCTCTCCGAATGGCACCGGAACTAACATGAATTGTACGTTCAGTAAGAGAAATTCAAATAGAATGCCGATTGCGCACATTAAGGTAGATATTTTTGCATGCAGAACATCGTCTGTGTAGCTGGGCGTCCTAGAGATGAATAATCTGAGTATTCGGTGGCATAGCACGATAGCGGCTTGGACGCACCACTTTCCCATTTTTTGGTCCGGAGATACAATACGAGGAATAAATAGAAGGGAAAGGGAAGAATGGCAATTGTGGACCGTGCTTTGAGCGTCTGGAGATTGCGACGGCGGTGGTCGTTAGGCGATGCGCCCTTCCATTTTCTGTTTTCACACACTCTGCCAAGCACAGACAAACAACGGCGGTGGCTGCTCCCCACAAGGCTACCCCGAGCCGATACTTAGCTCGAGCCAGGGTATTTTCAGAGGCCAGAATGAAACCTTATCTTGACGTCGGAAGGGTAGTTCCTTCCTTCACAGCACAGGTATTCCGAAAGCACTGATACTGCGATGCAATGCAATAATAAAAACCTACTGAATAGTAAAATGGTATCGAGAATAGGTACGTTGTGAGGAATGATTGACGCAGCGAAAGATCACCATCGATTAGCTCCCTTCTTCCGTTCCGTTGGATGTACCATTTGGTCTTGAAGGGGCAGTGCGATTGGCTGCAGCGGTCCGGTCCTTGGTGCTCAGCAGGCTCTGGAAGAAGTTCTGCAATACTTCGTGTTGCGTTTGGCCTCCCGCCCCAGGACTTGAAGAGGCACCAGGACCGCCCGGTGACGCGGGCGAGCGAGCTCCAGCGAGGCTGGTTGGAGATGTGGTAGTACCCAAGGCAGATAGACCAGCCGGCCGATTTAATGTTGACGTTGGTCTGGCACCGAGTCGACCTCCTGGAACGCCCAAGCTCGTTGGGGCAGAAGCGCCGGTCTCCATTTCGCTCATAGCACGTTCCACGTTTGGTAGATTGAAACTGCTACTTCCCAGAGGACCAACGATACCTGCTGAGGCACCTGCGTAATCTTGTGGATTTCTGAACGCGCCACGAGGGTCTCTGTCCGACTTTTTGGCATTTTCGTCGTAGTTCTTTGCGAGGAATGCTTGCTCTGGCGTAGGATTGTTGAAAGGCGGCAATGCTGGTGGCTAGAGAAACATGAGGGTCATTGCGAGAAAAGAGGGACGTAAAACCCACTTTAGAACCTTGATCTGGCACGAGGTTAGCATACGCTTTCTTTGCACCAGCTTCCCCACTCGCATCATCCGGGTCCAGGTCGTGCTCCCAAGCCTCACCCCATATTTTAGCATCAAATCCATCTCTCAGCACAGCGATCTTTCCCCAACTGTCCCAACCCGCCGGTACAACGATACGGTCACGGTCCAGTGTATTGGGCTTTTGCACGAATGGAAAGAGATTGCGAGTAGGTGCTTGGACTTCTGTTGATGAAGCCATAACAGGTGACGGCGCTGGAGGCATGAAGAGGAGATGCAAGGCGTATTGGCGAAGGATCTGTAGGTTCGCCGGAAGAGGGGTTGTATAAAACAGGGCAGCACCGTCTGTCGCGCTCGGGTTTAATATACGATCGTGGTGACGAGAAATACCTCACTCACATTTTAGACAGATAGTCCGCAATACTTGCATCACACCGTCCGTCCGTTCTTCCCATTCTCCTCCTTTGCCCTTCACCATGCCTCCCATGCCAGATGCTCCAGCAACCATATCATTTCCTTCGTCGATTAAGTCAGCTTTTGTACAGGCGACGATGATCGGTATGCCAGAAGAATTATGGGTAAAGGACCCTTGACCGAGAGGTAGCAATGTGCTTGATAGGGTTGAGTTTGCTGCTGGCAGAGGCTCCACAGATGGTTCCGTGTAGTGTTGCAAATGTGATTGTACTGTCGAAGTTCAAAGAACACTATTCAATGCTGTTGCGGATAAGGGGTGAGCGTACTGACATCGTTCGCGACTTTCTTCGCGTGTGATCTCTAATTCTCGCGAGCCGTCCTCCTTCGCCCATGTTTCTATCCAAGTAAGCCAGGTTTCTAGCTCCTCCACAAAGGTCCAGGGTCGCGTCCAGTCAAGTACGATGATAGCCAATGTTGACAGTATCGTGGTCCGAGGGGGGAGGAAATGGGGTACTAGACCAGTATATGAGGACGCAGATGATGGAACGGTGTATACTGACAACCGTGCTAGGGTATCTAGATGCCGACTTTCAGCAAGGTTTGCTTGCCACTAGACAAGCACGCTGTGCTCACCTTCATCTGCCTCATCCCTCACGTCGGCGAAGTCATACCCGAGAGCAAAGTCTATCCGCTGATCATCCTTCTGCTCGTCTGCTACCGGTTTCTGCAGGAGCGCAGACGCGATAGTTGACTTCCCCGAGGATGGTTGACCGAGAAGTAGAATTTGCTTTGAGGGTATTGAACGCGACGAGGAGACGGAGTCGAGGATGGATGACCAGAGGTCTTGAGGTGGCGCCTCGGGCGTTGACGACCGCGATATTTCCATGTATAGTGGGGTCACAAACAGTGTCCTGGAGGAATAGGGAGTGGAACAGGAGGATCGGTGTATGTGGCGAGAGGCAAAAGGACTTTCCAGATTGGGGTCAATTCAGATCCCGACTCCAACAACTATCAACGCGCCTGCTCGTCTCTCAAATCCGTCCTATACCTCAGGATGTTCGCAGTTCCCCCACACAAGCTGCAAGAATCGCCCAATTCGCGGTCCATCGAGATCTATGACTGGTTTATCACCGCGTCTACCAACCCGATCTCGAACGCACCTGAATGCGACGCCCTACATGCCGACCTAGGGATTCCCCTGCCTGAAATGACTTTTGGGAACAACTACCTCACGCTGGAACACCGGCCCTCAGGATTCTCGTACTCCTTTACTACACCGGGAGCCCTGAACGATGTAAAGAAAGGCGAACTGGGTGAAGGAGATGGTGGTGTCAAAGTGGGATACGCAGATAAATGGTTGCAGAGCAGGCAAGCCCTTTTCTCTTGCCTTGGGACCAATCTATTATCTCGTACCGCGCTCATTTGTTGATTGCTAGAACAGATCCATTATCTTCAACACCACTGCCTAAAACAGTTGCCACTAAATTGTATGATTGGACTTACACGACCATCTATCCTGGCCACCAAACAAACGATCAGAAGACAGACAACGATTCTAGCTCATCTACGATAAGCTGGAAACCTGCGGACCCAGAAGACCCTTCCAATACCATACCAATGGCTGAACTGACGCGTCCAGACCCTATTCTTTTCTACGCGGAGATACCACTCTTCGAAGATGAACTGCACGACAATGGATCATCTTCCCTCCTCGTTCGAATAGTAAGTTCTTTATCGATCAGTTTGACTGCTTCGCCTAATAAGATCAGCGAGTAATGCCTACATGCCTATTCATCCTATCCCGCTTCACCCTCCGTGTAGACCAGGTCCTGTTTCGGACGTTCGACACCCGCATCTACCACTCGTTTGGATCATCGCCTCGATTGGTAGTCCGAGAGCTTGGCGGATGGGAGGCGCCGTACGAACGGGTACAAAGAGTAAGAAAGCATGACTCGAAGGTTGCTCTTGTGCTCACTACCTGTTCAGCATCTTCCTCGACGCGACGATTTGACACCACTGACAGATCCAACCTTCATCGCAAAAATATTAACGGAGCTCCCTAAACATGTTTCCCAACGGGAAGGGGCGAAGACCAGTTGGCGGGGTCTTGGCTCAAAGACTGAAATCGCCAGGTTGGCTTTAGAATTACAGAACTAGCAGTCCATTCAATGTAATATACTTAGTACAACAGCCGTGGTAGCAAATTCCGGAATAAACCAGTTTCAGAGCAAGCACGGATCGACAAAACAAGATGACAGGAACTACATGAGCTTAGCTTCCCGCTTCGCCTGTTGAACCTGCGCAAGCCGCTGACTCCGCAGGGTCATATGTGTGCCCTGGCCGCCCTTCTTGTTCGCTGTAGTCGCATACGTTGGCGCAACTGTGGATTGTGAGAGAGATATCCGCGATTCATCTGAAGCGAAACCCGGAATACGGATGTTGTGATTGCGTTCTGTGGAAAGATGCAGTCAGGACGAAGGTGGCGCAGTATGATTGAAGTGGCTTCTACCTAGATGCAGCTGAAGGTCCTTGATCTCAAGAGTGTCACCGCCCCTGTGTTTCGCGAGTCGACAGGAGAAGTTCGTAACTGAGTCAATGAACTCGTCGGCGATGGAGAGTAGAAGCTGCGAAAGGCAGTAAGTAGACGTCCTTTCACTGACAGAGATATTGCATACGTCTTCGACCTCTGGCTCTAGTTTGACGTTCGGGTCCACACTTGCAACTAAGTCCTGGATGGTCCTTCGCATGCTCTGGTCGCCTGGGGTGCTCTTCCTACGCGTTCTGGTATCGTCTGCAGTCAAGATAGCGGGATCGTCTGGCGGTCTTGCAATTTGAGCGGGGGTTCCTGCAACCAACAATTTAAGGAGATGAATGACGGAAACACAAAGAAACGCCATACCTGACATTCGGCCAGCAGCCACACCACCCGTCAGAGTTGGCCTTGTCTGAGGCCACTGCACAGGTCCGGGATTTGTTGTGTTCAGCGTCTGGCTGATAGCTGGATAGAAGTCCACTGAAGTAGCCGCGAGGTTGGGAAGATTGTTGCCAGTTTCTGAGCTCCCAGATTTAATCGCGGCCTGCAGAGCAGGAGAGGGAGTGGCGACGGCCTGCATTTCAAATCCTTACAATAAGGCTAACAGGAGAATAATGAACTAGGCTGACCTTGATCGTGTTGGCCAAAGCAGACGTAACAGCTTGAGGAGCGACAGGAGGGGCACCATTAGCCTGAGGTTTGCGGGAATCGGCATACTCTTTCAGCTGTTCACAAAGGCTTTGTCGTTTAAATTCACAAAGAAGTCGTCACAAAGGGCTCACACTAGCGATCTGTTGCTGCGTGAGCTTTCCTTGGTTCATGAGAGCTTGCATGTTTTGCATGAGGAAGGTGGATATGCGTTCGGTCGAGTATGTCTCTCCAGTCTGGCTCTTGATCATGTTACCGAGCGCCTTTATAACGTCGCTGGCAGGAGATGATGCTGCTCCTGTGGCGGCGCCGGTGCTTGGGCCAGCAGCTGCGTTGGTTGATTCACTCATGGTGGCTGAACAGGGCTGAGCGCTGAACGTTGAACGCTGGTGGTCGCGCCTCGGCGGCAATATTGCGGTTATGATGATGTTTGCCTTCCCCTTCGAGATCAAGCAACCACTTCGTGATTTTCTGAACGCGCTTCGACTTGCTCAATTCGAACCTCGCCATTATGGACGTCTCCAATATTCTCGCATCTCATGCTGAGAAATAGTCGGTTCAGTCTGATTGAACACTTGCGAACTGGGCTGACTGTTCTTATCTTTCCAGCAAATCTGTGACAGTGGAAAAAGAAACCCCACTGGATGTTGACCCAGGGCTCCTTCTGGTGACAGATCTAAATCCAATAGACGAGGAGAGCTACAGGTAGGCACCATAACTTTTTTCTTCCTTCACCAAACCCATTTCTTCAACAGTGAAAATTTGGAAGAACACCTACAGTCACTAGCGCGCGATGGCGTCCAAAGCCTATTCGCCTCTCTTTTCTCCTTGCCGACAAAATCTTCCGCCGACGGCCCGCTAGCAGTCCTCCCCCCACCGGTGTATCAATTACCTCGGGCAAAACCTCTTCCTAAGCCTAAACCACCGACAAAATGGGAGATGTTTGCTAAAGCGAAGGGTATACAGAAGAAGGTTCGCGAGAAGAAGGTATGGGACGAGGAAAAACAGGAGTGGGTTGACAGGTGGGGCAGACATGGCAAGAACAAGGAAGTTGAGGAACAGTGGATCCACGAAGTACCTGCCAATGCTGGTGCGTGTATTTTCTGGTCCTGTTGGCGATCTCCTTATCTTGTTGTCCGACATCCAGACGTCGACTATGACCCAAGAAAAGCTGCTCGAGATGAGAAGAAGGCGAAGATAGAAAAGAATCAGAAGCAACAACAACAAAATTTGTCCAGAGCGCCAGGCAACTCAAGGTCTGAACGGAAGCAAACAATCGAGCGTACACTTGCATCATCACGAATAAGCACCGCGAGTATGGGCAAGTTCGACAAGCGACTAGACGGGGAGAAGAAACTTCGCGGTGTGAAGCGCAAGGTAAGTAGTGCCGTGTAGGAGTTTCAATCGTTAATGATTCGCCTACACATGCAGTTCGAACCCAACGAGGTTTCGGGTACCCAAGAGAAGAATGCTTCCTTAACTTTGATTGCGAAGATGGAAAGCGACAGCAAGAAAATGAGAAAAGAACCCCGCCCCGAGAATAGCGATCTTAATGTGCGCAAAGCAGTGCGGTTTGCTAGCAAAGGTCGAGGAGGAGCTGCGATGGGGCGAGAACTCGCTGGAGGGAAATCAAAAGGGAAAGTTGGCAGAGGCGGTAGAGGTCGGCGGTAGTACCTTTTTGCACTTCCTAGGGCACGCATTCATCATGGCACTCTGGTCTTCTGTTTCTCATTTAACGCCCTGACGTTATTGAAGATTCTCCAAGACACCGAATGTGCGTTGTGTGGCCACAAACTACCTGTACAGATGTGATTATAGACAAAGTGTATAGGAAGAAGGTCCAAGATGAATGGCCTGGTTCCTGTATGTATAGTAGCATGCATGATTGGTGTTACAGGAAAGAAAGTGCTAGAAAAACGAATGGAAAGCAACATTCGGACATCTACTTGGTAGTGTCGAAAGGAAGCCGATCTAGCTTGGCCTTGCCCTCGTCAATCCACTCTTGCTTCACCAGCTTCTCTTTTTCAGCGTAATATAGTCGATAGACCAACTTAATGGTCCCTTCGCTAACACCCGCGACCATGCTGATGTCCCTAACCGACTTTAACTTGCCTAGCAAGAGGCAAGTAAAGTAGATCGCCCCACCAGCAATGGACACAGGACTACGTCCGTCAGCGATACCGTGTTTCCTCGCTGCAACGATAATGTCGGAGCAGATAGATTGCACGTTGGGTGGCAAGTCGAGGTGATTGCAATATCGGACCAGGAGGGTTTCAGGTCCTGTGGAAGGTGATGACGACGTGTTGTTTGTCGACGCGCCCGGCGACAGGTTGAATGCCTGTTCTAATGCTTTATAGCATTGTCCGAGAATTTTCTTCGATACGTGCGTGAGGTTGCAAATCTCACGGAACGTCCGCGGTACATGGGCCTGTCGACAAGCAATGAAGATGCAAGCCGCGATGACAGCATCCAACGGCTTTCCGCGAAGGAGCTTCTCTTCATCGGACCGCTTGTATAGCTGTTTCGCGATATCGCTGATCGTTTTGGGTAGGGAGAACTGGTCGCACCAGCTCGAAATGTCCCGGAACGCGGTGAGGATGTTGCGTTCAGAACGGGAGCTTTGGGAGCGTGACGCCGCGCGTTGAAGCTCTCGTGCAATACCCGACCCCCCATCCCTGAAGCTAATGACAGTGTCCAACTGCTCCATTCCCTCCATTAGAGGATCCGAGGCGGCACCAACACGCGATGGGTCATCTCCTTCGTCGTTTGCGAAAGTCTAAAAAATTGTTGCATTGAACCACGTGCAGAAAGGACGAGAATGTGGAAGAGGGATGCTCACCCGCCATTCACTTCTCGTGTCGACGATCCTATCCCCCAGAACCAAACCACAGTTACCACAAACGAGGTCTCCACTACCGAACTCCTCGACAATATTGGGATTCGGATCTCTGCATTCGGGGCAGATGAGGCGAACGGCAAGGTCTGGGCCGAATGTGGGCTGAGACGGGCCTTTGTGCTGAGGCGCAGCGAGAGGGAAGGGCTGAGCGTACGCCATTTGTCGAGGAGGGGAAAGAGGAGGTAACTCGATGGGTTTTCAATGAAGTTGAATGAGATCTATTAAGCTCTGTCTTCGTGAATAGGTACAATGAAGTATATCTAAAGAACAGTTGTGCAGCAGCATGATCTCGAGTATTGCCACTTAGTGAGACCTACCAGTGTCCGCAAACTAGTTCACAAGCCTCTAACTGCTGAGAACTGGGGGATAGTTGCAAGATGGCCCAGCAACAGCGGTGGTCAGGAACAAAGCAAGTTGCGGCACCGGCCACAGCGAACAAAAGCACAGCATGACAAAGCCGACTGGGTGGGATCATCCGGCAACCGGGCCGAGAACCCGCCTCACAAGGCAGTGATGAACTCGACCTCAGACTTCCTGAGGCTACAGGCAGTCTGAGCTCACAAATTACAGGCTTTCTTTCCTTCAGTGAGAATAAAGAGAGTAAAGAACACAAATTAAGACACATTTCCTTGGGTTTCTGACCGCGAATCCCCAACACCTGGACCAGGTTAAAGCACTTCCACCGTCATCACTAAGCATAGATTCATCATAACAAAGAAATTAAGCAGCGAGGGCTACTAGAGGAGAAAATTAGGCAACATGTTCTAGATATAGGAAGGAACTTGAAAAACAAGAGTACTCACCCTTCGCCACCTGTGCTTTCATCTTGAAGTAGTCCTCATGAAGACCACACTCTGTCTTGCTCTTTCCAGCCCATCTACCTGCACGTTCATCCTGTCCTTCTTCTACTTTTGATGTGCTATGCCAGTCACCGACGCTGCGATACTCTTGAGCCAGGAGTTTGTTGCGCGGAACATCGTTTTGATTGATATAATTTTCAACGTCCTTGAAGGACCAAGCGAAAAGAGGGTTGAGTTTGAGAAGACCGGTGTTGTCCACTTCAAGAGGAGGGAGGGAAGCGCGTGCGCCACCTTGGGATGCTCGACGGCCAGTGATGGCAGATTGTACGTTGAGTTCTTGATAGGCTTTCCGGGCGGGTTCAACCTGCAAGAATCACGGATTTCAGTTGAATGAAATGGTGTATGACGACAGACCAACTTTTACGAGGTAATCGTAACTGTTTTCGTCCAGCTCCCAGAAGCGTTCCCCATACTTTTGTTCGAAATCTTGCACCGTTTCACATCCATCGGGCTTGAAGACGTGCACTAGTACGTTATAGCGTCGCTTGACATCCTCAACCAGTTCGTAAGTCTCCGGGAAATGATACAATGTATCCAGGAATATGAGGGGTGGGCGATCAGCAGGGTCTGCGATTTTGGAAAGCATGTCGATGGCTACAAGACCTGTTAGGCCAAAAGCCGTTGTTTGCGAGAGGTTCGGTAGGTGAACGAGAGCCCATTTTAAAATATCCTGTGGTGACAGCGTGCTGAGATATTCATTTATTGATACGAGTGCGTCCGCAGAGAGAGGGAGAGAGAGCGGGGTCGGGAAGTCGGAAGCACTCGACGTCGACGAGGAAGCCATTTGGGCAGTTCTGATTGGATGGGTCTATGGACTCTTGCGACAAGATGTAAGGTTTATAACGGCGTTCAGCCTTTTCATTCATCTTTTGCTTGTTCAGGAGCGAGCGATGGTGTCAGTCTGAGGAATTGCGAAATTTACACGTGACGTCAAGGCTCATATATACAGACCGGTAGATCTGAGTTTGAATTCCCGTAGCGTTCAGGTTGCACAGCTTTTTACCTCATATAGTAACTGGCCGAGGTCACGTTACCCCCCAATTTGGCTCAGAGTTTTCATGTATCCACCAAGTCCTCCCTTTCACCGCTCAGCGCTCAAAGCTACCACGGTCCTCTGCTGATATTCTCGTGAAGGCGACGGCAAAGACGAAGCGCAAGAGGCCAACCGTGTCTGCCCATAGAGGGCAGAAGCTCTCGTTTTCACCCCTCAGCGGTGCCAGCACTTCCAGCACTCCTTCCAGCGTGACTACCGACAAGTACTTGACGTTCGGAAACCCAGAACCAGAGCGGCACCAATTCAAATTCCATTTCAGGGCCTCGAAACTCTCTGCTTCCACTCCTGAAATATCCGCAACACGCAACGATAGAGTTCAGAGGGACTTGGGTATGGTAGAGCGTAGTGAGATTTGTACCGAGTGTGATCTATTTTAGCCCAACTACATCCCCTCTCTCTGTCTCGAAAGCAGAAGCCCCCCGCAAACAAGAATGCCGCACGCTGAGCATGTTGAGAAGGTGCTAGCATTGTTGAAAGAGAACAGAATGAGTCCTTTCGACTTCCGGCATTGGTGCCAACATCGAGGACTCAACGAGGAGGGAGTCTCTGTTTGTCAAGAGAGCAATTGTTGCCCGTAATTGGAATTCCCGAGGAACATTGTCACATTCAGTCAAGACAAAGAGAAGAAGGGAGGCAAGATATCCAATAGTTTGCTCCTTATTGGATTCCGACCAGAAAGTGTCAGACATAGGTTGCCGGTGCTCTAGAATCAGGGCTGAATAGGCGTGCAGTAGCAGTTCCGGAGAGAGTTTTCGTATCTCAAGAATATCCAGAAAGTCCAGCACCAGCATCTTCAGTAATTTTGGTGAAAGCGGCACCAGAGAAGGACAGAGATGGCGCCCGAGATGGAGCGACGCGTCGTTAGGGGCTCGCAGCGCGGTTTGTTGAGTGGAACGTGACCTGGGAGTTTAGGGTCAGTTGGATTCACGCATACCATACACAGTAGAAGCCGTGAGACCTGAACGCTACGGGAATTCAAACTCAGTTGTACCAGCCTGAATATCGATTCTCATATTCAGGCTGGTCACGAGCCTATATACCTCTATATATATAAGGTAGAGGAAATCCATATCACGTGTGTGTGACTTCTCCGTGACCCGACCCTTTTGGCTGGGGGATTGCGATGCATCAAGTCACCTCAACACACCATCAAACAACTTGAAATTAGGATAAAAATTGCTACACTTCCCGCCTCAAAAATATAGCGCCGTCGAAAATTAGGAATTATGAATTCTGAAATTTTGGAGGAGCTACATTTCTGAGGCAGGTGCCACGGGTCCTCGAATATTTGTTATTCCAATTTCTCTGCTTGTGTCACTCAAAATCATGTGATCGAGCGGGGTATGGACTTCCTCTACCTTACAGATCCCTCAACTTCATGTACGTCTGTTTGTACGTCTGCTTGTGCCTGTTTTCCCGTTTCGTCTCTCCTCCCTCAGACACTTTATTGTTCTACCCCTGGGTCATCAGGCAATCGATTCCCCTCAATGCTTCTTAATTTTTTCGGCCCGATACTGGTGTTTGTGGCATGGAAATTACAAATAAAAGAAAAAGAAAAGAAAAATCAAAAAAGGAAAGAGGAGGAAAGGGGGAAGCTCGTGACCGCGTTGTGAAATGAGTGTAGGGATGCCTGTCCTGCCCCAGTCGACGCGGGAAATGACGATCTTGAGAGGCAAATTACCTTTGGCAGCCCTGCGGGGCCACGTTTGGAAATATCCAGTCATTTCGTCATGTTCAGCTGAATACTCGCTTAGGTCGCATCAGTGCACCTTTTTCCTTGCATTTTCATTGGCCAGTGCATGAATACTCGCTTAGATGTCGCCCGCGTGCACCTTGATCATCACAAAATCAAGAAGATAAGATTTTGTCAAGGACAGACATCGCAATGGCTCGCCCGCGCAAATGGTGTCTCGGCATTTTCCGAGCTTGCGTCGACAACGCTCATAGCGCACGACGCACTGCACTTCTGGGGTTAAATTTTTGAATTTATCTTCACATTGGATGACTGTCCGTAAGCATTTATTCGCTGCAATAGATTATATTCGTGCTCCTTGGCGGTGATGCCGCGATGCCGCTGCCAACATGTCAATGCGGATTATCCGTTGTGCCTGGTTGGGCCCCTCAATAAACCTTAATCTATTCAGAGGGTCCTACCCCCTCGAATAGACTTTTTTCGGTCGAATAAACTGTTTGTCCCGTGATGCACAACCAAACAACTCCCTGTTTGCTTACGCCGTGCTCTTATCTTAACCTTCGTCATCGTCCATCATTGTCGTCCATCGTTGCCCATCGAGCTTGCCAAAGCCCCCTTCATGTGTGAGAGTGAGTCATTACATGCTACTACTTCCTCGTACCATGCTAATCACATCCAATCATGAGCAGGGTCTGCAATTAGGTCCTTTATTGGCTGCAGCCTGCATTGCCAGGGGCTTAATTGCGCTCGCTAGTGGTCTCGAGACGGTCTTGAATGGCTTGAGGAACATTATCGAAGGCTTAGGAGGGGAAATGAGGAGCGGAAGACGGCTGAAATGCATGGAGAGATAGGTATAAAAGTGGTGAGTCGTTGCTGCTACCTCCCAGGCTTCGTGTCACCAAAACTCAGCTTGTTCTACCTCTTCATCAACCGCTATGGACCCCAACCAACTTACCCCTGTTCCTGGCAACCCTAACATCCAATATGACAGGTTTGGGCGGCCATATGTCCAAGATGTCTCTGGTCATTGGGTTCAGTTATACGCGCCAACCATGGTGACTTCTCAGGTAGGTACCCTACCCTATATGGTGTCTCTACATGTCTCAATCCCTCTTTCCTTCTCTTTCAGTCTGTCCCTACTGCAACTCATGGATTTCCTGCTGTGTCCCAGAATGAAACTGCCCCGGTACGTTTTGTTATATCTTATTGTTGTCTACACCAGTCCTGACTTGTTTTCGTCAGACTCGCCCCCATAATAACATGGAGGATGGTCCAAACCAACCGCTTTCTGAGGCTCTTGTGGTATGTAGCCTCCTAGATCATATATCTCCTTTGTTCTAATGCTGTGTTAGATTGTTACATCCACTCGAGCCCCGACAGCCGGCCCTTCTACTGCAGTGATCGATCCGGTGCTTTTACCTCTTCCTGAGGTCTCGGACAATGACCTCTCTGACCCGGTCACAATTGTGAAGTCCCGGGGCCATGCCGCTGCGAAGAAGGTCGCTGGATCACGTCAGAAGGGCAAGGGCAAACAGCGCGCTGTACTAACCGAGTCTCGCGATAAGGGAAAGGAGAAGGCCACCGCTCGCAAGCGCAGGCATGCCTTGGATGATGAAGAAGTTGAGGTAGTAGCCAAGCGTGGCCGTCCCAAGGGTGCTGGCAACTACACTGCAGACGAGGTTGATGCCCTCCTTGACTTTGTCGAGGAGGAGCTCCCTCTTGGCCAACGCGGGTGGCAGTCCATCCACTGTGGTTTCACTCGCTGGGCTCGTCGTAACGATGCTGCTGAACGCACGTTAAAGTCTCTGGAGACCAAGTTCAAACAGGTCAGCCGTTTTTGGTTATATGTAAGAAACATCGTTACTTACAACACATCTTAGCTTGTTAAGACCACGAAGCCCACTGGTGATGCCTATTGTCCCCCGGACATCAAACGAGCACACAAGATTGACGGGCATATCAACGAGAGGGCTGCCACCCGCGATCTCAACGACTCCAACTTCGATGATGCTGCTCAGTTGACTGGTGGATCTGAAGATGATGACGACGATGCCGACGACATCCCAGAGGTGCCGAAGAAATCGAGGAAGGCAGCATCCACTGGCAACCGTGATATCCAGAATGCTATCATCCGCCGACCTGACCCCGCTGTCCAGCGCCGCTCTCGGTCAAACAACGTCAACCTCATCGGAAAGCTTGCCAATGCCTTTGATCCGAGTGTCCAACAAGCTCGTGATGAGGAACGTGCCCAGCGTTCCTTCCAAGCCTCGCAGATGTTCACCCTTTCCCAGCAACTTCGAGACGCCAACCTTACCATTGAGTTGCTCCGCTCCCAGCTCTCTACTCTCCAGACCCAGGTTCATGAGGCCCAGCGAGCCCGCGAATCGTGCTGAGTTGCAGTTGCAGCTCATTGAAGAGGGTAGCCACCAGTCTCGACCTTTCAGGAGGAGCCGCCACAATGGGTATGTCAAGCGCTCGAAGTCCACAAAGCGTTCAGTCCAGCGTGTCCGGGGAAAGATGCGTTGCGAGGAGAGGTACCCGGAGGGAGGTATACACACGTACTGGGTCACGGATCCCTCCTCTACCTCAGGTGAGAGTGATAAGGAGAACGAGGACCCCAATTTCTTCTGTCGCCGCTGTGACATTGACTATAGAGACCAGCCTTCGTTGTCGTCGTCGTCAGGCCATCACTTTGGCATAGAGTTGCAAGCTTTGACTACTTCCCAGCCCAATGCTGCCACTGCCACAGCTGGCAAGGACCAAGATGGTGAGGAGGGTGACGATGACAATATATATGTCAAGGATGCTGATGGGCCCAAGGACAAGTAGAGTAGTGCAACATCTACTTCTGTCTACACTTATGTTCTGTTACTTGTTGTGTTCTGTTACAATTACCATACACCTGCTTGTAATACAAACCTGTTTACGTGTATTCTGCGTAAGTATGGAAGTGAGCAACTCTATCGTTCTTTCGTTGATCTGAGAAGAGCATATTCTCAAAGTTCTGCCAGATATCAATGTCCTCAGCTGTGTCCTGCCAGTATCGCATGTATACAGTCCAGATCTGATTGATTCCCACTCGTCTTGTGCGCAGATTATTGAGGCGATTGCAGATCTCAAGGAGATTTCCTCAACGTTCTGCATTGTCAATGGGAAGTGGAACACGGAGACGACCAAATGCTCCTTGAAGACCTCAATTTCCCCACTCGGCTGTTTGCCGATATGAGAGAAGCTCACGGCCATAGGCCATTCGCTCCGCAATCTCGTCTGGTGTACCTCGCACAGCCTGGCCAGCCTTGAGCAGGGCGCGAATGTGTCCTGCAATGGATTGTGTTCCACGAGGAAATGCTGTGTCAGCAATGAGGTAGTATCCAGGTGGTGTTCGTGTGCGAAGCCGTTCAAAAATAGGACGAGCAACATTAGCATCGTGCCAACTGCCTGGTGCATTTACAACAGCATCAATGATTTCACCTAAGATATTATCAGTGAATGAAGTTACAATAGCATTGATGTTCTTGCCTTTCGGTGAGAACACAAGTACTGAGCTGACAAAATGCTCTGAGAGCCACCCGTTGTAGGTAGCATTCTCAATATCTTCATCCTCCAATGTTTGGACAGGAAGATTCAATCCGTCGATGGCAGCGAAGGCCCCAATCAGTCGAGGATGTCAAACAATGATAAGATCATTGTATTCTTGGAATTGCCCACCACCTGGGCCACCCTTCGGCCACTTGATACAGGCATCTGGCATTCTTCGCAAGACCTCGAGAAGTATGTCAAGTGAGAAGTCAAGATACTGGACAACTGTGGCAGGGATGAGAGCAAAGATTTGCTGCAAGCTGACGTCGAGCATCGTGGAGCTGAGATAATGGAGGACAAGGCCAAGGGCCCCTGGGGGATCCAAAGATCGGCCGCCTGGTCGTGGATCTCCTGAATGAGAGGTATCAGTTCGGGGGATGGGTGTTGAGAGCCAGGTCTGTACAAAACCCGACTCGAGAATGAAATCGAAGGTGGCAACATCAAACCCCATGATTGTGATATATGCACAGTCACTCCTGCTGTCGTAAAGGGAGGTCCATGGTGTCGCAATCCAGGGGTTCTCCAGGAGTTCAGGGCGGGTAAGATATTGGCGGGTTTCACGACGTCGTTCATTCCGTAACTGACGTGAGATCTCGGCACCTCCCACTATGACGCCGAGTGAAGCAGCACCCATCTCCCAGTACTCTTCATCTGCCTCCTCTTCAAGTTGCTCTGTGAATTGTTGGAATATGAGTGCATCTTCATTCATGGCTGGCTAGAGATGGGTGGAGGCCCAGGGAATGACAATTATCTTTAATCACGAGGCTTGCGGTTTAATCAGATGAATAGATTATAAGATTATCTTTGAATTTGAGGTCCAACTTTGTTATGAAATATTCTACTGTGGAATAAATACCTTACGGACAGTCATCCATTACTCACACACTGATCATGAATTAAAAAAATGGGCAAAAGGTGCCTTCATCAACCCAGAGGGGGCGATGTTGAAAAGAAGAAGATTTTGCATTTTGGGGGGTCATTAGTGGAATAATTACAAAAAAATTTGACCCCGTTGTTCCGACTGTCTTCCCAATGGTCTATAGCTATTCTTATGAGCTGACATGTCCAAATAGCTCGCTGAGAGCATCGACGAGCTCGAGGAGACAAGTGTGAGACTACTTACATAATTGCCGAGGTGCCGAGTATCAGTATCAGTATTCTGCCACAAGCACGAGTAACGAGCCACCCCTCCTATTCTGTTAGTCTGGAAAGTCGCCGAATGCATGATTAGGCCGATCATGTCACAAATGCGGTCACGACATGATCACAATTTCAGTTAGGCGGAACATGCCCCGGCCCAATATTCATGATGGGACCATAATCAATGAGATTACAAAAGATTAAGACCTATTCAGCATCACTACTAACAGTTCGTAATGCTCGTTTGTAATGTTACTAGTACCTCATGCGCGTTACTGATCATCTGTAATATTATATTACCTCGTAATTATTTGCCATTAGTGAGACTTGAACGTTGTGCGAACGGGCTTACTTAATAAGTAGGGCTCGGACCGCCAAAAAGGACGGTTCGTCACGGTGTGACGCGGACACCCCAAACGCGTTGCCGACCCGTGGGGGCTCAGCCCACGGCGGGCACGAGGTGGGCGCGAGACGGGCTGGCTCCCCGCTTAGCGTCCCATCACTCAAACCAAGGCCGCGTGGGCCTGATATGGTGCGCGAGCGCTGAGCGTGCGCATCGCCGAGGGGAAATGAGGAAAGGAAGGGGAGAAGAATAAGGAAGGAATAGAAAATGTAAATAACTTACCTAAATTTTGATACCATATTGACAATGAAGGGGTGCATTGTGCTGTTCTTGAAATGGGGTGTGTTGGTGGGAGAGGAAGAGAGGAAAGCTAGGATGACTTGATGTGTATAGATATTGTGTCCTTGACACGCACGCGTTGCGTGCGCGTTGTAATTTACGTACGTTGATCCGAACTGGGAGCCTGAGCCAACGAGGTGAGCTGCCATGCCAGTGTGACACTTGCAGGGAAGCCGCTCGAAAAACCGTCTTTGATGAACTGGCCATCAATTTCCGAAGCCGTCATGGGCCACAAAAAGGACGGTTGGTCAAAAAAAGGACAGTCGAGGCACGTCTTTTCATCAAATTTTAACTATATCTGGACTGACAACCAACGGTTCATCAAATAAAAGACGGTCTCCAACCATCAAAAGACAGTTTCGTTAGTCGGATCGTGCATTTATGTATTTACAGAGCGTTCTAAATAAAGCCATTATGTATGTAATTCTAGGCCTCAAGCCCCCTCGGCTGCAGCACGAGCCGCTGTGCGTCGGGCCTTGCTGATGGCAATGCGCTCCTCCTTTGTCTTGTAGGAGTACATGCAAATAATGTTGCTTGCCTAATATTTATGCCACGGGTGTGATTAGCCTGAGTACCACATATGAAGACTGGGTATTGACGTACCCAACGGAGGACCGCCTCATGGTCTTCTTGGCTTCCTGGTGCGTGTGTTGGCAGCGGCGGTGGGGTGCACGCTGCACGGACAGGAGGGGCTGGGGCTGGGGCGGGTCCCACTTTTTTTGCAGCGCCCTGACGGAAGGCAGGACCGTGCCGAGCGCCGAGCGCGTAGCCGCACAGGAACGCGACGACGAGCACGAGCGTGGCAGTGGAGACGCCCATGATAGGGGCCGATCGTCCCAACAGGGACGTGTGCCAGCCGTTGTTGTGCAGGCCGTCGATGGCCCGTGAGACTGCCGACCTAGGGAAAAAAAGAAGGGCATGTCAGCATGTGTCAGCCATCCCAGAGCGATAGAGGGCGCGGGAGACGAAGGGCCCCGAGACAAACACGCGCAACGCGGGGTGACAGAGGGGAAGACAGTACCCCGGCCCGGACACGCCGGTGGCTGTGCCGAACCGTCCACGAGCCGTGACGGACCAGATCACGTGTGTGATCGGACCGTCGTTCTGCCGAGAGAAGTGTCTTGATGTCGATAGTTACCACTGAGGAAGTTATATATTACCCTTGAAGTTGGATTTCCTTTGTCACGTAAATAAGTTCCTTTCCAGAGTGCTCTTCCTTCTCGTTGTATTACCGCTGTGCTGCTTCACCCCTCTTCTAGTGCATCAAGAAATGAGTACAGCATTGAGATAGTCTACATTAAATACATTCCAAGCCATTCTATAGAGCTCTGAACGCCGTGAACGTCTGCGGCAAGTCTTTGTTCTGTGTCGCGTTGAGGTCAATTTGGGCGAACCGTTTCATGGACTGTTTGTCGATTGGGAATAGGACGACGAGGCTGAGGGATGGCGCTAGTCTATTTTAATATAAATACGAGTGTTTTGTCAGGAAACAAGCAAGAAGTAACACTCATGGGTATGGCACCATACACCGCGGCCAGAGGCCTGTACATGCGGCTACGACGCGCAGCTCTACGAGTAATCGGTTAGACGTGGATGGCGCTGTGATCTTCCATTTTACTGACTTTATACTCTGAGCTCCCGCAAATTCTGTGGCGATTGCAATTTGGGGTGGTATCGTTCGAACTGTGGACGACGTTGACATTCCTGATCTAATCGTGGGCTATCTAATCAAATCCTCCATCCCTGAACATGCGGCCTAAGCCACATCGGCGTGATGCCAACCTAATCATGCCGGTCGGCGTCGCCTAATCATGGCAAAACCTGGCCTAATCACCGGGCCGGCTGATCATGCACTCTGGAGGTTTCCGACATATGTGTCCTTATTTTCTAGAGTATTGCATGACGGACAATTATTTAATACTGTACCCTACACACCGTTGTAACTTTTGATCCTCTACTTCCCTGCTCCTCTATTCCCTTTCTCTCCCTCCACATGCGTTCATCTTCAAGATCTCTCATCCCCTGTTTTTTTCTCCTTTCACATAAGCGCTCATAAGCGCCTGCTCGGCTGCACTGCGTGTGTCTATCGTGTCAACTCTGCTTTTTCACATGAGCCACAGGCTTGACTTTCCGAGTTCCATTAGCCCCAGACTTTAGTCTCTTGAGATTCCACCCCTTCCAAAACGTCAACTTTTGATCGTATGACACAGGGCTAGGTTCCGCATATTCTCAAGCCACCAGTCTCCAAGTCAAGTCCTTGAGTTTCGTTCATTTTTGCGCCGTGATCCTACAGGAATTCAAGTTTCATCCGAAATTATTCTTCTGAGATTCTGCTCAGTGGTGGATTTTGTTTATGGCCGAAGCGAAGCGAGGCAAATATCTTGTTTAGATAAAACCGATCCTACTGATACCATTCTTATCTGTGGCCAATCCTTTCTTCCGAATTGCAGCCTGAGTTACTGCGAGAAGGAGAACTGCATTATAAGGCTTCTATGCTAAGTCAATCATCGTTGTAGTAGTAGTCATCCGAAGGAGAAGAGTAACCCTCATCCGAATACTCTTCGAAGCCATTGTCCACCTCGTAGCCTTCCTCTGCTCCGGACGAGTAGTAAACACCTTCATCACTTGCCACTCCATCGCTCATAAAGTCTTTGCAATCTTCGTCGAAATCTCCACGGTGATCGCGATAAATGGAAAATTGGTCCTCGTGCGGGTCCACGTTCAAGGACTTCACGTATCCACTCGAACTCGTATGCGTACCATACGAACCGGAATAAGGGCGAATCCGTTTCTATTGACCTCGTTTCTGGCGTGCCGCGGCCGCGCGTTGTGTTGGCCGACCAGCGCAGGCTAGTGGAAGGGCCCTCTCGTGTATATTGGTCATTACCATTGCCGCTTTCATTGTCCGAATTTTGTTCATGCTGCAGCGGCCTGAATGGCTGGAATTGTGTTAGGGGCTCCATCCTGCTTTGACTTGGGTGCTTTCTAGGCTCGGGCCATACTGGGGAATCGATGCCAAAGGAGATCTCGGAGAGTAATATTCCCCACCTATCTGGGTAGGAAGCAAATCTTCTACTCCGCGAGGTTCTCTGTAGCCCGACCTGGAGCTCAAGGCAGAAAGCGAGGGTGAAGGAGACTGATAAAATGAGCGGCTTGCTCCTTCGGAATGTTGCCTCCCGAGCCTTCCCATAAAATTGCCCGACGCAGGGTCAAAGTCGCTAGAACCACGGCTGGCATTGTTCCACCCACGACTGCCTTCATGCCCAGTATCTGAAGGTGTATACTCGTTGCTCCGTGCTATGCGCACGTCCGGGACAGGCGCAAAATGGGGAGGGGAGTGGTGGTAGGGCAAAGTCGGTACCCAAGGATGGGCGCTTCCATGGGCGCTTGGAACGGGACCCCTATTGACGTTGTAGCCCGGTTGGAGATAGTTTCGTTGAATATCGCGCTCAAATGTGTCCATCGCATTTAGAGCCTCGAGGGCACGCCGATCTTCTGCCCAGGCTCGCCCTCTTTGAAGCCATATGCGTATAACTCTCGCTGAGATAAACGACTATAGGAGAAAGAGCGATAAACGAGGCACAACCGTTTAGCTTAGTGGACCTAATGTCAAGGCAGTGAAACACTACTCGCCTTGGGTTATGATAATGGCTCATGCTGGGCCCAACCGTACGGGTGGTCAGGGCACTCGAGGAAGGTTTGGTCTGGCTTCAAGTCCCCTAGGTCGCTCGGGCAGCCTGGTTTCTTAAGAACTTCGGAGACAAAGGATTATAAAGTCCACGAGGACACCATGAGGGAGCAGGATGAAAAGTCCACAAATGATACTACCAATCACATCCTATGAGGGGGACTCGGCCCTCGGTGCCCGACGTCGCAGCCTTGCTTTAGCCTCGCAGCGCAGTAGTGTCAGGGTGTTAGCTTCGAGGTTGTGCATGCGCTGGCATCAGCGACCTGCCATAGTTATAGTTCAAGTATAAGAGGCACGCGACCAACTTGAAGTGATCGATTTCGACTTGCAAATACCTTCTGTTGGAGAAGGGGAAGGAAAGGCAACAGACAGCGCATGTACGAGTTCGAAGAGGCACAAAACATTTACCAAGAACGTATAAAGTAATGGTGGTGGGATATGCAAAAAGCGAGTGCAGGCAGAGAGAAAAACGCAAGACCAAGATCAAAGACACATAGGCAACAACCAAAAGGTAATCATAAGTAGTAGCGTAGCATGGCTAGAAGTACGGACATGTGTAGAAAAAAAGGGCATATGAGGGTTGAGTGATGTCTGAAGATGTTTAAGTTTTGTACGTTGGGATATGGAATGGGGATGTAGAGTGCGATTGGTTAATACTATGTCATTGTAATGCGAGTGTAAGAGCGAGATGGATGTAGACAACAGGATCAACACAGAGCGATGATGATGAGTGAGGGCAGGCGGACGAGAGACCAGGGAGGAACGAGAAAAAGTCGGCGTTAGAAAATCGTAATCGTAAGCAGTGAAGGGGAAAGTATATAGAGAGGAATGTATGTAAAGCAAACACAGTGTCAGGAGGAGGCGCAAGTCACGGAGAGACCGAAAAAAGGGGAAGAAATAGAACGGTGTTCCTATCGATAATAAACAGTGCCCTGAGGCGTCTGGTCCATTCCGTACATCTCGTACTGTCCGCCCTGGGACATGTCCATGTACGGCACATAGCCGTAAGGCTCTGGGTAATAGTAAGGTTGCTGATAGTGGTGATGGCCCATCATACCTGCCTGCGAGCCATCTTCCATGCCTCCATGACTATTGACGTTGTCATACGCCGGCAGAGCGGCATCGGAAGGAGGGGAAGGATAGTACCCATTCTCCTGGGCAGTGGCCACAGGAGCTGGTGTAAACGTTGGTTGAAAGGTTGGTGCGGTTGTTCGCAGGCCAGACGGAGTGCGCGACATAGCCTTCACAGGCTTGCTTGACTCGTCGGCCGGAGCACGGATCTCAACGCGGGTCGTTTGCCGAGGGAATGAGAAAATGGGAGTGCCGGTCGCAGGGTCAATGAACCCATTCACAGGAGGAGTGTGAGAAGGTGGTTGGGCAAGGAAATCAGGAGAGACCGCAGTTACGGAGACTGATGAATGGTGGTGCATGTGGCCCGGGACGAACGGCACAGGAGCGATGTGAGAAGGAATGATGGGACGAGGATTGTACATCGCAGGCGCTTGAAGGTAGACCGGACGACCAGTGGCTACCTCATAGGGCATACCATGAGCATTCATGGCGATACCAGGGGGCAAAGGCAGGGGATAGCCGTAGGGCGATCCGTATGCGGGCGAAGGTTGCGAGATGGGCTGTGGCAGGGGTGGGGGTGGTGGTGGCGTAAAGGTGGTCTGGAGAGGAGCAAGGGTGGGACGTTCTGCTACAGGAGATACTGACGCTCGGACTTCGACAACAACTTCTGAGGGAGGCTTCCGTAGCACAGCAAGTTCCGTCTTCGCCTGCCGTTCCGGGTCCGACATCTGAGGCTCTAACGACAATTGTTCTAGTTGCGACCGTATCGTCTGTTCTGGAAGGGCTTGCTGGGGCAGGGATGAAGTGCCCTCATCGCTAGTTGTCCGGATGGGTTTCGTGGAGTCCGATGTCGAGGCGGCGTTCGATGTAACATGCTGCACTGTGGGCGCCTTTTCGGTGGCTGTGTCCTCAACCTGCGTCTCCACAGCGGCAACCTTTTTCTCCTTGCCAGATCGTTTGGGTAGCCGTACAACGAAGAAGTTGTCCCCAACTGATGCCGTGCCTGATCCCGATGCAGCCGTGGACGCGGAAGTCGAGGATTGAGCTGCGACTCGGAGAGGCCCCCGCACTACCTGAGGCTGATGTCCTGGAATCTTAACTCGGAAACCAGGACCTTGACCAGGGCGGGGCTTAAGCGCTGTATCGAAGTAAAGGAAGGCTTCGTGCTGCTTTGTCCACATTAGCTCCGGCTTCATAGCAAAACGAACGCCGTTAATTTGAGAAAATGAAGAGTTATTGCGGCCTCTGGCAGAGGAAGCATAGCCACCACGCGTATACCCACCTCGACCCACAAACCCACCCCTGCCAGAAAGTCCCCCTCGCTTGGGCGATTGCTGAGCTTGTCGTGCAGCGGCCTGCTCTGCACGACGCTGCTCCTCCTTCTTCTTCATCTCCTCGAAGCCATCATGCGTCCAAGCTCGTTCAATTGGAGGAACTTCCACCGGATTGCTTGGGTCGTTGTCGCCAGACGGAGATCGACCTTGGCCGCCCTGGAATCCACCTCGACCGCGCATAAATCCTGTACCTCTCCCTCTACCACGACCTCGCCACCAGCCACTCAAACTGCGGAATTCTGAGCCAATTAAACGATCGTCATGGCCCCAAAAGTTCCCAATGGTGGGTACGAACGACGGATCTGTCTCGAGTTTGTGTTGGTAAGCTTGGCGAGCAGATTGAGAGGGAGGTGCACGAGGTTGAGGTTCGGAGGAGTCCAAAGGGTGTGCTGCCTCTTCATGTTGAGCAGGAGTGGCACGAGGCTCCGTGGTGTGATTCGATTTGTGGGTCTTCTTGTGTTTGCGAGGAAGAGGGGCCCGTTGGTTTCCAAAGTCTGTAAACTCGATGACCGGTAAATCGGCTTGACCGTCGAACTTGTCATCCGTGACCATATCTGCCCAATCCCCGCTTGGCGCAAAAAAAGACGGGATCCCACCGGGGCGGGCCTCTTCCTTCACTACAGACTCGGGACTTTTGCTATTTCTGGGAGTAGGAAGGTGGGCACAATCGTGTGGGACATCGTCAGAGGCGGGTTCAGTGTCGGAATCATCGGTGGCAGAGTCTGAGTCGGAGGGTTGCTCGTCTGACTCTGAATCGGTTGCAGCCTCACGTTCAATCTCGTCATCACTGTCGGGGTCCCCGCGTCCCCTCCCTCTCCGTCGAATGGCCCGTCTCTTCTTCGGAGGTGCAGTGCCGCGCAGTTTCTGAGGAGCTGCATTTGGGACGATGCGCGCGGAGGGTTGTGATGTTACAGGAGCAGGCATATCGGAAGCTTGGGAAGTTGGATGAGAGGGATGGGTGTTGGTGGTAAAAAGAGGGCTTACTTGAGGGGAAGATGATGAGGTATTATGCACGATGGGAAAGGGGGCAGGAAACAAAGAGGAGGCGCTGGCTTGTCGTCACCGGCACCGAACAAGACTCGGCGTAAACGGTCACGACTTTTCATTCTCCGACAGGCGCCGCTCCAACCCTCACGTGCTTCCTCTACCAGCCGGCTATCCATTCTCCCTTCCCCAGTCCACAACTCATGGACCCTCAGATCCCGGAAAGCTTCAACCACAGGACAGAGAAATTGTCAACCGGTCGCACATACCACTTCGTGAGCTGCTCAAAGCCTCTTCTCGACCGAGACCGACCTCCTCATTAGGTCGACCAATTGCCGGTAGGGTATCATCCAAAACGCAACGCAACTATCCTCTGTGTGCACGGCTTTCCGGACATTTGGTGGGCCAAATCGCACTCTATGGAACCGCCACATGGCTTAAACAGCCTAGGTATGGCTGGCGTCATCAGATCGGCCCCTGGGTGCATCTCGGATGCCGCATCGTGGTGCCCGACATGCTCGGCTATGGCGGCACTTCAAAGCCCAGTGACCCAGCAGAATACTCGACGAAGAAACTCTGCACCGATCTAGCAGCACTTCTTGACCTCTTGGAAGTTAGGAAAGCTGTACGCGTTGTCCTCGCCCATGAAGTTCCTTTTGACTGACTGGCCCAGGTTCTCATCGGGCATGATTGGGGTTCATACACAGTGGGTAGATTTGCCCTCTGGTACCCAGACCGCCTTCACGCCCTTATAATGTAAGGTTTTGCTAGCCCAAATTGGTTGTCGTATGTGACCTTCCATTCCCAGGTTGAGTGTCCCATACACTCCTCCCTCGCGGCAATACATGCCCATCGAAAAGGTAGCTAAACGAGCTCCAAACCTGGGGTATCAGGTCTATTTTTCAAACCCTAAATCCAGCCAAGACATCTTGTCCCATGTCAGCCACATTTACTAATGACATTACATCTCCTCGCGTAGATCCTGACGAGCTCCATTTTTACATTGATACAGCTCGACAAATTCTTGGCATTAGTGTATCAACCACCCCACTCGAAATCGATCGACTTCACCCCACTTGGAGTGCTGGAACACCTCCTGCTTCACGCACCAGACCACAAAAACCCCCACCTACTCACCGACAAAGTGTGCCGTCTTCTTTATTGCCGTATTTTCGTACTTACCGTTTTCGACTAGGAATATGACTATTATCGTGCCCAGTTGAGTAAAGGGATGGTGGGTCCCCTTAACTACTATCGCACATCGAAATTTAGACACGATGAAGAACTAGGTGACCATTGGCTCGACTCGGATTTACATAGCTCGGACTGACTGTATTTTCCCTTGCTCTCCTTCAGCTGCAAAGCTACCTGCTAATCTTCCAGCAGACTTACCGTATCTCTTCCTGTGGGGAACAAAAGATGCGACTGCAACTCCATTCGTCATCAACAAATCACGCAAGTTCATATCTCGATACCAAGATGTAGCCATTGAAGGCCGTGGTCATTGGCTTATGGTCGAAGCGAAGGACGAAGTGACGCAGGTCATTGGAAACTGGCTCGAGGGATTAACATGTTCCAAGCCAGCGCGCCATCAGGAAGGTTCAAAGCTGTGAAATTTGCAACCTCCGCCAATCTAAGTAGTAGGATACGGGAATATTTATTGGAAATGGCGCTATAAATTATTCTTGTCAGCATTTCTACGTCTGTCCGTCGTGTGTCTCGACTCTCTAGCTTTGCTTGCCTTCGGAATCGCGCCGCCAAGAACACTTTGTATCTGTTTGAGCTTGACGGCGCCAAAGGCTTTTTTGGTCTTTACTACTCAACCACCACCGGCGGCTCATCCCCCACTGAGGGCGCACGTCCTGCCAACCTGTATCGCGTCTGCAATCATGTCAGTTCCACCTCCAGCAGTATCTACAGCAGCCTCAAAAGAGGAGGACGAGATCCCTCCGCCAGAACGCCCCCCTTCCCCACCACTTCACACGACTTTCGCCGCCAGAGGGATCCATGTACGAACGCCCGTTATGCAGCAACGATTCGATTATAACTCATCTCGACCTCTGGTTACGGTGCCTCCTGCCGTCTATATCTCCGTGTAGCCCCCGACGTTCTCTGCATTCAAGCCACGCGATTACCGTATACCGAGCTCGCAGGCGATGACCCATGTAGCATGGAGTTGCGATGGGAAGAAGCTCGCAGCAGTTGGAGTGGATAAAGTCACAAGAGTGTGGAACCCAGAGAAGAGTGTGAGCATGCAATGATTTCTAGACATGGCTTCATAAACTTACTTGGCCGAAATGCATTCCATTTGCAGATGGAACCGAGATCCGCGACCTTGTTTTCTGGAGGCCACACCGAGGATGTGGACTATGTCTCATGGAACCCGACTCACCCAGAACTATTCTGCACGTCGAGTCAGAGAGATAGACGGATCGTGTTCTGGGATGCACGTCGTACGTCGCTTCGGTCTTTCTGTCAGCATTGACATTGATGGACGCCAGAAAGTCGCAATATTCAATTGTGTCCCGTCAAGGGTTCGCCAGTGCAAACATGCTATGCACCCAACGGACGATCTCTGCTATACGTTTCTGCCGGACACCAGCTCTTTTTCCTGACGTACGGAAGAACAGGGGAACAGACGAAGGAGGATTGGCATCTTTCTGATCGAGAAGCAGTACGTCTCGTCCACTCATCTCTATCTGGCCTGGTGCTAATGTCGTTGCTCTATTAGCAAGTAGGATCAACCGCGATCTTCAACCATGTTGGCGATGGAGTCGTGGTCACTCATCATCAAGAACATACCTTACGCGTCATGGACTACCCATCCCTCGCTATAAGAGAGAGCCCTGCAGCCCACGTAGGAGGATGCATCGCTCTTGCTCTTGATCCTCGGGGGAGGTAAGCGATTTATTTATTCTGTCTCACGAAACCTAGCGAATTTTCCCGTTTCCTTGTCTGCCAGGTACCTCGCTTCAGGAGGATTTGACTCGATCGTAAACATGTTTGACCTCAATGATTGGATATGTGCGAAGACAATCACAGTTTGCGAGTGAGCACTCTCAGCCATTTCTGGGTCTTCTTCCGAACTCATTATTTCCATTCTCTATAGAAATGCCATCAACGCTCTTAGTTTCTCGCACGACGGCGAATATCTAGCTATTGCAAATGGCGGCAATTACATCGATATCGTGAGTCTTGTTTTATCCTTGTTGGCATCATTATTTAGAGATACAAAACCCAGTGTGCGACAGAGACGGGCATGCCAATGCATCGGGTACCAGCTCTCGCACCCTCTCCAACAGTTACGTGGCATCCTTCAAAGTACGTTATCGCGTATTGTGGGCAGACAAAGGCTAGAGAAGGTGGTCCGGCACCTGTCGCTGTTATCAGCATGTTCGGTTTGCTTGAGTAGTTCCTGCTGCAATGTAGTTACCCAGAAAATTGATGAAGTTGAAGCAATGTCCTTACTGTATCTGAAATTCTGACTACAACGTTCAACATCCAGGGACACGATTGAATGTAAGGACACGAAAACCAGAGTAGCAGCCGATAGATTACTGCGCAGTTCAACGTTTGCTTATGAGTGTACAAAGGAAGGAGCATAGAGCATAGAGGTTACGTAGGTAAACGTAGGTATGTATGAGACAACTTGGACAGCAACCGGTTACTGGTATGGAGAGCATAGAAAGCAGAGAGATCTACGACGATGGCAGAGGAAAACTATAGCTACGAGGATTTGCGAGATGATGCTAGACGTATAGAACAAAGTGGATGATGATGGAAAGCAGCGAGAGCGATGCGAGAGCAACAAGGTATCAAAGCATATAGCGTGCGAGAAAGCAAGAACGACAACGATGATAACAAGAAAGTTCAGAGTTCAACGGTCAACAGGAGGGGTCAAAACCAAGGACTCGAAAGAACAAAAGGTAATAAAAACGTAAAAAGAATATCAAGTTGCCAAACCGGAGAAGATGGGTATAGGACGAATCAGTCACGGAAACTATAGACAAAGCCAGTGTGGTCCGTCATCGAGGGAGGCCGGACGACGACGTCAGGAAGAACTTCATTTTGGCGCAATACGGCTCGTTGCTTCGAGGTCTCAGATCGCGAAAGGGTCAAACCCTTGATATTCTTGCTAGCTCTGGGGCTGGCACCGGGGTTTGCGTTTTCATCCTGTTGGGCAGCGACGCGGGACTTCTGCCTCTTGCCCAAAGTCAAAGGGCGGATCTGGGATATGGGCGCGTTGGCATTTGCGTTGCTGTTGAAAACATTGCCACGATCCTGCAGTAGTGTCAGCTGGCGAAGACCACCCTCCTTAGGCGAGGTTGAGCCAGAAGATGTACGTCGCAGCTTGCTTGCCTTGGGCACTAGAGGCCGCACAGAACGGGACGCGATCGGGGATATCCCTGAGGTGGATGGTTCGTTGGCATTCATAACGTTTTCCATGGGGTAAGTGACGGGGTCGTTCTGGATATAATCGGATTTGATGTAGCGAATGCTCGAGCGAGGCCGTTCGGGCATAGGGGGAGGTGGGTGGCGAGTGGTCGACTTCTGCGTAACAGTGTTATGGGGCGTACTCTCAGCATTCGTGCTTGATTGCAATCCGGCTTCGAACTCTTCGAACAAGGTAATCGTGGAGGCAGCCGAAGGAGGCATGTTGGCAATGCTAGCAATCGACGACCGAGCGGTATCAACGTTGTGAGGTACGTCAGCGCGGAGACCTAGCGAGCGAGTGGACATGCTTCGTGCCAAACCTGCGGGAGGTTGGCTCTGCTTATCTTCTTCCTCTTCAACAGACTGTAGGCCGGAGGTAGCGTTCATCAAATTTTCAGTGCCAGAAACAGTGTTCCTGCGTCCCAGGTCGACATGACTGGGAACGGCAGTGTATTGTCCAACCCTGGTTTCGAGAGCATTTCGAATTTCAGCACCCCATGCAGTTAGAGAGTGCAAGCTTTCCTTTCCGAGGCTCAAACTAGCAAGATGTTTTTCGTTACATGAGCAAGCATGCTAAATCATCAAACGTAAAACATACCTCGGCAGACTGAAGTGGTTCTTCTTGTGTCCGGATTCCTTTCGTGCTCGAGGATTGCGCCGTCTCGCGGGAGTTGAATGGACTTCAGGAGATGAAAAGTCCGCGCCGAACTCCGCAAGCTTCTTGGCGACCTTCTTGCCCTTGCTGAAAGTACCAGGGGGCGAATAATCTCCATCCTTGATCTTCATTTCACTACCAACAGTAAGACCAGGTACGAGAAGAGGGAGAACTCCGGCAGTCAACGCATCAATCTCATTGAGTTCATTCATGTCATCGACACCATTGAGCGAAAATCCAGAGGAGAATGACTTCTTGTGCGCGAGCATCGCAAGACGAGCCGCCCGAACGTTCGGAGGCGTGGGCGGAAGAGGAAATGAAGGAGGTGGACTGATGTTGAAACCTTCGCGTTCGGTCGGAGTTGAAGGACCGTTGTTGATGATGGAGGTCACAGAGCGGGATCGAAGATGGGACGAATGACTGGCACGTTTGCTGTTCGAACCGGACGCAGAACTAACCAAAGTGCTGGCTCCCAAAGACTCTCGATTTGCACCGTTGGCTGATTGTCCTGACACGACGACCGTCTGGGCAAGTGCTGAATAGTGCCTCTGGGCGATCATGATCTTCGTAGCAAATACCATGCTTTCATCGGCAGCAGAATTGTGAGAACTTGTCTTTGAATTTGGCCTCATTCTTCCAAACTGCACGCTGTTTTCAGATTGAGGAGTTCCGTGGATGTGAACAGGAAGAGAGGAATCGTCGTTTTGGAAGGGGATGGGTGGCATGTCCAATTCGTCGTCATTTTCCTCAGGCGGAAGAACAGATAGCTTGGGAGTCGCCGACAACATGCTCATGGCCCTGCCAAACTTTCCCTTGCCATCGATGGCGTCACCCTTGCTGAGCCAAACGTCACCGCTGCGGCGGCCTTCGACAACAGTCACACTGCAACTGGTGCTGCGCTTGTACTCATGAGAGAACTTGCGAGGTGGGAAGCTTCCAGTTGGCAAAGGAAGGTTACTTGTCTCGTCAGATTCACCACGGACATCGAACAAACCGATCGGGATGGGAAGCGGAGAGCCGAGAAGGAGGTTAAGGACTAAAAGTGGGGAGGAAAGTGTTATCGACAAAACGAACAGAGTTTGAACAACGGTGGATGGCAAGTTGTGCTGTGAAAGAATAACAAGGTAAGGAAGTGCAAAACCCTGTCAAATGGTAGTTGAGTCCTTGTTTCTCGATCGTACTAGGTGACACTCACAAGAGGAAGCGATATCATCACTGACCAAGTCAAAGCAGGCAACATCGAAATTTGAACCACTGTACCAGCTGGCGTAGCTAAAGCAGCCAACCCTTTCTCTGCCTCCATGTTTCCAGGAGCATAACCATAGCCACCAAGAACTTGAGCATTGGCAAGTGCAGGGGTAACTAGACGTGAATTGTTGGCGGTGAGGGCAGTGTGAAGATCGGGAGTGCTAGGATAGAGTATGGATCCTTCGTGGTGTGTCGTAGGGTATGACCAAGAGGAAATGGTTGTGTGGGACCCGTGAGACGACGTCAACCATGAAGTCTGCGAACCGTAGCGAGGTTTTTGTTGATGTGGGAGGGGAGGAAGGTCTCTTCGGAAAGGATCGACTTCAGCGAGACCAGCAGACGTTGGAGAAGTTGGACCATAGGGCGAAGGAAGAGGTGGAACTGGAGGGATTTGAATGTCATTCGGGGTCGTGGAACCAAACCAGAAGGAAGACTTCGACGGAACAGATGGGTGGCCTTGTGTTTGAGGACGACCATATTGCTGAGCCGTGGTTCCTGTGTTGTGAGTCGAAAAAGACCATGCAGACGCTGAATTCCTGCGAGAACTTGGGTTGGAGGTGAGCCAGGATGCGCCATCACGAATAGCGTCAATGTCTTCAGTGGCGAATGAGGGTCGTGGCTTCTCTTCTACTTGACGAACAGGTGGCCACGAATCTGAAGCCTCGTTGAGAGGAGACAGGTTCTTCTTGATGGTGAAAAGGGTGCGGATGAGGCAGGCAAATGCGACGCCGCTCAAGACGGCGATGGTGGCGGAATATGCTGTCAAACCGACAAATAGCGTATCCATCCCAGTTCCTGACAACAATCCGGCGACGGCGGTCGAGGTTATGACCAGGAGAGCTGTAGGGCACCACAGCATCCAGTGCTTTCCACCGAAGGAAACGGACTGCGCCATGCGCACATGAAGGAGGGTAATAGACACGACAATAAGGAGGCATGTTTGTCGAATTGTAACGGCAATCCACAGCCTAATCGCTGAGGCTGGATCGGTGGCAAGAGCGAGTCCGGCCGGTCCACCTGTCGACTCTGCGACAATCTGCCATACAAAAACAGCTAGGGCAACGACGTCGAGACTTGCCAACCAGAGATGGGACTTGTCTGCAGCTGAGAGCGATCGGAACGTTGGCAAACCAAATTCGGCCTACAATGCAAAGATGAGCCAGTTACCATGCTTGCCAAGAAACTACTTACTGGTGAAACACGTTTGCTTAGTGGATGCGGAGGTAGAATTGGGATAACAATGCGAAGAATGGTGAATGCTGAAGCTATAAAAGAGATGAAAGCGAGGACGAGAGCGGGTGCAAGCGGAAACATCTTGATTCTTGATTCTTAACTGGTCGTGCGTTCTTGAGAGAGCGTGAGGTGCGTAGAAGCGTAAGGGCGTAAGGCCTTCGTTGAACGTCAAAGCCGTCGCACAGCTGGGCAGCTGCTCCGCGAACGAAAGTCGGAACCGGTGACGATGGTAGGAGAGGGAATAGCCTGTGTTGTTTGGCGCTCTATTTGGTCGTGGTTGAAGAATATAAGGGGCGGCGCTCAGACGCGCCGGTCACGTGGTGGCGTTGCAACGAGGTCTGATGCAATTTCCGAAATAAGGAACTCCTCCTATTCTGAGCCGGCGCTCCTCGCTGGACTTACGAGCGAGATCTAGGCAATATCCTCTTGGTTTTCAGGAATTACATAGTCGAGACAATCTCAAAAGTTAAAACGAAATTTGGTCATGAACATGTCAGCTAGTCGTATTCCCACACTTCATCTTCTGCCTGTAGTAGTCTTCACCAGCGCTTCAAATCACAGAACGACTCTGGTTTTGTTCTCTCCGTCCTTTTCTCTCCCCGAGATCCACCCACTCGAGGATACAGATCAATTGATGAGGTACGTACGAGGACTTGATACGCCTTAAACTCAGTCTTTGCACCATTGGGCTCTTTTGGCCGACGGACGTGGCTGATCTCGCAACGTCGACCCCGCGCTGTGCTTCCGGAAAAGATTCTTGTCCGAGCTTGTTTTTCTTGGCCAATCGCAGATCCGACCCAGATCCGACACTCTAACCGCACCAGGTGGCCAAATGCCTTCTTCTCGAACGCGACAGGACGATGTCAGACCATACCCAAGCAAAGGGCATTTCCAACAACTTTTGATAAATAATGTCGACAACTACATAAGTACCTGCATTTTTGCCCTTCAACCTCTTGGCAGACACGTAGATCTCCCTCAAATCCTCGAAACACTTTTGGTTAGGGTATTATTCTGTTTGTACTGACGATCTGCTGGTTATTTATTCCCAGTACTTTCAATGCGATGCACGTCGCACTTCTTTTGCAGGCGCAATGGATTCAAAGGCGGGTTGTTGTGGGAGGTGGGAGTGCGGTGGCGTGTGCGGCATCGGGCGATTGATGCGTTCTGATGACAGTCATGTGGCTGGTTCTCGAGAACACACGTCTCGAGCCTTCACTCCCGCTCCCGATGAATCACCGTTACAAAGCCTCTTGTGGGCCTCCGCAAGGAGCTCCTCAATGTCATTCTAACGCTGGTACGCGGATTTTGAAGGGTTATTTATTGAAAGATTGGTTGTCTAATGTCGATTTTTAGACATCGACCTTATGCAACAGATACCTTGCGGCCGTCATTCGCCGTGGTCCTTCTGAGATCAAGCTACTTCTTCGAAGATCATGTTGACCAAGATGAGATGCATATGGATTTACGGCAGACGGGAATTATCAACATTCGGCGTTCGCTGAATTCTCGCCTGCGTCCATGGGGTATATAGACGACTTGGCTTTCCTTGTGCCCCCTCGAACTCGCTTGAGTCCCCTTCGACTAGGTGCATCCTGCCCCGATGCATATCCCGCGCTTGTGGAGTTTCACGCTCTCCCTTTCCTGCTTGTCTCTCGTCTCCGGTCGCCTCAAGGATGGTCGACTGCATGGAAACATGATGCCTATGGCGACTGTGCCCATGGCCAGTTTACCAGCAATGAACATCCCCGTCACCAGCCGCAATGGAACCGTCTTACCAGCATACACCACCACATACTTTTTCGATCAACTTATCGACCATAATAAACCTTCGCTTGGCACATTCAAGCAGCGATTTTGGCATACATGGGAGTTTTATGAACCAGGTAAGCTCCCAGTCCTAATAATTTCAGACTTGACGCCAATCCTTGTTCCCAAAAGGTGGCCCCATAATTCTCATGACGCCAGGAGAAATTAACGCAGAGGGTATGTGTTACACTTTCTCGAAGTGCGGTTCGTTATCTCAAGCTATCCTAGGCTACTCTTCCTATCTTACTAACAGGACCATCCCTGGTCTCATCGGTAAGCCGTCAAAAATACCTTAATGGGCGCCGGCGCGCTCATTCGACGACTTCGCGTCGTCTTGAAAGCCCAACAGCAGAATGGAAGCACCATTGTCCTTGAGCATCGGTTCTACGGCCTCAGCAACCCTTATCCCGATTTGAGCGTCAAGAGCTTCCGCGTCCACACCATCCAGCAGGCTATCGACGACCTTGAGTACTTTGCGAAGAATGTCAATCTCCCAATGCCAGGAGGCGATTCGGTCACCCCGAACAAAGCTCCTTGGATCTTGGTCGGCGGAAGCTACTCCGGTACGAATATGCTATCACAAACTCGTCACCTTCGATTAACGTTGTTCGATAGGCGCACTTACCAGCTGGACAATGGTCAAGTGAGACTCAACGCATCTCCTTTGAGGAAAGCAAGCTAACCACTTGGTATAATCTATTAATAGCAAGCCGGGCCTTTTCTTTGCTGGATACGCGTCTTCTGCTGTGGTTCAAGCGATCCTGTGAGCTCGCGACTCTTTTTCGTCAAACCATACCATGCGTACTGAAGAGTTCTCCACGCGCTCTCCAGCAATTTCTGGCAGTACTTCGAGCCCATTCGGCTCCATATGCCGGCTAACTGCTCGGCCGACGTTCAAGCCGTGATTGCACACATCGACAAGACGTTCACCGGCAAGAACACCACCACCATCAAAGCGATTCAAGATAATTTTGGACTGAGCGAACTTGGTGACCATCTAGACGACGTCGCTGGCGCCCGTATGTTTCATGTTATGCCTCCAAAGCCGAGCAGAGACTGACCACCAGTGATTATTTAACAGTACGCAACAACCTGTGGGATTGGCAGTCCCTTCAAGTTACCTCCGGCCCTGGGACCCAGTTCTATAGATTCTGTGATGCTCTTGAGGTCAAGGATGGCGTGAGTGCGCCTGCCTCTGGTTGGGGTGTCAACCATGCGCTTGCAGCTTGGGGTGCCTATTGGAGGAACGGATATATTAAAACCCGTGAGTACCGTCTTTATCATCAGGCTTAGATAGACTTATACGACCGTATTAGTATGCAAGGAGGACGACGTTCCGTATGTACTTCCGCTTCTCTCCACACCCTGCTGCCCTAATTCTGGTTATCTCCCACAAAGGACTTGCCTCGGAACTTATAACGCCACCCTGGAGTTCTGGACGGATACGAGCATTGATAACAACAGTCGTTCGTGGTTCTGGATAGTGTGAGTGTTCTCTCATTGATTCGCTTTCAATTGGTTTTTTGAACTCCACCACCAGATGCAACGAAGTTGGTTATCTCCAAGAAGCCGCGCCGCGGGGCAAGCCCACCCTTGTATCACGCCTGGTTCAACCCCCATACGACTTCGTAGGTGCCCAAGCATTTCTGTCGGAAGGAAAGCCCTAAGAAGCCTCGAACTTTTAGCGACAATGTCAGATGATGTTCCCTGCGGCATTCAAAACCCCTCCAATCCCTAATGTTTGGCGGACCAACACTAAATACCACGGCTGGGATGTTAGGACGAAGAATCTCTTCTTTGCCAATGGAATTCGTAAGCCCGCCTTGGTCCTCAGTTCAAATTCGGATGACTGAATGTACCTTCTCCATCACCAGGTGATCCGTGGAAAGACGCAACAATTTCTGCGGAGGGCCTCAACGTCAAAAGCACCATGCAGCAGCCAATCGGCCTAGCCGATGGCTTCCATTGCTCCGACTTGGGTGTCTCTGGCGCCGTTGACCCGACTATCGCGGTCGTTCAGCAGCAGGCGCTAGCTTCGATGAAAGCCTGGCTGAAGGCCTGGAAACCTCGCAGCCAGGGTGGTCCGATCAAGACCCCCCGCGCTGTCGCTCAAACCTTCAAGAACATTTTCCCGCCGATCAGCGTGAAGCCAGTCAACGCATGGTTTAAGAGAGTTGGGTCCGTCTAGATGAAGTTAATTTATGCGACGAAATAGCGCATCTCCGTTTCTGTTCCCTTGCTATCGATTACGTTTGACTTCCAGTAAATCGTTAACCTGCTTTGTAGTTGTACCACTGGAAAGCACAAAGCGTTTGTGCTAGATTCGTACCCCGCCCGTATATAGTCAATCCCAAGGTGTCTGCAGCCTTAGTGCTTGTTCAATGGCGACATTGCGTCACAGCGAACCACCGCTTCCAAAAATATATCGAAGAAGCCTTGCACCTAGAACAGCGTAACTGGAGGATCGAACCTGTCAGCGTGAATGTACGTACATTTAAGGCATCCGCAACAATGCAATTACGCCCATTTCGGCCCCATGTGTCGTCGCACGATTTATATTTCCAGACATCTACCACTGTCTCTCCAATAGAATGGGCACCTGTGAGTTCTATGTCCACCCGATGCCGCGTCGTTCTAAAGAGGTCTGGGTAAGCCACATATGCGACGGTCAGTGCATCGTGTAAGGGAGGTCCGTGCTGGAATCCAAATGTCGACTTGTAGGACTCGGCAAAGTAACTAATCAGGGTGGAGAGAGTGTGGCGCAAATTACTCGATGCGGCTGGAAGAACTCCCGAACTTGATTCTGAGCCTGGAGAGAGCAGCTGGGTGTGTATTTCTCGTGTTACAATCGCGGTGTGGGTTACGTTGATGGGGATCATGGTTTTCTTCACGGGCACATTTAATACCATCTGCGCTGCATGTGCTGCCAGGTTGTAAGTGCCAAAAAAGTGGTATTGTAGGCATGAGAGACCCACGATCACATAGGACGTTGTATTCTGCAACAGAAGAACGGTTACCCATACCCACTCCTCCACCCATGAAGACGAATTCCTCAACAGCTCCGAGTAGTTTGGGATACACGCTGACGAAAAGAGCGATGTTTGTCATTGGTCCCGTAGAAATTATCGTGACTCGAGGACCAGAACCATTCCTCCATGTCTCCTTGATAGAACGCGACATTCCGTCTAAAGCATGGACGTTGGAGCCATCGGCGTCCTTCGCGAACCGGGCAAGGATGTCTGGATCGCCGCAAGTTGGAAGGCCTTCAACACCACCAAGCCCATCTTCTCCATGGATTTCAGGATCATGTTTGGCTGGTAGTAATAGGGGCTCTGTTGCGCCAGGATGGACATGTATGTTCGAAGGTGCGCCAAAAGCCACGAGACATCTCGCCGCATTGATAGCGGTCCGATCGCTGCTTGCATTTCCGTGCGTCTATGGCTCGTAAATTCTATCTCGACGACTTTAGTTTGAGGATTGACTCACTGTCGAAACCCCTAGCAACTGGATATTTGGTGAGCTCACCGCTAACATAATAGCGGTCGCATCATCGTGTCCCTACAAAGACAGATCGATTGACGATTTAGGCAATACATGAGAGACTTGACACACATACCGGGTCTACATCCAACCAGACGTACTTCATGGTGAACTGTGTGCAGCCTCTGTGCTGGATTTGGGCCAATCACCAGATATCGCTACGTATTAGTAGTCTGGATCGTCACAATGACGTGATGGGCAGAAAGCCATGGCTCACCAATGCATTCATTTGTCATCAAGTGGGGATATTCATAGGCCCCAGACTGGATGAGTAATCTCTCCGAAGTCTTATGAAAGCCTGTGATCTTCACAGCAGTCCAAGTAATAAAAAGCCAAGTGGAAGCATTTCCTCCTACTCTTTTGCCCGTCCACGATTTGAGCTCGCCGTCCGACATGACTACTCCCAGTGTCACACGTCAATATCAGCTCCCTCAGGTGAGGCTCAATGAGAGTCTCGTCGTGCAGCTTGATCAATGAACTGTCTTCTCTAGATCGGCACGTACAACAACCTTGTTTTAACAGAGGGTCAAGTCCCTCTACCGAGAGCAAACGAAGTATTACTGAAAGTCCACGCCGTTTCTCTTCAAGTAAGCATTTGGCGTTAGCCTTGGTTCTTAAGCTAAATACCTTTCAAGTTCCGCGATCTCATCGTCTCAAAGGGGCTGTATGGTGTCCCGTAAGCTTTCAAATTAGTGCCCACAATCTAGACTGTTTTAATATGCTCGATGCAACTAAACAGGATGCCTGATAACTTAATCCCATGCTCCGACATGGCTGGCGAGATCATCGCACTTGGAAAGGTCGTTCAAAACTGGAAAGTCGGCGACAGAGTGTGCTCTAACTTTGCGACCGACCATATCCACGGACCTACGAACCCGGCTATCCAAAAGTCCTCATTGGGTGCTCAATCCCATGGCGTTCTGACCCAATACAAAGTCGTTCCTGCCCACGTGAGTTTACTCCGCTAACTGTATGTGTGGCGCATCCGACTTGCTTCGACTTAGTCACTCGTGGCTATTCCGGAACATCTCTCGTACGAGGAGGCGTCGACTCTGCCGTGCGTATCTTCTGAACTTATGTGAATCTCTTCCTCACATCCAGCCAGTTGTGCTGCTTTAACTGCCTACAATGCCTTGAATGGCCCTGTTCCCATCAAGGCAGGAGACTACGTTCTCGTCCTTGGAACCGGCGGAGTTTCGATGCGAGTATTCTGGTCTGTTCCATTGCATGAATGCCTTCTGACCGCCTCAATAGTGCTGCCCTGCAATTTGCGGTGGCTGCGGGCGCCACTGTCATCGCAACCTCTTCTTCCGACGAGAAGTTGAAGATTGCTTCGAAACTTGGTGCTAAACACGTCATCAACTACAACAAGACCCCACAGTGGGATGAAGAGATCAAGAAGATCGTATGTCGATCTTTCCAAGTACCCTGCCAGTTACCCTGCTGAAACCCTTTCATCTCAGACTAAAGACGTTGGGGTTGATCATGTCATCGAGGTTTGTGTTAATTGCCTGATTGCAACCATTGGAAAAGTCTTGAGGAATACGTTGATAGGTCGGCGGCCCAGGGACTTTGCAAAAATCAATCAACTCTACCCGAGTAGGCAGTGGATACATCCATATCATTGGTTTCGTTTCTCAGGCGAGCAAATATCGCGAGCCGCGTTGAATTAAGCCTGACAAACCTTCTTACAGGACAAGGGCGACTCGAATCCTATTCTTCCACTTATTAGAAACGCGGTCACGCTGCGCGGAATCCAGATTGGCTCCGTTGCACAGTAGGACTTCCATCTCGTATACTAAGACGGATGCTTATTAGCGTCAATCAGGTTCGAAGACATGAATCGACTCATCACTGCCAACCCCGACGTAACCAGACCAGTCATTGACAGGGTCTTCGCCTTCGAAAAGGCTATCGATGCCTATGCCCACCTCGAATCCCAGAAGCATGTTGGTAAGGTTGTCGTCAAGGTTGCCTGATTCGAAATTGTGCCCTCGTTTGCCTAAATAGCGTTTTCTGCAACTAAATGTAAAACTAGTCTAAATATCCTGCCTTATATCACTTTTGCCTCGTGATAGTATGCACAAGAGAGAGTGAGAGATTTCCTTCTGCGTGTGATTGTCTCAAATGAACCCCTTGAGCGAGTCGTTCGCGTCATGCCTGAACTTGGCCCGAACTTGGCCCGAACCGTTCTAGGTCCAGAACGGAAATTGTGGCGCTTGCGATGACGATTACGTAATCGTAAGGCAGAATTGGTTTTAGCCAAGTGCGTAACTCTCCGATCATGACACCAGAAGTAATTGTACAAACTTATGTTCTCTCCTTTGGAGATCTACGAGTACGAGCAGAGTTATTAGATGTCAAAGCAAAATAGAGCAAAGATTATATAAATTTAGTAAGTAGGTGTATCGTTGGTCTTTCTGGTATCTTCTACAAGAACGGGACATTCTTCATCTCGCCTGCAGCGAGTATGTCATCGTCGAATATTTCATCGGGGTCTTGTTCTGGGTCTCCATGGTCGTCCCCGTCGTAGCCTTCATCCCCTTCGTCGTCATGATGGATGAAATGGTGGTCTTCGAGCGGAGGCTGCTCCTCTTCGTCATCATCCATCCCAAAGTGCGTCTCATCTAGTGTGCCAGGCATGCTCGTCATACTTCTCCTCCTCTGCCTCTTCTTCCTCTTGCCATCGGTGTCAACCTCGTCATCATCCTCGTCGTCAGACTCGGCACATGACGAAGATGACTCTGGGCTCGCACTGCGCCGATAATCCCCGTTGTTCACCCGAGACATGAAGCCCAGCGTCGAGCTCAGCCTCTCGAATGAGGACATCTGGCGCAGGTGACTGCTTCGATATGGATCTCCATCGGCCTCTTCTCGGTTATCAGGTATGATTGTGATCGAGGATTGCTTGCTGACGGGTAGTCGGTTGGAGTTTCCGCCAAGGCTGAAGTTACGCAACCGCGCCAGTGCACTCTGATTCGAGGTGTCAGATCTTGCACTAAGAGCAGGCGAAGGGGGAGACAGGTCCGGCAAAGGAAATTCTTGCACAGGGGTTTTCCAATAATTAAAATCGGTGTACTCTGGTGTCCATTTCCGATGGATGGGAGGGAACATTTGGTCAACCAGATCCGTCATGTGGATATACCTTATAGAACTTGGTCAGAGATTGCCAGAACATCGATCAGACAATACGTACGAAGATTTATATCCAGCCAATTCAAGCAGCTCCATCTTCACTTCTCCCGATGAGTCGATCGTAAAAATACGCGCGCTAGGTACGTTGACGCTACGGTACGAGAGTGCATCTGTGATTCTGTTTCCAAATCCAGCATAGAACGGGTTTCTCGCGGTTTCACCGAACAGGCGTTGAATGTCTCGCAAACAAGCCATCTTGAACACTTCGGGCTTGCGCATGATGACCTCTCTGTGATAATGAAAAATACGTCAGCACCACGATTCAGCCTTCGAGCGGGCGTGTCATATACCGATGCAGAGAGGCCATTAGGCGATCTGGACTCATGATGACAGGGCCTTCAGGCAGTTGGTAGTTATTCTGTTTAATGCCCTTGAGGTAGTCTCGCGTCGCGTCTGCTTGACCGATGGCACGAGAAGTGAGGTACATGATCTTGTATCCGTTGCGCACAATATCTGTGTACAGCTTCGCTACGCCGACATGTGTCCAATCGCGTCCGATCATAGCGAAGACGTGTCCAAGACCATCCGATCTGAAGAATAAGTCGTCATGCCTCATAAAGGAGGAAAAAAAACCTTTACTTGGTGATCGTCCCATCTATGTCGGAAATGAGGACCAAGTCCTTCGAATCCCAGACGAAGATACGGGCTGTTGCAGCAGCCACCCCATTTGCAGATAATGAAAAGGTGATGGAATTAGCTCCAGGCTTCAGTTTTAGGGATTTCTGGAACCTATTAGTCAATCGCCATCCAGAAGGGCATCAGAGGAGGGACACACAAGCTGGTCTGAAGTCAATCTTAATGTTTTCGCGAACTTCTTTTGAGACTGCAGCTGCTCAGAAGCGGTTGAAGGAGGCCGGGTAGGGGTCGTGTCCTGCTTGGAGCCAGATACTGTTGCAACATCGGCTGGATGTTGAATTGGTGTCGACGGCTCACTGCTGCCCCTGACAAACTCAGTTGAAGGAATCACATTTGAGGAAGGCTTCTGGGTGGATGGTAGAGGGAGAGAGGCACTCGAACTGTCTTTTTTCTGCGGGGTCAAGGAATATGTAAGCTTGAAACGAATTCCGAAGGGACATAGGAGCATCACATACAGGGTCTAGAGACAAATGTGCTTTGCTTGCCGCGTCGTTCTTCCGACTCCGACTCCACCACTGCACCCACGAAGACGACGTCGGTTTCTTGGCCGGAGACGAGGTCTGACCCTCTGTCTTGCCAGCGTTCTCTTTCGCAGCAGCGGCGGCCTCCTGACAATCTTCCTCCTCAACTTTCCTCATTTCCGCAGCGGACGGGGGCTCAGACTTGGACCTCCCGTGTTCTTTGCTTGGCCCGTTCTCGGTGTAATGCTCTGAAAGGTCCGATCCACCTGATGGTGGGGGTGACACAGGACGCAGTGCATCCCCAGATTCGCGTTTCTTCTGCGTCGACGCTCGCCAATGTACAAGAGCATCCATCAAAGGAGATCCGTCGCTTCTTGTGATATACCTAGTTGAAAACGAGTAAGCTTCCAAGGAATATCGGCGGAAGAAGTGAAATGTACTGGTCGCCTGCCCACCGAATGACGAGTCTTGGGTCCTGAACGACGGTATCATCGTCCAAAAATCGGTTCAAATCAACCTTGTAATGGTCAAACAGCCGGGCAGTCTCGACCTCTCCCCTCTTTAACTTTCCGATGGCTTTCTGCTCGCCTGTCCTACCCCTCTCCTCTTGAGCAAATCCGTGCTCTTGTTGGTCCTTAAATAAACTGAGCTGAAGCACCATCTTCTTTCCTTCAATGTTGAGTACCAGGATTGAAGAGTCTTCCTTGCTAGCAGTGAGGGTCCCTCCAGCACCGAAGGTCCAATCCTCAGGCAATTGATCCTGTTGCTCACTGCCCTCCGGTCCAGATGTTGCTCCTGCCCACGGCCACCCGCGTTGAATGTTCTCATCCTCATCCTCATCCTCGACGTCCTCATACTCCTTATAAACTCGGCTGCTCCTGCGCCTCTTCCCGGCAGGTCTGTCCTCAAAGTTCGGAGGAACGCTCCGACTTCGACCTGCTAAAGGTATTCCGTGTCCTGGAGGTTGATCTTTTTTCCATCCTTCAAGCTCTGCACTAGTACTCGCAGGAGGCGGCAAAGTCATACCCGTCAGCCGACTTTTCCTCTTTGAGCCAGGTAAGCTCTGTCGCGAGATCGAAGAAGTCGCCCAGGCGGGATTGGGCGGCTCTGGACGGCCGCCTTTCCCAAAGGATGCCTTCATTGGTGAGGGCTGTGGAAATGCACCCCATTCCCAGGAGTATTCCTGGACGGTAAGTTGGTGCTCTTGAACAGAAATCGTCAATGACGGGCCTGAATTGTCATCCACTTCAATATCTGGCGGTGGTTCAGAAGTTGCGCGGAAGGGTGCTGAAGGAGATTGCAAGGGAGGCGGAGATGGGGAAGGAGAGGATGGGGGTGAAGGTGAAGGTGAAGACGCATCTGAGGAGTGTATTGCTGATTGCGTGTGTGGAAGAAGAGGGGAAGCCTGTTTCCGAATTGCTCTAAGTGATGAAATAGAAGAACTTGATTTGCGAGGAAATTCGACAGTTTGATCTGAATTCTTCTTCGATGATAAAGATGAGGAGGAGCGTATGGTTCTGTCTGAACGCTCTCGATCGTGATAGCCAGACTTATAACCCTCCATGTCGAGGGTGATACCTATGCGTTTCATTGCGTGAGCTGGTGTCATCCTCTGGATGAACGCACTGACCCTGGTGGTATTCGACCTCCGGAACATGCGCCGCACCGTTCAGAGCTTTGAGCGCAGCGTCAACGCGCCTGTCTTGTTCGTCCATCTCTGGAGTACGCGAACGCTCTATCGAACGCTCTCTTGAGGGCGGTGGCGAAGGTAATGAGGACTGGGATATCGTTGCTCTCGAGACACTCTTCCGCACAAACTTGGGTACGTTGTGTTTTTGCTGTGGAGTTGTCTTCGTGTCTTCCGTGTGTTCCTCGCTGCGGGATCCACCATCGAGATCAAGAAAGTCGGGCTCGACACGCATTCGCCCATCTTCCGATCGCGAGACTTTCTCGACATCCTCCGGCGCATCCTCCGCTCCAAAACGGTCTTGGTCGACGGGATCCTTCTTCTCCACATCCTCTTGTCCATCTGGAACAGTGGGTTGAATGATGGGGGAGGTAATAAGGTCTTCCGGCACGTCGTCGTCCGTCTCAAATACGAAGAAAGCCTCCCCAGCTTCTCCAATCTTCATGTTGAAAGGGATTGAATTTCCATTGACGAACACGTTGACCTTTTTCTCGCTTGGACGTAGGACCTGCCATTTTCCGAAGCGTACGTGGAAAGGTGAACATACGAGCTCCGTACTGCCGTCGTTTGTTGGACGCTCTATGACGATGACGTCGATTGCACCGGTGAGGGTAGAAGGATTGATGGGTGGAAGCTCCTTGTAGTACTGATACGGGGCGCTAATGGCACTGACGGCGCCGCGTAAATAGTTCATCGATGAGCTCGATGAACTCGATAGACAAAAGGAACAGAAGACGAAGAGAAAGGAGAGAGAAAGGCAAGAGCGTGTATTGGGGCTACAGTCATGTGATTCTACTATTTCTAGTGAGCGGCACTATGGGCTTCGTGGTCGTACAACGGAGCCATGCTAGGCTACACGCCAGTCAGTGACAGTGAACGGCGACATAGTAGACCCACATACAGGAAGGTTGCGCTCCCTGAAGGAGTGTTAGTAAGGATATTGTAAACGCAAATATAAAAAGACAAACCATTTCGTGCCGCCGGGGGCAGTCGGTGCTGATTCCACCATATGAGTGCACCACAAGCTTTGCCAATCCCAAAGAACTCACCGACGCAGGGATCTGGATGCTTCATATCTACCAGGTGTGCCTCTGCCTTCTGCAGGATCTCAGCCAACCCCCGAGGGTCCGACACGTTTCTACCGCGCGAATTCAACGCCTGCACTTTGTCTTGGACAAACCCGGTCTCACCGATTGACCTCGAACTCTGCCCGAATTTGCATCGCCTGCCCTCGCCAAATGTCGCGTCTGACGGTCCAATCCAGGGCGTTCTTGAGGTATCGTCTATAAAGCGATTTTACATAGAGTCTGTGTGCGGATGAGAACGCCGTCGCTGGGCTCGACATCGTGAGTGGTGGTGACAAGACCAATCTGTGCAGTGCAGCGGCATTCATGCGGATTGCTGACGTAAGCTTTCAAAATTTGGGCGGAACCGAAGGGAGTGCATCTCTGACAAGTACGAGGTCATGGATCCGCATTCACGGCGTTCCCAGTTCAACCACAGAGCCCCCAAGGTGGGCCCACCATCCAGAAACATTGAAACTCCTCCTCCCAAGCACTCAGAGCAGCCGAAGATGCCTCCCAAAAAGTCCAGGTCGAGCACACCAACCACTGCGACCGCGAGCTTCCTCGTTCGACGCCCCATCGCCACAAATTCACGCGTAAAACAGGACGAGGTATTCAAGAGGGATATGTATCTCTCGTTCGTAACAAACGCACTGGAGCAAAAGGCCACCGTGCGTGCTTTCTTCCTCTCGTAGCCCCACAGGTGCGATCGTTTTCTCCAGGGTGTAGCCGATTCCTTCGACGAACTTGTCGCCCAATTCAATCTATTCTCGTCGTCGTCGTCGTCGTCATCGAGTACCTCTAAACGGTCTCCGATGCCTAACCAGCAAGGCCATTCCCCTGTTGATGCGGCACAGATCCGTCTGTGGCTGGTTGCACTGTCGCACGTTGTTTCTCGATTAGAGAGAACGCATGCCGCACTCGTGGATGCCATTGTAAATATGCCATGGATGACCCTCGATAATGCGACAGTGAAGTCATACACGGTCTTCATTGGGATGTTGCTTAGCGCACGACCAGAATACCTATCCCTTGTGCTGGCCAAAATCGCAGCAGGATTTACGTATCGTGCGTTCCCCATTTTCCTCATTTTCTTCTAACATTCATATTTCTCTGGCCACAGAATCCGGAATACAAGCTCTCGACTTTAGCATGCCCTCAACCTCCAGTTCTCCGGCGACAAGACGAGTGGTTTATGACCGATTGCATTACCTCCTCCAACACCTCCTCTCTCTCATACCCACCCTTCCATCGACACTACAGTCCCTTCTCATACGCAATTTCCCTCATAAGAGGCAAAATCAGATTGCTCAGACGACATACATTCGAAATCTCCTCCGATTATCTGGTTACTGTCCAGAACTGTCCGATAGGATCCTTGCCACAATAGTAGACCAGGCCATCCAGATCGACGTGAGACTTTCACTCTCCATACTTTCATGTAGTGCGCGCCATTGACGCGTGTCTGCTCAGGTCGAGATCCAGATAGAAATAGAAGAGCTAGAAGAAGAAAATCTTAACGATCATGACGTATTCGAGATCGACCCTTTCGACGTTGTTATTGGTCAAGAAGTCGGTTCTTCGGTTGATGATTCTGATTCTGATACAGACGATGAGGACGACACGTTTAGTGATTTGTCCTCAGAAGCCGATCTTAACGAATTCGAACAACACGTCGAAGTGCCTACAAACGTTAGACATATCCAGGAGATGGTGAAGAAACTTGACGCAATTCTGATGTTACTTTTCGAACACTTTGAACGGACGAAAGTGATCAGTGCGGGCAAGAACGATCTTGAAAAGAATGAGGGGGCAAGGCCACTGTCTCCGTTAGATCTACCACCTCTACCACCTCTAGAAGCGGCAGACTCATCAAGCTTGAACACTCCTCTCGCACCTTCAGTCCCTCCCTTTGTATATCCCCCGTTCCCTTCTGCAAACTCGTCTCCATCGACTCTGGAATCTCTGTCATCTACTACTACCTCGACAGCCACGACTAAATGCATGAACAAATCGCCTCTCCGTTCACAATTCCACTCCCTCCTTTCCATTTTCGACCGAACAATTCTCCGCACCTTCAAGTCGCGATACACCCAGTTTCTCGTCTTCTGGTATACCTCTCTCGACCCCGAATTCGCGGACGTTTTCCAGGGCATGCTCGTCGATCGTGCCCTCATGTCTAGCCCTGCTCCCGTTGCTCCTCCACCGCAACCTAATGGACACCCAAGCAACTCGACGACGACGAACGGGATGCACACCCCGTCACATGCGATGACGTCTGAACTTACTCGTGCTGCTGCTGCGTCGTACATCGGCAGCTTCGTCAGCCGAGCCAAATTTGTTGACAAAGACGGCACGCGGAGAGTCGTCGGCGTATTGTGTGAGTATCTCCGCGCACACCTTGAGGGCGTCGAGGCTGCTCTCCGTGTCGGGTTCGGTTCCATCACGAAGACAAACGCTGCGATCGGTGCTATACTTGCATCGGGCCAGCACACAGTGTTTTATGCCATTGCGCAGGCAGTTTTCCTGATCTTCTGCTTCCGATGGCGCGATCTCGTTCTGGACGACGAAGTTGGTGATGAACTTGAGCTGAACCTGTCATTTGGTAGCGTTGGGGGCCTTCTACGCGGAGGCAAGACGAACAAGGTTCCAAGCAAGGATAAGTGGATGCCTGAGTTAGCTGTTATAAAGAGGGCTGTAGTCAGTGTTCTGAATCCTCTCAAGGTGCGACGTGGCTTCTTTGTGTCGTCTTCCATATAATTGATTACCTTTCTGACCGTCTAGGTCTGCTCTGCAAACGTCGTGATGCAATTTGCTCGGGTGGCCCAGGCGACTGACTTCGTCTACTGTTATACCATCCTCGATGCTAATAAGCGCTCCGACCCCACAACGTCACCTTCATGGGGTGTTGCTGCGGATACTTCAGCAGCCATCTTGAACCCCACGGTTTTATGCGATTCCACAAACGCCGAGCTTAACACGTTCTTCCCTTTTGACCCATACCGGCTTCCCAAGTCCAACGTCTTCATACAGAGCGTGTATCGGGAATGGTCGTCTGTAGCTATTGACGACGACGACGAAGAAGAAGAAGAAGAAGACGAAAACGATGTAGTGCCCGCGGACTTCCTTCCCAGAGGCACGGTATCAGGTCACCTTGATATCCCACGAAGCAGGGCCGCCGCAGAGAACAATGATGACGGTGGGTTGGGAGAATCCTTGGTGGCGATGAGTATAAGTCCGGCTCGTATGACCATTTCTGTCAGTGCACGCGGTTAAGAGCGGCCTCGCTCCACAGTAGCCCGACATATCCATTTTAGCTTCTCTCTGTCAAGTACAGTACATTCCTGTTTTCCGGACTTTCATCTACCTCTTGGATGCCACATTTAATCTATGCATGCTCCTAAGTTATGATTGGCTTATGTAACAAATATGGGTCCATGTGGGTCCAATGTTCTACAGGGTTTTGCATAAAACTTTGGACAGTCGCCTTTCGCGAAAACGTATTTGATTATATTTGCCTACTTGATGGCCGGGGCTGCCTGGACCGTCTGGACTGGACGGTGATTCTGGCCGGGGTGTTGGTCAGGCTTGATGGTGTCGGCAGACAGCCAGCGGAAGGTGTCTGCTCGTTGTCTTCGACAATGAGCAAAGGAATTTCACCACTTCTGGGAATACTTCCCTGAATAATTTCAGGGATGGTTCATTGTTGCTCTTATTTAATTTGTGACTTGTGTGTCCCTCGCCCCCGTATCTATTCATAAAAGTGTGCAAATTCACAACTTCTTCATATTTTCTAACCCCCCATTGTGATGCATGTGGCTTTTATGAAGCACAAGGTATTGCCCACACATGTTGCAAATACCCCCAAGTATGTATTTAGAAATTTTTAGAAAAAAAGAAATTGAAAACTCGTAAAGAAGTTGTGAAGTTTGTGTGCTCATTGTCAAAGACAGCGAGCAGACACCTTCCGCTGGCTGTCTGCCGACGCCAGCCAGACCAACCCGACCAGAATCGCCATCCAGTCCAGGCGGTCCAGGCAGCCCCGGCCATCAAGCAAGCAAATATTACGAGTCCTACGTAGTAGGTATTGTTCTTTAGGACACAATTTTGCCATCAAAATATGCCGTGGGAAACCTCCGTATCCCCATGTGTGTCCTGCTCTAGGACCGAAGTGCTTGCAAGTTGTGGCGCATGTGAGCATCCATCGCACCCTGGCGTGTCGATGGCTGTGCTCAAGGAGCCAAAAGCCGCATTTAAGGTGTTGGCGCCTCCAGTTTTTGGATAGTACAGCACTGAACGGGCTTTTGTCAGACAGTCATCAGAAGCGCTGTTTGGGCGCTGTACAGATGTTACTGTTTTGCGGCTAGAGGGGCGTGGCTAGGGCTAGGTTGACTCCGACTCTGAAGGGATGTATGTTTTTTCACATGAGAGGTGTGTGATGGTAGGTAATTGCTGTGGATGCAGCACATAGAATGGGTGTCTAATTTCCGAGGATTTACTTGGTTTATTGCAGTCCGGGGCTGAAATGCACAAATGAGAAAAGCATGAGCCGGGTTGGCTGCGGTGTACCGTATGATTGCAAGTTTGATCATCCTCCACTTTGGACTCGTTTTGCCACGCCATGCGATGGCCCGCTTTACACTAGTAATCAAATACGTTTTCGCGAAAGGCGACTGTCCAAAGTTTTATGCAAAACTCTGTAATACCAAGCAGCTCTGTTGCTACATACTGTGCAGATAGGAAATAAGAATACAGCGTGAATATAATATGCACTATGCTGATATAAACTACAAATGAGGAGCTAAATGTTACTAGATCGCCAGACATTATCAATCGAATAAACGGCTCTGAGGCCGGACATTGTTGGCGCCATCCAAAAAAATCTTGCTGAGAGGTCGAGCTGTGCGATTTCTGCGTCTTCCTTCCCTCATGCTTCGGATGGCTTGGTCCAGATCCCCGCGACCAACGGACCGATTGGCAACGGCGGGTCCGTGAGACCCTTTCAACGTCGGGCCGTTGGTGCTTTGATCTAGCGCCTTCATTGTCTGCAGAAATATGAGCATAGCTAAGCAACTATGTAGAAATCTGCGTACCTCTTCTCGTTCTTCCTCTGCCGGTGGCTGTTCGACGCTGAGCGTAGGAATGGTTTTCTTGAGTTTAATTTCTATGTCGTGTACTTCCAGTGCGCATTTCTGGCAGACGTCAGACACACACACAACACATGATGACCATCAGTCCGATCCTACCTGCAACGACGACGAAAATGAAGCGATGAGACCAAAGAAATCTTCCGGCTTCGGCGCATCTGGGGATTCCGGGTTCTCGCCATAATAAGTTAGCAAAGCTTGTAGCTCCCTCTCAATGGCGATCCCCATGTTCTTCAGAGCATCCACGGTCGGAGCCTTTTGACCAATAAAATGCTGCATGCTAGTAATAAGAAGGGGCCAAGGTATATCACGGACACGCACGGACCTCCATGACCTGGACGAATCTATCATTAGGTGGCCTGTCTCTCGATTGCCTCACCTGCACCACTTCTTCCTTGACCTGTGTCAATCCTGAGACCAGAGCGTTGACCGTCTGTAATGTTGTTTGGACGGAGACTACAAGCTGAAAGTGAGATCATCGCTGTCCACTAATGTGCGTGTTCGTCATACCACGGGCAGCAGCCTCAAGATTAGGCATCTCCTCGATGAAAGTCGTCAGCGTCGGATCTTTGCGAAGGAGAACTTTGGCAAGGTAATGAAGCAATGTTGGACACTCAGGGCCTCCCTTTGCAGTTTTAGTTTCCTTCATCTATATTCATCATTAGAACCAACAAAGCATTGACAGGCGGCCAGGAAGGGTACCTTCAACAAGGAATCAAGCTGGAATCCCCGAGCACCGCCTCGGAATGTGGAACCATTCAGAGCATTACCAAGCGACAACACAACCTGTGATTTCCTCTCAGCACCAATACATCTGCAGAATTCCTTTTTGCCTTACCTGCAGCGTTTGTTTAAATCTGGCGGACGAGCGCAACTCACGAGAGGCATTCCGCAGGATGTTGAGGTCAGGACGGATTTCTTCAATGTCAAGATCGAGCCTTCGACGGTATTGCATGCATTCGAGCCGTTCCGAGAGCCGTGGGATGGTCATTATCTGCCAGCGGCGCTCTGTTAAGTTCCCGAGAAGGGGAGAAAATGCTTACTTGGTAGAAATATTGATCGGCCTTTGCCAACTTGCTAACATTGTCAAAAGACTTGATTCGCTCAATCTGCCCGATTTAAGGATGCAATTATTGTAGGAACCTAACATCACGAACCTCTTCCGAAGTGGGGAGCTGTTTGCTAATGGATTTGAGGTCGTCCACTGAGAGTCTCTCATCGTCAATTTCTATTAAGGATCTACGGATCTGCGAGTATTCCCATTTGATGCGAGAGAGCATGATCGCTGAGTGCGAAGGAGTGAGAGACCGTAATGGACCACATTGACAGATCATCATACCAATATTATTTGCACGAGTAATGTCCAAAAGAGTTGTAATAATTTGCTTCTTCGGACTCAGGAGTTGAGAAGGAGTGGAGGGGGTACTATCCAGAGTGAATGTCGATTCCAAGTCGGACAAGTCGAGCTGAAGGTCCAGTGGAAGATCGCTCCATACAGTGACCTTATCAATAGGATTAATCTTACTCCAGAAGAATGGCTTCATCTTCTTTGATGGTTGGGTGATTTTTAGCTTAGAGCCCATTCTAAAGGCTGAAGGAGGCGGAGGTCCACCTGCACGACCTGGAGGTGGGGGCGGTGGGGGCGGAGGCGGAGGCAACAGACTGGACCCGCCGCTTTGCGAAGGAGGAAGAGGTGGTGCGGGTGGCGGCGGTGGCGGCGGTGGAGGTGGTGCTGGTGCTGGTGGCAGAGATGAAGGAGGCGCTTCAGTAGTGAACGCCGATGCCATTGAAGAAGGCGGGGTTGGTGGTGGGGCAGGGGCAAGGGGATAAAGGTTACTTGCAGAATCAGACATGGTATTGTCATCATTCGAGAAGGAGGACGAGGATTTCGGAGGTGGGGGCGGCGGTGGTTGCAGGGAAAGAGGAGATTGAGAAGGCCCCAGCGACAGTTTCCTAGGCTTGGTAGGCGGCGGTGGAGGCGGAGACTTCGCTTTGAATTCTTGTTCGGTCTTGGGCCTCGCAGCGAGGAGAGCCTTGATTTCGTTGATTTCATTGTTCAACGAGACAATCTGTTGGTCTTTTTCGGTCAACCGTTCAATTGTCCGACTAGCGATGAGTTGCGCGTCCATTTCGGCCGCCTTGACACCATCATGATGATCTTCCCTTGACATGAATCTGGTATAGACGGATTCGAGGGCGCGTTTCAGATAGATGATTTCTTTATCCTTTATCGAAATGAAAGTTTCCAGTTCCCCGATCTGCAGCAACTGTTGAGGGAGCGTCTTTCAGAAATCAGCAAACTTGAGATTACCTTGGTTTTATACTTGGTTATTTCCTCCATCAATGTGTTCCACTTGATTCGATCCCGCTCCCTCTTCGCGCGTTCATCCTAAAGGGAGAGCGAAACTGAGGGTCGTGCCAAAATGTTAGGAAATAACTACGCACATCTTCTCGTCCTTCGCTGGGGTTCTGGGCCTTGTATCGGCCTAGTTCCGTCTGAAGCTGGAGAACTTGTTTTTCCTTCTGGACCAAACGTTGAACGAGGCCATGAAAATTTTGCTGCAGAGTATCACGAATGAACATTTCCTCTTTCCAAGCAGAACAAGAGATAAATACCTCGGATCCTGCTTTTCGAGCATTACTGACATTCGGGACGGGGACTCCACTGGAAATTGATTTGAGCGTGTTTATCTCCGCAATTTGCTGGTTCAACTCGTTCCTTAACTCTGTTCGCTTGGAAACAAAATATGTCAGCAGATATATGTGTATATAGAGTCACACGAGACCATATACCTCATCACTGAGTTGTTCCACTTTGAAGCGGAGAGCCTCCAATTCTTGTTCGACAATTTCCCTCGAATCACTTTCGTGTGATGCCTTCACTTCGAGATCCTGTCCTGTGATATGCCGAACGGATGATGCAAAACGCTTAAGAAATATGCGCCAGCTGTCGTCACTGATATAAATAAGTCAGAGGACGGCCAAATATCACGGCAAAACGAGCGATCTTACAAGCTATCAAGCATGGCAGCTTGTTCGACGAAGCGGTCAAGAATAACGAAGAGATCTGCCTTCAATTGTCTGTAGGAATGTCTGAGAATCAATCTTGGAGGTCGGCGAAAACTAACATACATTCCAACATCTCGTTGAAGGATTTGACCATAGTGCCGTAAGATGTCAACCATCGTAGGATAAAGTTCGCCATGCTGGCGAGCCAACTGTATCAGATCTTGCAAAGAAGCTTCTGATTCCGACCGGGGGCGTTCATGAACTTGCTTTGTTTGAGGCATCAATGCCCGAGCACGTTCGCGCATGTCTTCTTCATCTTCGAACTTCTCCTCCGTGTATAAGTTGAATTGCGTTAGCAACGAATCTGGTGGCTTTATGTATCGCAGAGCCTTTGAAAGGTGTCAGTTCTGGCGTGAGGTGAAAAGAGGAGCTGCCTTACAACTATTAACTCGTTTAACCCTCTTCGAGAGAGCTCCTCACGAAGTAGCATTCGGTCCTCGAGATTTTCGGGACAATTGGTAATAGCGTTGATTAAGGCCATCGTTGCTATACGGACCTCCCAGATACCGTCTTCTTCATTCCCAAATCCAATAGCGCTGTCGTTGTCGACATCGCCATCGATAGTAAGTTCGGGAAGACGCAGTGGTGATAACAAGGTCTCGAAACGGAAATTTTCGTCATACGCTACGCGGAAATCCGACAAGGCCCCTAGAACTGCCTTGTGTCCATCCGTGACAGAAAGAATGCAAATGGCAGCAAGGAGTTCTGAGGCCAGGGTACGAACTTTCAAGGAGGATGCGTGGAGGGCGTAGGATATATGAGTTATGACGGTTGGCGACACAACAACCGTATTGAAGCCAGCCTGTACACAAGGTGTATTTAGATATCCAAATCGAACCAATCGACCTCTACTCACTTCAGTGTTGAGAAGAACTCGGAGACACTTGATGACCTCTAGAAGAGCGGCGCTTTCAACTTCACTGAGTGTCTTCCTCTTGCCTCCCTTTCCAACCAAGCTTGCCAGAAGAGTACCAAGGGCATTGAGACCGCTTCCCAGCCCAATGAATTCTTGAATGAAGGCTAGATTTGCAGTCGAGAGGTGGACTCTCAGAGTTATCAGATGTTTGACCAGCTTCATGTCAGCGGGTTTGCCTGGACGAAGACCATCAATGTACCATTTAGCAGACTTAGGGACCTCTTTAAGCCCTGGCTTGTCCGACCCTGACGTTTTATCACCACCAGCCGATGTCCACCAACTGCTCCAGAGACTGCCAGTAGTTTGGGGTTGTAGAGGTGGCAGCTCCTCTGATGATCTCGACTCGGCTATTCTAGGCGACGATGGGGTGCTGGCGTCCTGTTTGAGAGCATCGGCAACATCGGCATGTGTTGACGAAGTGCTGGACGCAGGTCCCCAGCCCACCATTGAAAGGCGTCTAATGAGTCCAGCGTCACCAGTAAGTTGAGGAACAAGTTTCGGAAGCAATGCAGCAGCACTAGATGGACCGTAAGTAGCGGAATATCCCTGGGAGCTCGTCGACACCCTCCTACTCGCAGATTTAAAATCTTGATTTTGGCGGAGCAGATATTTCTTGCGGTCAATGGTAAGTTCGCGCATTGCTGTCCGTTTGTCGCCTTTGAGGCCTAGGTCATCCTGGCGGAACACAGATTACGATGGTAAACCGAGAGAGAATAGAGCACGAACCATCATCTCCTCGAATGAAGCAGCGAAATCATCCTCATTTTCGTCTTCACTGTTATCCGATGCACTAGCCTTGCTGAACGAATTCCGTGAGAGTTTTTCAACAAGCTTAGGTTCGCTAACACTCTTTCTGTTCTCTGGGGACAGGATGGCACTATTGCGATTAGGTGAAGTGGGCGGTGTAGACCGTAGCCAACTTTCGAACATACTAGAAAGTCGTCCTTGCGTAACGAGGCCACGTTGTTCAATCGTTTTGTCAGTCTCCGACTGAGAGGCCCGTTTCTCCACAATTTTCGCAGTACCTTCATCCTCATCCTCTTCCTCGGACTCTTGGAGCGCTGCAAGGCGCCGGATGGTGGATTCCGACGGACTGGAAGCCGAAGGTACACTGCGAGATTTAGACCTCCGGTACCATTCATCCGGAACACAAAATCTGTAGTGCCGCCTTGCAGTAGAGTTGAACGGATTTGCACCGAACGGAAATTCGACAACTTTGAACATCGTGGTTGTTCCAGGAAGACGGGAGCTTCCTGCGGGAGAATCAGATATGAAAGCAACAACAACAGGGCCACGTACGTTCGCTATCCCCGTCAACCCAAACTTCTTCTACAACATATTCCAAATTTCCTGCACCCGGTATGGGTAATGACTTAGCCAAGCCCAGTTCTTCTACCATCCTTTCGATGGTATCAGACACCGTTTGTGTCCGGGAGATGAAGAGCTTATAGTCGAATCCATCATGAATTTCTGGAACTCTTGAGAAAGAAAATACGATGTAAAGAGATGGATGGAGAGACACCAGACGCAAAGCTGGATTGTGAAGGTGACTGGTCATGGGAAACGAGGAGAAGTGAGGTTGGATGTTCTGCGACTGGCGATCATGCTTGCTGAGAATTGGAGAAATTAGGGCGTCCGACTCTAAGACGCCTGATTCGGAGGGAAAATCAACCTTGAGGAAAGCACTCAACGGCATGTACTCACCATCTCCCAGGGCCATGAGCTCCTCTTCTTCCCATGGTCTTCCTTTCTGCTCAGCCCTTATTCGTTGTAAGGCCCACCCACAGTCTTCCAAGTCACCCAAAACCTCTTCCATTACTCCCTCGATCTGAATGAGCGCACCGATAGCCTCTCGTGCCCGTCCATCTTTCGGGATTTCCGCGAAATGGAGCGTGCCGGTTGTAAGAATGGTCGGAACGATCAACGAATCTGAGGCGTCAGACATTCCGCGTCAAGGACGAGAAATCCAACACGCGGGGGCCAGAAATGACGCGTTTGTTCACAGTCGTTGACAGTCAACCAGGTGGTTGCGAAGATGGTAAGGATTCAGGGGTGCGTAGTACCTGACTTTGTTGGTTGGATGTTGTTCGGCGTGCCAGACAGGCAATTGTTAGAAGAGAGGCTTTAGGAGGCGGACCGAGTAAGTTGGGGGAATAGCGCTGCCTTGCACTGGTGTGTCATTTGAGTCATTGGTCAATTGAGATCCACATCATCCAGGACGCGAGAACATTGAACACGTGCTTCAGGACGTGAGGATGCTCGGTTTGCTCATTGCAGTTATTCTCAGTCCCTTGCTGACCGCTGATGTTAAGAAACGGCCAGTTAATTCTACACGATATACAAATTAGAATGGTGGGTATTACAACTGCGACAAGGGCAACAACAAAGCATGAAGATCCGGAGAAAAGATGAAAGCATCGTGCATCAGTGCTAACGCCAGGATCAGTACCCTGACGTCATCGAAGACTCTGTATCAACGGAGGGATGAACGAGGTAATACACACGGACGTTCTCGCCCGCTGCCCCAGAAGATTGTTGATTATCCTCGTCCATAGACGCCAAAGATTCTTGCACATCGCCTCTCACTTCGATCAAGAAATTGTCCTGAAGAAAAAGTTTGGATTAGTGGATCAGACAGATATTGGAGCCAAGTATCACCTTCACAAGCTTTCTCAGAAGCTTGACGATTAGTTCCTTTTCGTACTCCAATTCTTCGATGTCTTGGATGTCGGCCTCTCTCTGTTCGAGATACCAATCAATCAATTCTTCACGATCTGTCCCTTGGCCGGTCTTTGTCTCCTGCTCTGACAGATACAGGACGATCATGCTCTGCAACTCGATATACTTGTCATGAGAGATGATCATCCGCCTCTTTGGTAGGGGTGGTGGGGGTGCAGCGGGTTCAGTGCCAGGAACAACGCTGCCCGCTCGCGAAGAGGAGCCTACGGCCTGAGCCTGTCGGCCAGCGACATGAATCCGAACAGGAACGGAGCTCTCATCTGCGGCCTCCAACGCGTCGGCCGTCATCTGGACGTCTTCACTGTCATCAACTTGGGCACCATCTTTGCGCTCGCCTTCTAGCTCTTCCTCGTCGAAGTCGATGGCGTCGTGTTCAACATGTATGATGGATTGCCGCAACAAGCTGTATGCCTCACGAACAAATGCCGGGGTGATCTACAAGAATTGAATCAGCGGAGGTAGAGAACCAACGCAATGCGATACAAACCTCGGACGTGCAATTTGCTCTTGCGATAGCTTCACTGAGGCGAATCATACTTTCCAATTGCCGCACCGTAATGCGATAGGAATTTCGCCCCGCGCCAGTAGCATCATCTTGTCTCAGGATTCTGTACTTTTCAACAAGGACATCGGCAGCCTCGGGAGTCATCTACAAACAAGAATCAGCGATCTGAACGCGCAGTGCACCAAAGGAATCACCTTGGGATTAAACGTTCTTGCATATCGGATGTATCGTTGCAGAGTTTCCGTGCTAAATTCAGGATTGATTGCCTCGTCTTGGAATCGATGAACATTGACAATATGTTTAGCGATATTAAGGTCGGTCTGGGGGTCGCACTCATCCAAAACAACAAAAAAAAGATCAAAGCGACTCATGATAGGTGCGCTCATCTGTAGATTAGCACGCAGAGTCTTCTTGCGGTCGTATCTGCCACCAATTGGATTTGCAGCCGCGAGGATAGATGTTCGAGCGTTCAGAGTAGCGTGAATCCCAGCCTTTGCAATGGATATAGTCTGCTGTTCCATTGCTTCATGGATGGCTACTTGATCTGATATGTCCATCTTGTCGAATTCGTCGATAGCACAGATGCCATTGTCAGCAAGCATCAGTGCACCTGCCTCGATGGTGAAATCGCCTGTCTCTTCGTCTTTAACAACTGCGGCAGTTAGACCAGCAGCTGATGAGGCCTTTCCTGATGTATACACAGCCCGAGGGAGGAAGGAGCAGACATATCTGCACGATGCGTGATAAAAGAGCTTTCTCTGAAGCATAGTTCCACTTACTTCAAGAACTGAGACTTCGAAGTTGAAGGATCGCCGATGATACATATATTAATATCTCCTCGAAGATGCATGCCTTCCGGTGTTTGTTTATGGACTCCGCCCATGAGTTGCAGTAGAATTCCTTTCTTGACAATTTCATGGCCATATACGGTTGGGGCGATACTTTCCACCAAGCGTGAGTAGATATGGTCGGAGTCGATCATAGTTTTAAGCTCTTCGAACTCCGGTTCGGTAAGAGATTGAATGAAGGCTTGTCCGCTCTCGTCGCCAATATCCTCCTCCCCTCGGACGTTGGTACCGGTCTACCACCATATGAGTACCTGTATCATCGATATTTGATTGGCTTACCCGTCCATCGGTGTCGTTCACCATACAAGCCAGAAAGGCTGTCTTGTATTGAAGATCCCTCACGCCCAAGCTCTTTAGGCCAGTTACACCGCTGCCGCCTACACCTCCAGCGCCAGACATATTCTTGTTGGTTTCGCGCTGCATCTCCGCTTTGTTTCCTCCCGGTAAGCTCAATTGACTGACGTCTGGGACAACAATAAATGACCCTGTAAATACACACTTGTCGCCAGCCTTTGCCCGCTCGACCATTTCTGAACGAAGGACTACGTCGAGTGAACGAGGCATCGACCCAGTAGGTATCTCGGACGGATTTTCTTGGATGCGCACTTTCTGCCAGTCCGTGAATTTCGAGGTATCGATCTGGAGTTGCCAAGCGGTACGATTCCCGCAAGTTGGGTTGGGGCACAGCGATGGCTGAAAGACAGAGGTTTCAACAACGGGATAATGGAATATTGAGTTGTGCTGACCTCAGTATATTTGAACTGCTGCTCGATATCATGGATGATGCCGTTGCAAACTTCGCATATGAAGCTGCCAAAGAGAAGCTCGGGTCGGACTTCACTTGTTCGCGTCACGGTCCCACTGATGCCCATCAAGGTCCCGATTTTATCTGTCCTCAGGTCGCGGATTCCAGAAACCAGTGGAAGATGGTAAAACGCGACACTGAATTCTCGTGTTTGGAGGTTGGCAGAATCTGTTGCGGCTGACGTTGGGTTAACCTTCAAGTACTCCGGCTCGTATTGGGCGATCAAGTTGATGAGGGCACGACGAAGATAGGGAACGAAACGATTGTACTGCTTCTGAATGGCGTCGGCGAGAACATCGTCCCTTTGAAGGAGATGACCGAAGTCAACGTACAGTGTTGTGAGTTCATACTCTCGCATAGTATGAATTTGTTCGATGTAGATGAGTTCTCCATCATGCGCGTCTAACCCAGCACCATCGGAGGCTGGAGTGGGTGCCAATTCGATTTCCTCAGTAAATCTCAAAGTCGAAGTCAGGATGACACAGGTTCCAGAAGAGAGTTCACATACGTCTTCAGGAAGGTTTCAAAACTCTCAGCGACACTCTCTCCGACGGCATCTTTCACCATAGGCACGTCCTCATTTACTTGTTTTGGTCGTTTGCGCCTTCTTGCCGCTGCATTGTCGTGGGTTTCCTCTTCCGCTTCATCGACCGTCATCGCAAGTGCATCAGCCATCGGGCGACGAGGGGTGCCTGCATTGGTGGACTGAGTAGGATCAGGCGCGCTGATAGGTGGAAGAGAAGAGTGAAGAGCAGGTGGGGATGACGGAGCGTCTGAATACATGGCAAAATCGCAGTAATTGACGCGCTAGGGGTGATAGAAGAGTAATTGCGACGCGACACGAGGGAAAGGCCGCTTTGGGTTCATGAATCGTGGTTTAGGGCAGGCATTCTCGTGTGCGTGACGCCATTTAGTCACGGAAACACTCGATTCAAGTTGCCAAGGTCTTCGAGTTGGTTAGCCTCTCGTCGGTAGGGCCTCGGTTCTTTCCTCCACTATGCACGACCTCGACCCTTTGGATCCGGCTTATGTTCGGGAGGTCCTCTCAAAACCGCCCTTCGTGATTATTCCTGGAGTGATCAATGTTAGAGATCTTGGAGGCCTCTCGTCAACAACACACCCCGGCCAAATCACGAAACCTGGATATCTATTTCGCTCTGCAGAACTGTCTGGAATAACGGACGAGGGTGTGTTGTGTTCGTACCCATCTTCTTATGTGTCTGACTTTCAACAGGCAAAGCCAAAGTTCGAGAACTTGGGGTAACCAAAGTCTTTGACTTCCGATCCGACACCGAAATTCGCAAGTACAATACACCATTACCAGTGGTCGAGGGTGTGGACGTCATCCACACGCCAGTATTTCAAACTGCTGATTACAGTCCGGAGATGATGGCGAAGTAAGTACGTGCTTATTTCCCTACTACTTTCCTGGCACCCCCTTACATGTGATTGGGCTGCAAGGAGGTACCAGCTTTACGCTAGCGGTAAGACGGAGGCGAGTTATGAAAGCTTGTATATGAATGATTTTGTTCATATGGTTCATATGATCATTCTTACATAGGCATTTCTCGAGCTCTACTCCCAGATTCTGGATCATGGAGGACACGCCTTTAGTGCAATTCTTCGTCACGTTCGGGACAAGCCAAACGAAGGTTGTCTCTTCCATTGCACGGCGGGAAAGGACAGGACTGGGATTATGGCAGCGATTCTTTTGAAGGTGCAACCCAGTTATGCACACCGGTATTTCCATTGCTTAAATTATTATAGCTAGCCGGTGTGGATAGTGATGCTATATCCACTGATTATGCGTTGACGCGAGTTGGGAGGGAACCTGCCCGAGAGAAGATAATGGCACGACTGTCCAAAGAACCTTTATTTGCTTCGAATAATGAAGCTGCTCTTAACATGTTCACCTGTCGGTGAGTTCACTACTGCTATCACACACAGGTTCTGCAAATTTATTTCCAAATAGTCATGAGACCATGCAAGCATTCCTCGTCCACTTTGACGAAAAGTACGGCGGTGTCGATAACTACGTCAAACACTACGTTGGCCTTTCAGACGAAGAAATTGCGACAATCAAGAGGAACATGCTTGTTCCCGTCAGCAGCTAGCACCTTTTTACCCAACTAGATGATTAAGATACTATCAAGATAGCGATCTCCAATGGAGCAAGTGTACTATGTAAGAACAACCATGGCGAAGAAATAAATAATTCATCTACGCCGCTCGTTCCAGACAATATTTGGTCGTTTTGAACGCATTTGATTGGGCATGGACAGGTCGTAGCTATTGACGAGTCGCCATAACGAGAAACAAAAGAAGTCACTGGAGGAATGTCCGTCTACACTAAGAATGAATGTAAGTAATACGTCCAAGGATGGGAAAGCTAGGGACAAGCGTCATTATTTCCGTGTTAGATCCATAGGAGGCCGTCGCTGTTTCTGGGCGTGCGTCAACGCCGAAGCGGGATTCAAATTCGACGGCAGAGAGGGCGCTGTCGAATTCATCAGCCCACTCAATCCTGCTGGCACACGTTTGGGATTCAAAGGCGACAAGGCACCACTCCTTTGCGGTACAGGTGGTTGCGGCACGTTGTTCATCGAGAGTTCCCCGGTCACACGTCTTCGCATGGGTGGGCGATTCCCGGCTGGGATCCTGCCAATCTTATCTATGGGATCGTTGAGCTTGTCATCCAGGAAGCCTAGAATGGGTGATGTGTCATTCCCCAAAGCTTGTCGTCGGGCTTTCTCGTGCTTGGCTTGCACCGAACGGAAGTGAAGGAGAAGTTCCTGCCATTTGATCTCATCCCGACCGAGTTTTGAGCGCGTGGCCAGAGATCCAACTGCACTGCTGGAGGCAATGTTCGTGAGTGATGGAGGCAGGGAGGCGGGTTGACTTACGGCTTCGGGGCTATCTGCAAGAAGCCTGCAGAGTTCACCGCATTGAGGCGGTTTCGAAGCGACACGAAAGCGGTGCTTTGAGGCAGCAGCATTAGAATACCGTACAGACATTTGAAGAGGTAAGGATAGCGATCTGGTTCGAGGAGTTGAAGACGGATGTCTGAAGAAGATTAGCTAGGTTGCTCAGACACGACAAGTGCCACCCACAAGTAAACACAGGACTCTCAATTAATTGAACCAGCTTGTCCACCTGAACAAGCATAGGAACCGTGATCTCCAAATCAGCACTGTCGGAAAGAGGCTCATTTTCTCTTTCTGTACAATCAGAGAGCTTTTGGCCTTACAAGATGTGGAGAAGATTTGAAGCATGCTCGTAGGCTTGAGCCAGCAGGCAGAGGGAGAAGGCCGCGACAGCGTTGTGGCACCATGAGCGATAAAGTGTCGTAAACAATGCTTGGCCATCTTGCTAGGAAGGAGAAGACATTGCGGTCAGTCCCACACATCACAAGAATAGAGCAAATGGCTTACTCTGGTCTCCAGACTCTTTAGCCGTTTTCTGAACTCTGTAAGCTCCGGCGATGTGATTAGAATGATATTTAATTTCTGCACCATCACGCTGGCAAATTCGAGGTCCTAGACAATACACATGTCAGAGATATCACGGGAGAACCGGAAGTTCGATTTACTTCTTCCTTTTCGATGATCTCCGCGAAAGTGCGATATATCCTCTCTGTGTTCAGATTGAGACAGAGCTGCCGAATGATAAGGCTTCCTCGGGTCTCCAGAAGCCTTCTATCAGTGCTGAAGAGCTCCAGTAAATTGACCATAAAAGCTTTGAAATAAGTCTCTTCCGAACTGGAAGAAATCTGCGCCAGAAGTTGCAAATCATGCTTGATGACCTCTTCAGAACTATCCGATAGCGTCTTCAACAGAGCAGGGAACGTCCCGTCATCCATTGCGAGAATCTAGGTTGATGTAAAAATAAATGACATGCATTTTATGTTATGGAACGCTCATACCTTCTTTGGAGCTTTCTGATGCAACATGATCAACCATTTCAACGCAGCCACTCGCGTCTCCTCGAATTCGCTCAAAAACTGAATCGTAAGTTCGTTGACCGTCGCTTGGTAGTCAAAAGGATCGCTCTCTTCGCTTTGTTGAGAATTATTGAGGTTCCCATTAGCACCCGACTGGCTACTGAAAGAAACCGGAGAATGGGACCGCGATCCAGAGTGAGGTCCTGAGGTCACCTCTGTTGGAGGAGGGCGGGGAGTCGCAGAGGGATCCATGGTGTTGGTCCGGGTTCTCGAGCCTGTTGACGTCTGGCCATGACTTGCGTCGTGAAGTGAATCAGGTGAAGAGGTATCCCGCGACATTTGAGAGCTTAACGTCGATTGTCTAGAGGTGGCCGTTGGTGTTGGTGATCTTGGCAACTTGCTCGCTGGAATAGGCTTTTCCGTTGGGGCTTTGGTCAGAGTTGGATCCTGCGGAGATGGCAATTTTTGAATCACACTCGAAAGCAGCTTGTTTGTCCGGGTGGCAGCAGATTGGATCATAGAAACATGATGAGCAAGATTTGGAAGGATGGCGGGAATTAAGCGTGGCGTAAATGGAATCATGACTTCATGAGCGAAGCTAAGGAGTTCCGCCAGCCATGTGAGCGCGGTTGATTGTTGGATCTCATCGTCTGGACGTCGAAGTCTGAGCACTGTAGTAAAGAGGAAAAGGAATTATCACTGACGTTCGCTATCTAGCTGCTGCAACAATGTTTCCACAATGGAGGAATAGTCCACCCGCACCCCTTGTCCGGGTATCCAGGCTATCGAAAGTGTGAGATGGCTCACAACGGGGAAGACGAGCTTTCTTACTTCCAGTGTCTTGATAATCAAATTCGGGGTCCTCCTCTCTTTGACCCATCTGACTGCTGTGTATTGAAAGCTCTTGCTCGTCATTCTCCAACATATACAGGGCACGCTCTGCATTCTCCAATGTAAGATCAGGCAATTTCTCTCCGTCGACGTCAGGACGGCGGGTAGATTCGACTGGTGTCTTCGGTGTCTTTGGCTTTACTTGCTGTTGCAGTCGGCGAGAGACAATGGTGACGTCACGGAGCTCCCGAAGGATAGCGGCAAGTAGATTCTCGGTAGCCACTCGGACATCTTCCGTAGGATCTGAGAGGTATTTCCTGCATTGTGCAAATCAGAAACCGCAAACCAGTAAATATTTCCAACCTTACAGTAGGCCATCCAGAAATTCTGGGAGATACGTTATGAGCTCTAATTCTGGCACGGAATCCAGAACATTGATCCATGAGACCAGGTAGCTTCTCGTGAACGGGCTGACCACGTATATCCGTTCACGTAGAAGTGGGATAAAATGGGCGAGAGAAAACGCTTTCTTGGCGCCGTCGCCCGGTTGACTGTCTGGCAATGGGACCAAAACACCATGAGCTTCATTGCGTTCGTCGCGAACTTTCTTGGTCTCTGGGTAAAGAGGGATGTACACAGAGGCAGACTCCGCGACGATATCCTTGAGCAAACGATCCAACAATTCCGCCCCGTTTTTGACAGACAATTCGGAATCCGCAGCAAGCTTCATCTCTTATTAGCAACAAGCAGGCAAAGTCATAAGTGAATTCCTTACCTTGCTTAGCGCATCGAATATATCATTGAAATAGACCAAAACTTCGCCTTTCGACACCTTTGCAATGTTGTATAGGCATTCCGCCGAGAAGTATCTGATCCTGTTCTCCGGGTCCACAAAACAGTCGAGCAGGGGTCCAACAAACTTCTCCATGTAGGGTGCAACGTCGACGCCCAAAGCAATGGCAGTTCCGGCAAGACCAATCAACCCTCCATTCCTGATGTGCAAAGGATTCGACGTATTGCTGAACATATCCACCAGCTGGTCAATGATCTGGCTAATTCGCCGCTCCTCTCCTTGCTGATGGCATTCCCGAATTTGTCTGTAGGAGACATGAGTAACGACTCCCGCACGTTGGACGCGACTGGTGCGCACTTCTCGAGGTCAAGGGCTGCTGCCTTGCGCTTCTCGTAGATCTTGTCAATGAGTTGCCTTGCCACTGCGTTATCTGTAGAGAGCTGTGAGAGCGAAGTTGAACTAGGCGAAAGGGTACCGTACCCATGACCTAGGATAGATGTGGCGGCATCAACGCAGCAGGAGGAGGCGGCTGCGACCAACTTGACGCGTCCGGCGGTGGCTGTGTGCTTCCAACTCTAACCATGACGGTCTTCCCGCTGGGCCTTCTGCTGGTCACACCCTTCACTCCAAACTTGTTGGCCAGCGAGTCATGTCTCTCCAACAACTTTCTCGGAAACTACCAGGACGCAGGAATAATCTTCACCATTCACGTTATCCGCGATGATGAATGCCTACAGGCCACGAATTCGTGTCTCAATTCAGCGCATTGTGTGCCGGCCCCTGACCCGAGGGAACAGCTCGTCTGGCTAGAGAAAGCGGCCATCGATAAAACGCTCCAGGCACGCATTCCCCAGAGTAAATCGATCCTCGATGAGCTCTTGCAATTTCTTCAACCACCAGTAATACAAGATGAGCCTAAACTCCAGAAGATTATATCATCTCATGCGACAACTACTCCACCATACAATGTGCATTACAGGACGGATACGGCGGCTCTCATTTCCCTAGACTCTGAGAAGGCTAAAGTCATTGATACCCTTCTCCCACCGTTTTGGAAATCCAAGTTACTGCCCGCTGCACCATCTCCCTATCTCCCTATCCCCACATCCGCTATCGAGACAGTGAAAAGTGTCCTCACCAGGCTTAAATTTGACCCTGTGGTTGCGTCCATCGTCAACAACATTTCCGTCCCCCAAATTCAGAATGACATTCGTTTCCTCACGGGCGAAGATGTCAAGTCGGGGATCGTCTCCAGACACTCGTTTTCCACCGGCGCAATCACTGCGGCTAATTGGCTCAAGGCACGCGTCGAAGACACAGGAGCTATCTGCCGTCTGTCTCCATTCTTGCCTGGTTTTGCGCCGAACGTTATCTGGTAAGTGGCCTGCACCTCAAGTGCTTGAGAGAACATAACGAATACATGAATCAGTCGTTATGATGCTATCAAAGACACGAATGCCACCGTGTTGGTCAGCGGACACTATGACAGCCGAGGATCTTTTGGCAGCATTCGGGCCCCAGGAGGAGATGATGACGGTTCTGGGACGACGGGCGTTTTGTCAATTGCTCGTACAATTGCCCGGAAAGGCGTTAAGTTTCATACCAGCGTAGAATTGGCTTTCTTTGCTGGCGAGGAGCAAGGCTTACTTGGTTCTAGGGCATATGCGCGTAAGTCCTGTCTCCATCATGGGGAGATATACCTTTTCATCCCTTTCATTTAGGTGAACTGAGAGAGGCTGGAGCCAACTTGACTTTGATGGTTCAAGCCGACATGACTGCCTATCGTGCGCCGGGCGAACCTCTGCAACTCGGGCTTCCCGACATGTAATTTTATTCCATTTTATTTTATTTTCGGATTTTACCCTTGGCCTCTCTTGACGTCTGATTTCGCAGAATTGGCTCTCCTGAAGTCACCCAACTTGTTGCCAATATCTCTGCCATTTATAGCCCTGAATTGACTATCGGATTTACGCCTGTTCGTTTTGAGTTTGCCATTCACTGTCCGTCATCGCTCTAATTGGCATCAACAGGCTTGCTGCAGCGATCATCAGGTAGACCTCACTCTACAACCTGGCTGGTGTCCAGCCCTGATCTGCAAATCTATAGTCATTCCATGAGCAAGGCTTCCCCGCCACCCAAGTGTTTGAGCGTGCAGGACCTAGTATGTCTTCCTCCGCTAGTCAATAAGTGCACCTTGCTAACGGGTGTCTAGTTGCCGATCCCATGTATCACAACAGCGGTGTGTTTTTTGCGGGCAGACCATGTTACCTGCAGCTCAACCCATATTTTTAGGCGACTTGAGCGATAGGGAAGGGTTCGATTTCCAACAGCTCTACGCAATCGCGAAAGTCCAGGTCAGTACTTGAACATCTCCTCTTTTGTCCCTTCAACTTACAACCCAACCTTTAGTTCGCAACCATTCTTCACACCGCTGGCTACGAGCTTTAGAACTGGCAGTTATGCTGATCAAGAGTAGAGCATTCATTGACCAATATCTCATCTAATGGAGCATTTAACCTACCTCCAACCAATGTCTTCTTAGGTCAGTTGCGTCCTTTCAGGCTCAAAGTCACAAGTTCAACGAATATAGATACTATGATTCTGTCTTGTAGAATTGCGACCCGATGTCAGTGCAGGCGATGCAGATATGGCTGTTCAATTATTTATGGATTTTGGAAATATAATAAATAAATGGGCAGGAAGGATTGGAATTATGAGATAGTGAGTGTCTGATATGCAATGAGTGTGGGCGCTGAGAATGTGATGAGGAATGTGGGCGTTGAGCAGCATTTAGTTTCCCATCGTAGACTTGATGGCGTCGAGCAAAATATCATTGTAGTCTCCTCCAGCTTGCCATATGGCAAAACCTCTCAACTCGTTGGCCTTGATGAAATTCCCTTTGGCAGCGAAGGACTGGATTGAGAGGAATCGGTCAGTTCAATAACACCACCGAGAAAGTGCAACGGACCTGTGCGTCGTCGAAGGAAACCATGATCTCGGTCGCTGCGTTGTAACTGTAAGCCTAAGAAGCTCTTCAGTAAATTTGAATTGACGTCAAAATCGAAAGACTTACTGTTTGGCTGCACTCATCGTACCTGAAGGGAGCTGCCTCTGTGGGTGTGCCGTCAGCATTGAGGAAGCCATGCTCGACCATACCCCAGAAGTTAATGTTGCCTCCTGGCAACTGAGCATTGCCGCAGACATCTACACCAGGGCCATCATCCCAAGAATCGCCGGTTGGGCGGTCGCTGTTGTCGAACACGGGGTGAGGTGCAAGCTCAGTTGTCGAGCCTTCGACGAAGGCGTTCGCCTTGCGGACGCGGAACGAGTGGCCATAGGCTGGGACAGCCAAGACGAGCTGACTAGCGGGGATACCAGCTTGAGCCCATCGCCTGATGCCAGAGGTCGCTGAACCGACTTGATTCTCAGGCGCTGCGCACGAATCATCGATAGGAGCGTTGGGTCCGACGGTTGCGCTCCAGGGGCCCCAGAGGTCGTAGTTCATAATGGCAATAAAGTCGAGGACGCTGGCAAAACCAGAGACATCGGCGAGGGAATTGCCTTCGGCGCCAATGAAAGGCACCGTTGCAACCGCTGCGGTCAGCAGTAATCTCTTGCCAACAGGATGTTGACGGAGCTCCTGCAGGAAGGAAAGGAAGTTATCCGTATCGTTGGCGTTGATTGAGTTACAGCCAATCCCCCCGCTGTTGGGGTATTCCCAGCTGAGGAGAAAGCGCTGAGTAACAAGCCTTCTTCAATTGGAAGAAACGCACTCAAAATCGAGCCCATCCAGGCGGTATTTGAGTGCGAAGTCGGTGACCGTCTTCACGAAGGTAGTCCTGTTCTCTGCCGAGCCAACGTTGACAGAGAACCCTCGGGAACCTGTCCAGCCTCCCAGAGAAACAAGCGCCTTGACGCCCTGGATCATGACTCAGATATCCATCTGCAGCGGAGAGAAAACTGGGTGGCTTGCATTCGTACGGGCTTGCCTGACAAACTGAGGGAGAACGGCCGGTTCAGAGTTGCTAATATCAAGCGGCCCATCGAAAGTTGTGGATCTGAAGACCTGTCAGAAAAACAGTCCCTTAGAAAGATGCCCTACTCACGCGAAAGCATAGGTCATATGCGTGTACTTCGACCAGCTGACTTTAGAAAGAGGAAAGCCATTGTTGGCGTTCCACCCTGCATACCAAGCCATGGAGACTTTGGACGTGCTCGGCGAGTTGTGCGCCGGGCTAGCATAGCTCAAGAGCGGGGTGGAGAGGGACAATAAAGCTAGTATAGGGTTGAACATTATGGAGGAAAGGGAGTGAAAAACTCGGAGAGAAAAGATGACGACACAACCCACTAGATAGTCACAGAATATATACGTTGTACTTGCCCTCGGGCCTCACTTACGAAAGCCGCTTATGACTAGAAGCAAATTTGAAGAAGACAGGGCTGTTCTTCGAGTTGAATTCGAGGAGACCCACAAGCCGGGCTAGACGCAGAGTTAGGGGTTCAGCAAGCTTCGAATCGCATGACCGTCGTGCTCCGTCGTGGTGGTTTGAACTTGAAACACAGAGATCCTCGTAATGACGCCGTGGCGCCACGTGAGTTGATCCGTTAACTCCGAACTCCGGACTTGCCAAGACTTGCCAGGTCGAGCGTTGCACTAAAAATAGCACCCGGAAATTTAGAGAAGCAAGGACGAGGGTGTGCGGCCGGGAGATCAACAACTGAAATGTTAAGAGATTTACGAGCTTTTACGAGGGAGGGAAGGCCTTGAGACACAGCGTGTCCTGCTCTAGTAGACTTCCATTACATGTAGCTCAGAAATAAATTGTGAATCCAGAACATCTTGGCAACGTGGTGGTCGAGGAGATCTATACAGTGATCAGCTCCTTCCTGCCACCCTTCTTGACTATCGCGACCTTGTGTTTCCTTGTAGAGGCTTTCATGGGATTGGGATCCTAAGCAAAAGGTTGCGTCAGAGAGAAGACCACAATATTTTTCAATACATACCTCAAACATTTCGTTCAGTTCCCCCCTACATACAAGAATCAAGTCAGCATTCATTTGATGCCATAGAGGGCACAGAGGATGCACAAAGTTCTCCCTTTCGTCTCGACAGCACAAAACCAAATTACAGTGCACTCAAATAGATCCCAAGCAATGTAGACAATGTAGTACTAAAATACAGGTGAATCGGTCAGTCATCACCAGCATCATGCAGTAGAGACACAGGACCTTACCTGCCAAGTAATCCCTCCCAAGGGCAATTGGGCTGGCATACGTATTCACAAATGACGCACAGCTAACAGCAAACACATACCTGATCAACAGGAGCTTTGTCAAAGGTTTAAACGCCGAATGACTGGAATGGTTCTTACAATGCCATTCCCTTGGCACTATCCATAGTACATATGTCAGCTTCACAGTGCAAGCGAGTGTCTTATTTAATTAATCACCCACTGGGTGTTATAATCCAAGCACTCAGCAGGATACAATGCTTGTAGCGGGGTGTAGGTCAAGCTATAGACGAATCCAAAGAGGACTGACCATGCCACTGTCGGCAAAGTTATGAAAAACTCTTTACAGACACGTACAGATGAAGGCTATTGCAGCATTTGCACCAGCTGGATTTGCACCGCTCTTGCCCCACTTCGCAGTGCACCCTGTGACAATCGTGAGCATTCCTGAACAGCCAAGCGTGCCCCAGAACCACATAGTTTGACGGCCAACTGGAAGAAAACAAGCCCCTTGAACCAGAGAAAAAGGAAAGCTCACTACCCACAAACCTTTGTCCATCAGGGAAGTACCAATCAAGGTGCCTACGGCTGAAACGATCATATTGATGAAGTTTAAGGTCAACCTTTTGTTCTGAGTTTCTACCCCAGCATTTCCAAACAAAATAGTCAAGAAATATCTGCATCAAGGATCAGGGGGGAGCAGATTGAGGACAGGGAACCAACCAACCCGAGACCGTTTCCAGACCATTGCTGGAGTAGCAGGGCAAGGTCAAAGGGATGGCAATCCAATATTCCAAGAAACTGACCCCAAAGAACCCCATCAGGAGCATTCTAAAAGTTTGATACCTTGCATTACGAGTGTTGAACAGCTCAGAGTAATCCCACCTACGAAAAATAATGGAAGATCGAGAAAGTTGAACATACCCAGGATATCTAGACGCACCATCGCTTGTCCGAGGCGTCCAACTTGACACCGTGCTCGTACTCTTTCCATTCCAGTTGGACGAGCGGTGCATTGTGGTTGCCATTACCGTGATATTTAGCTAGAATTTCGAGTGCCTCTGCCTTTTGCCCAACAGCCAATAGCCATCGAGGAGACTGAAAGCGACTTCCTGAAGAACAATCTGTCGGTGATGGAAATGCTTACCTCTGGCAGTACGAAGGCAAACACAGCCAGGATGGTCGCCAGGGCAATTTGAATAGTGAGAGGTATTCTCCATGATGCTGTGCCATCAATACGACCAGTTGCAATAGTGAGCCCAGCTGTTAGGCTGATCAGACCCAGACTCAACTTGCATAAAGCCATAGAGTACATACTGCACAGAATGGAGCTGGAATAGTAGAATGCTAAAATTGCAAGAGTCATCGATAGTCCTTAAATCAGGGTCAAGTTATGTCACCACATACTATTATACCTATTTGGCTCTGAAATCAGTTTCTGAAACGATGATCATCAGAAGACGTACAATCCCGTCAAATGTCCTCGCCATTGCGGTGGCGACATTTCGACTACGTATGCTGGGGCAGCTGTTGTCGTGATGGCTACACTGAACCCAAGGAAAAATCTCCCCCAAGCAGATATGACACGTCCTTCGCGACAGAGACAATGATGGCCCCTGGTTTAAATCTTAGGTCAAGTCTACAGGAGGAAGTGTAGCTCCTGACTGGCAATGATGATGATGCTTCCAAGAGCCTGAGTTCAAGGAGTTGCTGAGATGGGGGCGATCCAGAGTGGATGAGAGAAATATTTCCTACCATACCACCTTGATGGCCAAATTGATCTGTTACAGGTCCTGCAATGAGAACACCAGCAATGCTACCTATGGAATACTGAACAGGTTTGCTTTATTAGCCTTCCTTCTAAGAATAGTTAATGGAGATATCTTACTATGCCGAAAATAATAGCAGTCGTTGTTCCAACACCACCTCCAGCATCTTTGCCATCAATACCGAAATAGTCAAGATACTGGCTAGACAAAGGGAGATAAGATTGGTATGTGTACCTGCGATATGAGCAGATACTCACTCCATCCCATTGACAGCACTCATGACTATATGGGGCCAGCGAACTATGAGCGAACCAAGCATGAGGTGCAGAAACACAGCATACCAGAACCATTGAAACCATTGGATAGACTCCCCATAAATGCGATGAGCAGAATCGCAAACAATTGGAGCGAGCGACCACTCGTTGCTTTCAGCTGAGGGCCGGTAGATAGAGCTAAAGCATAGTCGACATTCTCAACTTGGATAACAAACAATTTCAGGAGGAATTGGGGATTGAAGTTTCTCGTCATCGTGGTCTTGCTGCGAAGACTTGTCGACTGGGGTGCGGGCAGACATATTGAGGAGCAACATCCATTCGAACAAGACTGGTGGTTATATCTGTACTGCAGGTTCTTTTATGGCATTGGGAGTGCTTCCAGTGGAGAACATGTGGGCCATGGCAATTGCTTTTGTGCAGAATACAAGAGAGCGAGAAAAGGTTTCTAGATCTTGCATGACATGTGTAAGGTTCCGATATTCGTGTCACAAGGACTGAAGAACCAGCTTACCTTCCTAGCCATGGAGGAACTTGATCGACGATTAGGCAACAATTAGGTGGAAGAAGGCCCTCCAGGGTGATGTTGGAAAGATGGGACGCTGGAAAGGCATTAAATGGAGAAAGGGCACTGTTTAACGCCTTTGAGGCCAATGTTAAGATAAAGGACCCTAGTACCTCCTTATGTAAAGAGCCTTGAAGCTTGAAGTCTTTTGGAGACCCATCGCTACAGGGCGAGAACGCCTGAGAGTGTACTCCTTCAGACTCGGAAGATTGTTTCAATGGACATTCTACCAGTGAAGGAACAGAGGAACAGGAAAGCATCTTGAGAGGGGCATGGAATAAAAACACTTTCATACAGTCAGAAAACAACTGAACTTGGAGTTCCTTAAATTGCAGAAGTATAAATTAGGGGGAGTCAGAGTGGGCAATTTTCGACGATTCTGGGGCGATTCTGATGACGGTTTTGACATGATTTAAATTTTGGTTTTTGCCAAGAATTGGACCAGAACCGGCGGAAGACTGTGACCACCCTGATTCTGGAAAGTCGCATTTTTGTGCGATTTTCATTGTCCTGTCCGTTTCGGTACCATCCTCCGTTGCTATAGGTGGCCTTTTGTAGAATCCTGAGTATTTATATCAGAATTCATGAATAATTTAACTGTCTGAGGCACCCTTATTTTCTTTGGCATTTTTATTCCACGAAATTGTTAAGTTTTGTATCAATTGCACCGAAAAGGCAGCCATGTCTGCTAGAAATCTATATCAGACACTGTATTTTAACAAGGTATGCTTATATGTCAGGACTGTGGTTTTACAGGCCACCTACGGAGAGGCTGGTGGGTGGCCTTGCCAGGTGTGCCGGGGCTTGCAGCTGTGGGCAGGGCATGTCAATACATGCAAACAATGCAGGAAACAGTGCTTGGACACTGTTCCTCGTTGTTTGGGGTGCTCCCGCCCCCGTTTTCGACAGGGAAAAGGCGCCAACAATGACGAAATATATTTTGTCATTGTTCTGCCCCATTTCCCCCTCCGTTGGGGCAGCGGGATAGGCTGGATTGGGCAGGGGTACTTTGGATGACATGGCTTTTTTCGGTGCTTCGGTTATTTTTAGGATTGACACTAATGCCCCCGAGCATCCCCAGAATAGCTCAGGGCAAATAGCACTTGCCGTCATCTATTACGACATCCAGCGAGCTTGGGCATTCGCAGGGCACACTAAAGAATTACCAGAAAGTTATATTAAATTGTAATTAAATTGTAATTAAAATAAATACATGATGTGGGTGGCTCTACTAGCCACCCGTTGTGAGATTGAGGCAGAATGAGCAGAAACGGCACCCCACGAATGCGCCATTTCTGCTCGGGTTGACCTGTTGCACCGTACTCACCCCCCCTCTGTGCTCGCCTTCGTGTCGTGCTCACCTTCGCGTCGTGCTCGCTTTCGTGTCATGTTAGTCCTTGTGTCATGCTGCTGTCTTGCGCTGCTGTCTTGCATGATGTGCTGCCCACCATTGTGCATGTCCTCATTGTGTTTTCTTTGTTTCCCATCCTCATGCCGTGTTCGTTGCTACCACTCACGCTGCCACTGTCCTCACCCCATCCTCGCCCCATGTCCTCACTCCTCACCCCTTCATTTGCGTGCCCTTGCCACCACTGTGGCATTGTCTGCTTGTCCATGCTGATGCTTGCCTCATCTCCTTGTTGAAAGGGAGGGTAGTGGGTGAGAGGGGTGAGGTGAGAGGGTGAAAGAGTGGGAGAGGCAGGGTGAGAGATAGCAGGAGCGAGAGGGTGTGGGGTGTGGCTCCAACAGGGGTGTGTCATACCTGGACTGCCGTTATCTTTGCACACACTCACCCACCTGCTCGTCGACATCACCACTGCCCCTCTCTCGCCCACCCTCTTCTGCCGGTTTGCACCCTCCGACGACATGACACGACATGACCCGCTCCTGCTCCCTGAACTGTCGGTTGCTCGTTCTCGTGCCCGCCGTTGTGTTGATCCTTCTGCCATCGCATCACTGCAAAGTCATGAGACAAGAGGTGGCACCGCGAGATGATGAGGTGGAGGGGACGAGCGGCAGCAGGCTGGTAGCAGCACAAGGGGCGAGAACAGGACAAGGGGCGAGAATGCGGAGAAGGTAGAGAGGGTGGAGGGTGCCGGTGAAGTCGTCCAGGGTCCTTCACACTTGGCCTAAATGCCTACTCGGGTGGAGGGGCGCCGTTGCGATTTCGAGGGGCCGGGGGTTTGCACACCAGGCCTGTCATCAATCGTCAATGGCAGGCCAAGCAGCGGCAGGTTGTGACAAGATTCAGGGTGCAGGCTATGGCACGAGGGTGGGGGAGAGTGGGAGGAAGAGCTGGTGGCTGGCCCACATCCCTAGAGAAGGGGAGGGGCACACAACCTCAGTCGAGTCGAGGGACATGGCATCTGCGGTGCAGGCAGGTTTTCCTGTTGCAAAACAGCTTAGTTAGTCAGTAGAAACATTAATAAGTACTTGACCTACCTATATGCAGTACTCCTGGGGCTGGATGGGTGGCCGGTGAGGTGTTGGGCAAAGGGGATGGGTGTCAAAAACGACAATCAATGATGTTCAACCATTCGTTGATCGTCTTTCAGGCATTGCCATATGGTGTCCGATTGGCTATTGAGCCCTCAGCCCAAGCCCCATCTTCCGCATCTCAAGCAGCGCGATGTTTCCACGCTCACACACAGGGCATTCAACCTCGGAATAAGACTCGGATATTATTCTCTACATAAATTGCAATGTGTCCATAAAATTTTAAAGAGATCCCATTATGTTTGACCTCAGAATAACCCACATACACGGCTCAAGTGGTGATTTTGGGCCATCCTGCAAATACTTACCTGCTTGTACAACAGTGAATAATTAATGAAACAGGGCTGTTTGCTCAACTATTTTGACATAGAATATATCCTTCACATTACTTGGATCTCCCCAAAAGTTTTTCTCTATTTCAAATGTTGCGATCTCTAAATGCCCACTCCCATGGCAAGATTTTTGTTGGAATCAATAGTATTAACAGTGCACTTACTTATCTTCGGTATGTCTAGGCAGATTCATGCCATCCAAGCTATAGAGTTAGACTCCAGTATATCTACTACTCAATGCACTGTATTTATTTTATGCAAATGACCAGCCGATGTCCTTTGAGGACGTCGTCAATGTCTCGCACGAAGTGGTGGGTGGGCGGGCCAGCAGTTCCAGCCAATCAGGTCGTGCATGGGAATTTCCGAGAGCACAATCAATGATGTTCAACACCGTTGATCGCTGCTCTCAACCACCACCTGGCATCCCCCAACCTCTCAAAATGCCCAAACACGCTCACGTTCATTGGGTTTAAGGTATGTATTGCCAATTTTCATCATTAACGCTGCTTATGTACACATTCTATACCTCTAGGATGCCCCTTGTGTGCACAATGAAGTGCTACCCTGCCTCATGCCCCTCCCCTTCAACAAGGGATGTGGGCCAGTGTCTACTCAATCCAACACCCCTCGCCGCGTCTGCCACCCTCCTGAAACCCCGCCCTTGTATAAGTGAGACGGAGATGGCAAGAGATGCCAAAGTGGAGATGACAAGAGGGATGGCAACCCACCCCTTTCGCCTTTGCCATCTCGCTGTCTCCTCTCTCTCTCCTCTTGTCCATGCAGCTGGAACGAGCGCAAACGTGAAAACAACTGGCGATGAGAAGCACGTACCTAACAAATACGACACCTGCTGGACTGGCATCCTACGATGAGGACACAGGGAGGATGAGCAGGACAAGGACGGACACAAACAACTGCTGGTGGAATGAGCACGGGGCGTGATGAATACAAGCAGTGAGCATCCCAAGGTACGTGGCTGCACACTCTCCCTCATGCTGGGCACTCACCCATCTTCCATATCGCATCCAGGATGATCGGCGCCGTCTGCGCAACTCCAGACAACACCGATACATCCTTCCATCTGCCGCCTCCCACCACTCCCACCTTTGGAGAAACTGCCCACCACCTCGTTTCCACCTTCCCACCCCCACCCTTTCCCCCTCCTGCATTGTATACGGAGCCACGGTGTCCCAGTGACACTGTGTAACGTTGTACAATGGAATCGGGGTTGCGAAAGGGTGTCGAGGGCGGGATGGGAGAGGTGTTGTGTAGTGTCGTGTAGACCACGACCCGACGACGGTGGCAGTGAATAGCACGGTCGTGCACGACCCAGCAAGGGTGACGACACGACCAACCGAGCATGATGAGGATGGGCGATATGACCAGCAGCGAGTGACCACGCCAACGCCGAGGAACCAGCACAACAACAGGAGGCTGAGCACTGCAGCAGGCACCCAGCCACGGCAATAGACCGCAACCCAAGGACAACAAACGCGAGTCAGGACGACGACGATGACAAGAGAGCACGAAGAACATGTACCACAGCAACACCAAGCGAACAGCATACGATGGCAATGGACGACTGCAAGTAGCATCCACCACAATGAGGAGGACCACAGGGGGGTGAGCACGACTGCCAGGGTGAGGAATGACGAGAGCGGTGGCAATTAGGGTTGACGGTGACGATTGCGGGTGAGGAACAATGACCACGACGATGAGGACGGGAGGGACAACGATGGTGTGATGGCGGACGAGGAACGACGGCGACGGCAGGTGAGGAACAACAACAAGCACGGCGGTGAGGAACGGCCACCAGGGAGGTAACCGCGAGGACCAGCGTGGTGCCAGGACCAGCACAATGCGAGGGCGCCCACAGCGTGACGGGTCAACCCGAGCAGAAACGATGCCATCAATGTGTCGTTTCTGCTCTCTTCCTCTCTATCTCACAGCAGGTGGCTGGTAGAGCCACCCGTGTAGCGTATTTATTTTACTATGATTTAATATGATTTTTTTGCCTGTTTTTTTGGTGTGCTATGAGTATGCCCGAGCTTGCCAGACCCACTAGTATCTAAAAATAACCGACACGCAAAAAACACCGCGTCATCCAAACTACCCCTCCCAATCCAGCCTATCCTGCCCCTCTGATGGCAGGGAAAAGGTGCCAACGACGAGGAAATATGTTTCCTCATTTTTCCCCGTCGAAAACGGGGGCGGGAGCACCCCAAACGATGAGAAACAATGTTGTGGCACTGTTTCCTGCATTATTTGTGTGTGTTGACAGGTCCTGCCCACAGCCACAAGCCCCGGCACACCCGGCAAGGCCACCCACCGGCCTCTCCATAGGTGGCCTGTAAAACCACAGTCCTGACATATAAGCATACCTTGTTAAAATACAGTATCTGATATATTCTCATGGCTTATAGAAGTGGAAAAGGGGAGCCAGACAACAGAGGAGTGTTCAGGTTGTATTCACCATCACAAATAATGATTTTGTTAGAATATTGGGAGGCTGTGCAAGTGTGCGCAATGCACCCAATGTAGGTACGTTTCTCTTATCATTTTGGTTCTACATTCTCTGGAGCTGTGGGCTCCATTTTACATTTATCTCCTTTTATTTTGTAGACTACACTATAGTATATAAGTACCACTCCTTGATCCGCTACTCCCACCAAGCCCTACTTTCCCATGCTCTCAGCAAGGTGAACGTGCTGGCTGTGAGCAAACGGTATAGAGTAGAGTATCCTAGCCATAGAATCTCTCTAGACTAGCTTACCTTCTTTTAATCTGGCAACTGACAGTATCCATGGCGACATTGACAAGAAACAGCACAAGAGGACCTGCAAACACCGGCAGGACAGGCGACAGTGCCACCCCTCCACAACGACCTGCAAGGACAAGGAGCAATGTGGAAGCAAGGAAAGAGATAGAGGAGGAGATGCAAGCAATCAAAACGGCACTAGACGGGAGGGAATACCTCGAAAAATATCGGCTGCACGTACCTGCTGGCAAACCACCAACACCCGCATCAATCACACACTGTCTGAACCAAATCGCAGTCATGGCTGGCAACATCCCCCCAAAGGTGGTAGCGGCACTGAGGGCAGCAGCGTTGCTGGTCAAGGGGATGAAAGTTGATTACGCAGCTCAAACATTACACAAACTTATCGTCGTGGAGATTGGCACCTTCACCGAGGACATCAACTCTCTGGTTCAACACGTATGCGAAAAACTAACAGAAGAGATCACGACCTGGATGAAGAGCATCGACAAGGCGACACTCAGCTTCACCCAAGCAGCACAACAGGCTCCAGCAAACCAGATCGGCACCCAAGTGAACAACAGTGCCCTGGTCCCCATGTCCTACAGCCAAGCGGCCATGCTAGCTTCCTCGGCGGTCGATCCCATGCTCATAGCGAAGCAGGGCATTCAAAGGAGGCAGTTCCTGGTGGAGGGCATTGCCAAGAACTCAAAGGTAGGAGGAATGGACAACAAGAAGGCAATTGTGGAGGTGAACAGAATACTCGAAGAGATCGCTGTCGACAAGGTCAAGGCCCACTTGATGACGAGGCGATCGGACAGGGGTTGGCTGCTGGAGATGAACTCAGACCCCAGTGCCACATGGATGGAAACTGACGGCAACGGTGAACACTTTTGCAAACGACTCTCAAACAACGCACACATCAAGCCAAGAATGTACCGAGTAATCGCCCTCAACTGCCCATTGACAGCCAAACCTGAGGATGACAAATTCATCAAAGAGATAGAGGAACAGAACGGCCTGGACGACAGAGCGATCAAGAAGATGAAATGGGTGAAGCCGGTAGTGAGGAGGAGCTCTAGGCAGAAATCTGTGCATATCATCCTCCTCACTACTGATCCGAAATTTGCTAACAGATTTATTAGCTCAGGTGCAATAATCACTAACCAGAAGGTCAAAGTAAACAAGTGCAAGAAAGAACCCACCAGATGCCTCAAGTGCCAAGGCTGGGGTCATTTCGCAAAGGACTGCATTTTCGACCTCAGATGCGGGCACTGCACAGGCAAAGGACACAGAACAAGCGAATGCACAACCGTTGAAGTTAGGAGGTGTGTATCCTGCAACAAGGAAGGCCACTCTAGCTATGACAGGGAATGCCCCATGTACCTGCGGAAACAAGCCAAGACAGACAAACGACATCCTGACAACCTCCTCCCTTTCTTCCCCACTGATGAACCCTGGACCTGGCTCAAATCGCGCAACAATGAGAGGATCCTGAAGAACAACTGGAACACATGACCCCTTACACAACGAGTAGAAGGAGACCAGCCATTTGGACGGAGACGACAGGTGCAGCATCACAGGGCCGCCAACACCAACGTGACCCAACAAGATGGCAATAACCACCAGAATGATGACAGGAGAAGCAGCAGCAGCACCGCCAATGACAATAACGTCAAGGAGGAGAACCTGGCCAACAACGACGACAATTGGGGCAACAATGCCAACAATGACAATGACGACTATGTCCTGAACAACGCTGGTGGAGGCTGGAACAACAGTCTAGGCGACACCTCAGGTTGGACCATGGTCAGACGATCAACATAAGGAACAGCTCATACGATGAAGTAGAACCAACAAAAATCCGAATCTTCCAGATAAACCTCAACCAGTCAACCATTGCCCAACACGACCTCATCAACAGACACGACCTCGCCAACAAATATGATGTGGTGCTTATACAGGAACCCTATCTAGACTTCCTTGGCAACATGAGGGTCCCCTTACTCTTCCAACCAGTCTTTCCGAAGGACAGGCTCAGACTCAAAGACAAGACACGATCGGTCATATGGGTCAACAAGAACATCGCGACTAAGTGCTGGTGAGAAATCCTGGTTCCGGGTACTAATGATATCACTGCCATTCAATTTACAGGTACATATGGTAAACTCACAATATTCAACATCTACAACCCAATCAACTCAAGAGGAGTAGAGATCAAGCTGGACACCTACCTACGAGATAATGCAGAGAACATCCATTTTGAGAGGTCGGACCACGTCGTTTGGGCAGGTGATTTCAACAGGCACCACCAGATGTGGGACAAGGCTGAAGATACCCACCTCTTCACCAGGGAGACCCTCCAAGCAGCAGACCACCTAATTGATGCTCTCATCCAACATGGAATGATTATGGCCCTTCCACCAGGCATACCCACACTCCAGCATATGGTAACGAAAAGGTACTCACAGCCTGACAACGTTTTTTGTATGGAACCGACCCAGAACCTAATAACGAAATGTGATATCGACGTTGACCACCAGCTGGCATGCACTGACCACCTCCCAATTGTAACGACGATCGACTTGCCCTATGAGAAGGCCGACGACAAACCGACAAAAAACTTTCATTCAGCTGACTGGGACAAGTTCAACAAAGTACTCGAGGAGGAACTTGGCAACATCCCACCCCCCAGCCTACTGCAGAGTGCCTTCGAACTTGATATTGCTGCGACAACTCTGACCACGGCACTTCAAAATGCCATCCAGAAGGCAATCAAGGACCAGAAGCCACTACTGCAGGCAAAGAGATGGTGGAATGATGATCTGGAAAAGCTGAGAAAGATAAAGAACAAGCTAAGTTCTGAGTCCTACCGTTGGCGAGTTTTTGAAGACCACCTGGTGCATGCAGAAAAACGTCGGGCAATAGCAAGATTCAAAAAAGCGGTTGAGAAGGCCAAGAAAACTCATTGGGAGGACTTCTTACAAGACATTTCAACCACAGACATCTGGACAGCACATAGATATGTCAAGGAGCCACCCATAGATGGAGGACGCCCCTGGATTCTGACGCTAAAAACCACTGATAATGGAGCAGAGCAAGAGGTAACAGACAACAGGGAGAAGGCAGAGACCTTCGCGAAGGCCTTCTTTCCCCCGCCACCAGTGACCAGCTCGGTACCCAAAGACTAACAATACCCAGATCCTCTACCTGATCCTCCAGCCATATCGGAGGAACAAATCCAGCACAATGTGCTCAAGCTATCGCCCTACAAGGCACTGGGCCCAGATGGGATTCCTAATATTGTACTCCAGAAATCATATGATAATATCGCTGACCACCTTCTCCACCTCTTCCAGGGCACTATCAGGCTGCAAACATACTTTGAGCCATGGAAGGAATTCACAATGGTCATCTTATGAAAACCAGGAAAACCCAGCTATGAGAAGGCGAAGGCATACCGACCGATTGCCCTCCTCAACACCATCGCCAAAGTCCTAACTGCTATTGTAGCTGAGGATCTGACCTACCTTGTTGAGAAACATAGCCTAATCCCCAGCAACCACTTCGGAGGCCGCCCAGGACACACCACAACCAACGCCATCCACTACCTGGTCCAATGCATCAAGACAGCCTGAAGAGAAGGGAAGGTTGTCTCAGTGCTATTCCTTGATGTCAAAGGAGCCTTCCCGAATGCGGTCACAGACCGGCTCATACACAACATGAAGAAGCATCGCATCCCCTCAGCATATGTCAAATTTGTCAAACAACTCCTGAAAGGACAAAAGACCAGACTCAGATTTGACAATTACCTATCTGAACTCATTGCCATTGAAAACAGCATAGGACAGGGAGACCCACTGTCCATGATCTTGTATATAATCTACAATGCTGACCTGCTGGAGATAACAGAATACCATCAGGACGAAGACTCTCTAGGATACATGGATGACATAGCGCTTCTGGCTATCAGCAACAACTTCGATGACACCAGCAACAAACTCCACTCCATTATGACAAGACCGGAAGGCAGGATGGAATGGAGCACAACCACAACTCAAAATTTGAACTCACCAAGTCTGTGGTCATGCATGTTACCCAGCGTACCAAAAGCAAGAAGGACAAAAATGGACATCGACCCCCTTTGGACAGACCACTACTCGTCATTGGCGACCGAGTCATCGAGGAGGTCCAATCCTTCAAATACCTGGGGATCATCATCAACTCACAGCTCCAATGGAAGATCCAGGCTCAAAAGGCGATCGAGAAAGCAACAAAGTTCGTACTACAATATCAACGACTAACAAAAATCACCACAGGCATTCGACCAAGCCTCATGAGAACACTATATATCTCCACGGTCCTCCCAAAGATGACATATGGCCACGATGTATGGTATACCCCCCCTTTGAAACCAGCTGGCAGCAAAAAGAGCAAGGGATCAGTGTCAGCCCTACGACAGATGAAGAGGATCCAACGCATCGCAACAACAGTGATTTCTGGAGGGCTCAGGACAACCCCAAATGAGCTGGTCGATGCACACTCAAACCTCATGCCAATTGACCTCGCCCTCCTCAAAATCTGCCACAGGGCTACAGTAAGAATGCTGACACTGCCCAAATCACACCCGCTTCACAGACACATCCATGTGGCACAGATCAGCAACCCCAAGAAGCCACTTCTATAAGCCACGAGAATACATCACATACTGTATTTAAACAAGGTATCCTTATATGTCAGGACTGTGGTTGAACAGTCCACCTACGGAGAGTGGCCTTGCTGGATGTGCCGGGGCTCACGGCTGTGGGCGGGGCATGTCAACATATGCAAACAATGCAGGAAACAGTGCCCGGACACTGTTCCTCGTCGTTTGGGGTGCTCCCGCCCCCGTTTTCGACGGCGAAAAGGCGCCGCTGATGAGGAAACATATTTCCCCATTGTTGTGCACCATTTCCCCCGCTGTCGGGGGGGCGGGATAGGCTGGATTGGGAGGGGTAGTTTGGATGATGCGGCATTTCTTCGGGTGTCATCTATTTTTAGAAACTGTCATGTCCGGTGAGCTCGGACATACTCAGAGCACTCCAAAAAATGAAGAAGAAAAATCATATTAAATTCTAATAAAATAGATATGTGCTCTACTATCCACCTGCTACGAGAGAGAGACAAGATAAGCAAAAACAGCATGTTTAAGGTGCACTGTTTCTGCTTGCGGTTCATGCTCCCTCTGATCCTAGTACTGTGCCTCGCGTGGTTGGTCCTTGTGCTGTGGTTGCCCTCGTTGATCCTCAGGGCATGCTCTCCATCACCTCCCCTGCTCCCTGTTCCTTGCCTCCGTCCCCATCGTCGTCGCTTGCCATCCCCATTGTTGTTCTTCCATCCTCATCCCCCCAGTCCTCATCGCCTGCCACCGTGCTCGTCCCTCGCCGTTGTTGTTGTTCATCCCCTGCCTTCGCTACCACCACCACCATTCCTCACCCATGCTCCCCCTGTTGCTGTCAGCCTCACTAGTGGTCTACGTGCTCCCTGTACCCACCCCTGCTACCTCTTTTGCCACCCAAAATCCCTCGGGCAGTGTTACACACCGTTCTAGGACGATGTGGCTCCACGCACGAGGCAGAAAGGGGCAAGGAGGGCGGAAGCAAGGCGGAAGCAAGGGAGGGGGGCATTTGAGGGTGGGCAGGTGATGACAACGAGGTGAAGAGGTGAGAGGTGAGGGCCAAGGCCAAGGCAAGGCCAAGGAGGGCAGGGACAAGGATAACAGTGATGGTGACAGTGACGGCAAAGGCAAAGGTGAGCCTCTTGCAGGCGAGGACAAGGGCAGAGTCGAAGATGAGAGCGAAGGCAAGGGCAAAGGTAAGGCGAGGGCAAAGGTGAGGGTGAGGACAAAGGCGGAGACAAAGGCAGGGGCGAGGGCAAAGGCAAGGGCAAAGGTGAGGGCAAGGGCAAGGGCAAGAGGCAAGGGCAAGAGGCAAGGGCAAGGGCAAGGGCAAGAGGCAAGGGCAAGAGGCAAGGGCAAGGGCAAGGGCAAGAGGCAAGGGCAAGGGCAAGGGCAAGGGCAAAGGGGAGCCGATCTTGCCCTCGTTGTCTCCCCCTTCCGCTCGTCGTCCTGCGGGCGCCTCCATCTCCTTGTTGCTCCACTTCTACCTCCGTCTCGTCCTCGTTGCCTCACCTCGCCTTCCTCCCTGGAACCCTCCTTACTTCCCTTGTCACCCTCCTTGTCACCCTCCTCATCATCCTTACCCCTTGCCACCCTTGTCCTTGTCCTTCATTTGAGGTTCCCATGGCAGAACAACAGGTGGGAGGTGGTAAAGGTGGTGGCGAGATCATCAAAGTTGGCGTGTCGCGAGGGAGTCGACGACGACGAAGAACCGCTGCCCACATCCCTTTTGGAAGGAATGGGGTACATGGGAGTGCCACGGGGTGTCGAGGACAAGCGAGGGCGGGTGCGGGGTCTTGTTAGAGAGCAGGGACAGGGGTGTGGGCGGCCACAGACATAGACCAGCTCGCCCACATCCCTTGTTGAAGGGGAGGGGCACACGGCGCAGGTAGGGCAGGTTGTAGGGCGGGCGAGGGTGAGGCTCTGAGGGAGAGGGGTCATGCAAGGGAGTAGGGGACGGGGAGGGGCGTCAACAGAGATGCAAAGAGGCTGGCCCACATCCCTGTTGAAGGGGAGGGGCATGCAGCAGGTTGCGAACGCGAGGGGGAGCGCCTGGAGGAATAGAATACACAAACAAGTAAGTTTAATGATAGAAAGTGGAACTACTTACCTATATACGACATTGTAGCGCCTCTCTAGCATCGGGGCATCGCAGGTAGTGGTTGAGAAACAACAATCAACGATGTTGAACATCGTTGATTGTTGTTTTGGCAAACTCCGCAGCGTGAGCCCATTGGCTGGAGCATCCAGTCCACCAACCTGCGATGTCGAGCAAGACGTTCGTGACGTCCTGGAAGGTCATCAGCAAGATATTTTCATAAAATAAGTATACAGAGCTAGTTTAGATATGTAAGATGACCTATCTCCATAACTTGTATGGCATGAATGTGTCTAGACAGACATAGATTATGTAGGTGCAGTGTTGGCACCATGAGTTTCAATGAACATCTTACCGTTAAGATGTGCACTCGAAGTTGGTGATATTTAAAAGGCAGCTGCAGTTGGGGGAAGCCTAAGGAATATAGAGAATACATGTTATGTTGAGATTCTAATGTAAATAGTCTCATTTCATTAATTCTTTATTGCTACACACACAGGTAAGTCTTTGCAAAAGCCCAAAATCACCACGCACGCCTTGTGCGAGCTATATCACGAGCTCAATTGTCATGGGATCTCTTTAAATTTTTATATACACATTTACATTTATGTATAGAACAATATCCGATTATTATTTTGTGGTTGGGCGAGCTGTGTGTGAGCACACAGACATCCCGTTCCTTGAAAGACGGAAGACGGGGCTCAGACTGAAGGGTCAACAGCCAATCGGACGGGTACGGTAATGGCCGAAAAACGATCAACGATGGTTGAGCCATCGTTGATCACTGTCCTCGTCGACCATCTCCTGCTTCCACCACCTCTCCATTGGCCATCCAGCCCCGAAAACACGTCAAAAAGGTATGTAAAGTACTTTTCATTGTTTTCATTGACTAATTAACGTGTTTTGCGACATCAGAGCCCACCCGAGTCGCAGATGACGTGGCCCTCCATGCGACCCCTGCTGTGCGCCCCTCCCCTTCTCTAGGGATGTGGGCCGGCCCCACCCTCCTCCCTCGCCGTTGTGCTATCACCCTCATCTCGGATTTTAGCCCCACCAGGGGCTGCTCGGACCCTTGGCTGCCCACACCAACCACCCCTCGCCCTCTCGTCCCTCGCCCTCTCGTCCCTCGCCCTCTCGTCCCTCGCCCTCTCGTCCCTCGCCCTCTCGACCTCTCACCCTCTTGCCCTTGCCTTCTCAACCTCTTGCCCTCACCCTCTCGTCCCTCACCCTCTTGCCCTCTTGCCCTCTTGCCCCTCACCCTCTTGCCCTCTTGCCCTCGTCTCTTGTCGCTCGCCCTCTTGCCCTCTTGCCCTCTTGCCCCTCACCCTCTCATCCCTCACCCTCTCGCCCTCTCGCCCCCCCCTCTCGCTTCTCTCCCTCTTGGCATCCTTTGCCCCTCCCCCTCAACAGGGATGTGGGTGCCAGAAGCGACAAATGACGGCATGGGTAGGGCAAGGGCAAGGGTGAGGGTGAGATGGACCAAGGGTGAGATGGACCAAGGGTGAGATGGACAAGAGGGCGAGGGTGAGGGCAGCACAAGCATGAGCACGAGGGGGTGTGGGCGGTTGGTGTAATGGCCATCCGCCTGACTGAGGGTTCATCACACAAACCTGACACACCCTCTGCCAGCTACTCCAACACCACATCGCCCTGAACAAGGCGACGACAAACACGACACAATCCCCAGAGCACAAGGACGATCACGAAGGACGGCGGCAGGCCGAGGACAGCGGTATGCAGCAGGAGCACGATGACAACGGCGACACAAACACGACGGCTTCACGAGCACAACGGCAGCGGCAACACAAACACAACGGCTTCAGGAGCACAACGGCGGCGGCGACACGAACACGAACACGGCAGCAAAATGAGCACAAAGGGGATGGCGGCAGGTAGGGCCACGAGGATGGCCAGCAGGTCCCACGGGTGGTAATGGCGCGCTCATGGCGCATCGTTTCTGCTCTCTTTCTTTCTATCTCATAGCAGGTGGCTGGTAGAGCCACCCATGTAGTGTACTTATTTTATTCCAATTTAAAATGATTTTTTTCTTCATTTTTTGGAGTGCTCTGAGTATGTCTGAGCTCACCAGACATGACAGTTTCTAAAAATAGATGACACCCGAAGGCCACAT